AGGTATGTATTCTCTAGCCATGTTCAAGGTACGGTTACCATCTTCGACTAGCAGGGGGAGGGGCCGGTACGAAAGTAACATCGGCTACTTAAATTGTCTAAGAGGCGCAGATCAGCGCCTTTACTTATTAAGCTGGTCAGGTCTATATACCAAATTAGGACTAACAATAAACCGAAGCGTGGGATAGTAATGATTCGAGGATAGGGGTCTACCATTCTACCATAGCCCATAGCATGGTTGAGATGCCCAAGCATTGTTTGCTGTGGATCCATCCATATATTCTCCTTCTATGAGTATGTATGCGAGGACCCATCCAGCTGCATTCGCATATCTTGCGCAAGCTGTTAATCAATCGGTCGAATACCTTCGTATCGGCTGGGGTTAACAGCGAATCCCCATTCAAGTATTAGTTTGGCTCTGTGCTATGTAATAGCAACACGCATCCTATTACTTTATGAGGCTAACATGCAAAGTCGCTGTTAGCTTATAAACGATACCTGCGGGTACATTAACTGAAGACTACCTAGGTACCTACCTAATATACCAAGGCTTTTTACGTCTACGCTTGTAGTATTGCTCGGTGTGTGCCAATCAATAACTACTTCTCGGTTAGTTATGCAAGACTAGTTGACTAAGGTAAACATCTTCTTTGGTCAGCGTCTCTATAAGACTCCATCAACGTCAGGGATAATAAAGGTAGTACACACATATATGGTGAACTTGATGAGAATTTAGAAGAACTCCATAGTGGATTAGCACCCTTCGTTACCGTCTGGATCCACAGAATTATACCCTTTGGGTGGATAGAATATAGATGGCTCTCCTGCCTAGGCCTCTTGGCATCAAGATTGACTGCTGTCTTACCAGTAGTCACACGCGCGATGCCCAAAAACAAGCCTAGAATACATAGCATGGCGGTTGATCATCCAACTTTCGAATTGTCCTTAGATAACCACCCGTCCCACCGCTACAAATAGAATCCAAGCTTCTTCAGATCGGCAGCTAGCGTGTGGGATGTCGTTAGAAGTCGGAGTTTTCTACCCAGATTCCATGGAAACGGGTTCGATGTTCTCTACTAATTAATCAGGGCTGTCACCAAGAAGCCACTATAGAACCCCATATTTACCGGTCAAGTGAATACACTAATACCTAAAGAGTTAACACTGCCTTAACTACCTCGCTAGGTTAAATGTAACAGGCGATTCGGTGTTGAGCTGAACCTGGAATGATTCATAATAAAAGAACGTGATCAGGCGATCAATATAGCTTCTCAACAGAATTCTAACTTCGGGCTCCGATCATATCTTAGTTGCTGAAATAACTAGTGAATCGTTTCTCGGTCTCCCGGTGCTGCTTTAGAGGATCGACACATATTTATGTATAAGAGAATGAGTAATTGGCTAGTGACGACCATGGTATCTACCTTTGTCTTCTCTTGAAGTGGATTTCCAAGATGGGCGAATCAGATCTAATTCCGTCAGTACCGGTGCTCGAGTCACTCTCTTATCCCGTAGTCAGTCCGTCTTAATTTTAGAATAACTGTGACGACGACGGATACGATATCACGAATATCCTTTTCGTGGTAGATATCAAGTTGTTGTGAGTTTTCCACTATCAAACACTATCTAAGTTACCTATGTTAGTACATAGAGGGGAGCTACTTGGTGGATTGTCCGAGCAGCATACATGAAAAGTCCCGGATTAAACTCGCGATATCATCTGGCATATCCACCATGCCGTCACGGCTTAACATGTTCGTAACGCAGAACCGTGGTACCCACCTGGAGTATATGTGAAGAATACAGAGAAGCATTCGCCGACATCCAGAAAGAGACTAACCCGGGCCGGCGCGAGATTTCTCATCGTAAACGCCCCGTCGGGATTACTAGACTACATACTACTTCGACGCTATAATACGTTATATCTTAGCTAGTATGTGACCTTCCCCTCAATCATCTAAGGCTCAAGATACAATGCTGCTTAGTTGGGTATCCAAATCCTCATTCTCAACAGTTAGATGCAACTTAACTAGCCTCTACGGTATACTGAAGTTCGTACGATTATGACGGCATGACTTACCGATTGTCCGCTGCGTCTCGAGTTACTCATCGCAAACTCCTTCTTGGTGGTGAACAGTCCATGTATATCTTCCCGATCGTTCTACACCGCTTCATACAATTGTGCCCTATTCCTAACTACTAAGATAGAGCCACATCATCGCCGAGCATACCTGGTTGGTGCCCATCGTCGATTTGGTTACTTTACTGCTACTGCCCAAGTTTCCCCTCAAGCTGTCTAGAAGCGTGATTTTACGGTGAGGTGAGTATTTCATCCAAAGGCCTCGACTTTGCAACGTGGTTGAATGATACTGGAGTCGTTCAATGTCAGGACGAAATTCAATATTGACGCTAGCTCCGTGACATTACTATCGAGGGACGAATAAGATCATCTAGTCTATAGAAGATAGCTAGGTGTGTAACCTTCCCATCAATCATCTTCATTTAGTCATAAGCATAACATGTATCCACCCTCTAGCTCATGCAACTCTAAGAAGAATTTGATACGTCTTATTTAACTGTGCAGAAGTTTCCGTGTGTAACCGTGCGAAAGCGGCTCTATACTTCATAGGATGACATGACCGTTGGGCTTCGGCGTAATAGTAGCCTTGCTTACCGAAGTAGACAATCTCGGGACATATCTCATCGATAGGGACCATCAAAAAGAATTCACTGGATGGACCATATTCGGGAACAAGAGGGGAGCGGGGAAGGGAAGTTTGATTCGCGGATATCACATGAGAAGGTTCCGCTGGATTGGGCTATGGTGACCCAACTACAAAGGTATTCTGGTCTCTGGTGAGGCTGGAACTTCACGTGCATATGATCATGCTCGGCAGAAGAGTATTGTGAGAACCATTGGGGCAATAGCTATAGAAGGGGGCGACTATACCTTAACTTTACATCCACTACCTTGAAGTACTCCTATATGAGATGGATATCTCTATCTGATACATGTATCTTCATGCGACTTTACGATTTATGAGGCTTACGCACATATTTCTTGTTAGAAATACCATACCTATTAAATTAATTGTTAACTATTAGTCTTGATAAATTAACTAAACTGTAAGTATATACTAATTCCCTTTTGGTAATAATTGACTTGTCGTTATTTTGTTTTAATCTAGGAATACCCAAAAGCGGAATCGAGACCGGACACTTACTCAAGACACACGTACTACCTAAAAGATGGCTATGAAAATATATAGTTTACGACTTGAGGAGTGTCTTAGTTATAGCTTTAAACTTTCTTCATACTACGAATGAGACGCCTTACTTAATATTCCCGTATCTCTTCAAAAACCTATGCTCAAAGCGCACATATTGCGGAGGCGATCTGCGCACAAAATTTTGACAGCCCACGCCATGCCAAAATTCGAATTCAAAGGAAAGACGATCGTTTCCGCTTTTCCCCAGATATAAACCAGTAGTAACGTCGGGGAGCTCGCGGCACGCAGGGTTACATCCGGTGCGGTTCATGCATTTGGTAGGTGCGCATGCGTCGAGCTGTAAATCGCTGCAATGGTAGAGAGAGGACGTAAGAAGGGTCTTTGGATGTCTATTTTGCGTGGTAATAGGCTTGCTGTACCCCCACCGGATAATGATCCAGCAACAAGATCGAGACGGGATGTGCATGCAAGATGATAACGACGCTGTCATATCACTATCCCGTTAATTCTCGGTGGCTGTTTCGCAATACGTTAGCCATCAGTCAACTCAATTTCCCCAGCCGACGTTCCCCGGCAAGCCCAGAATGTCTATCAACCGTCTGGGGGTAGGTATGTATGGCGCAATCTAGCGTCGAGAACCATGGAAGAGAGAGGCTCTCATGCATTTTCCAACTGTCCAGTACCGCTCATAACCCAATCTTTTCATTATTATGAACATGGAGGTCTTAGGAAATCACCATACCTTATTCTTCCCCGGTTCGGTAGAGTTGGATTTGGACCAGTTATTTACAGCACTACTACTACAACTCAAGCCAGGTGACGCCAAGGAAATTCGATTGAGCATAAACGAACGTCATTTTTCAAACTAATAAGAACGCTCGGAGTTTTTCGGTATTCATGATAACGTCTGCCAAGATAATATCATTAATGATTGATTTATCTGATACAATAAGGTATTCCTTATCTATTCCTAATAGTATACTATAGGATGGTTTTTATCCACAGAACAGTGGCAAACAAGTCTATGTATGTGAGTCTAGTTACGGGATCCTAAAAAGAAAAGGAGGAAAAGGATGAAAAGGAAAAGAAAAATATTCTTAATATACTCTAGGGAAATATACATCACTCGATGATTTTGCATCTTTTGTTTCCTATCACGGCCCACGAAGGTCCCTGTTGAGTTTTAGTGTTATAAAAAGGGGTGATATATTTTCACAACTAATATAATAACCCCTTAATTGTATAAACTCCACGATCAATGATCTTGATGTAATATGGTATTAGACTATAGACATCTGTTATTCAATCTCAAGCTGATATTTCAATACTTGGTAGGTCTTCTATGCCATAGAGTTCTAAGAAAATGTGTTCATTGCTAATAAAACGATCGTAGCTTACCCGCTTAATTACCCCTTTCCGTTTCTATAACTCTAACGGTATTGTGTAGAATGTTTAACCCCTTTTCTACGCATCAAGCCCTTTTAGATAACCATATATTGTATCTGATATAAGTACATATCGTGTATACAAATACAAATATTGGGATATGGAATTCTTTAATTATTATTACTTGTGATAATATTGTATGTATACAGTTGAGAGCAAATAAGATACTTAATTGATTATCCTAAACTAGGGTTCTAACTATCCTTATGTATACCAGTCAGGCCTTTCATCCCGTAGGGATGAAAGGCCTTTGACTGGATACAACTATCTGTTACTTGTTGTATCTAGCTCTTTCTATTTCATTCCACAACAGTTAATATAATATTTAATCCAAACCGTCTATTAATTGAGTCTAGGTCCACCTTGACCAAAGCCTGATCTGTACCTTGTACCTATATTAGGTGTGGCTCTTCTTCTTGACAATGTCTCGTTGAACCCAGCATACTCCCCTAAGCTTGGCGGCAAGTCCTTAACAGCTGTGCCCCAGGAGCTCTCGTTCCTTCCTAGGGTAAGAACAAGTTCTTTGCCTTCTGTGAAGAAACTGTGATCAATCCAGTTTTTGGTGTACGGCTCGCCGTCAAGGGTTGCGCTTTGGATGTAAATGCTCTCATAGGAGGGATCAAAGTTAACGTTGCGGATGGTTGCGGTTTTGCCGGTCTGTGGGTTTGTAATGTTGACACTCTCGAAGAATGGAGGGATTATGAGATATACATCTTGTCCGGGGTTTGGGAACAATCCCATCATAGAAAAGGCCACAAATGATCCCATTGCGCCACTGTCGTCGTTTCCTGGGAGACCTTCAGGGGTGGTATCAAAGAACCGAGGTATGTAGAAGTGCGCACGCTTTGCCGATAAAGCGGGCCGACCAGCGTAGTGGTATTGGAAAACAGTGAGGAAGGCAGGCTCGTTGCCGATGTAGGTGATGTTCTGATCATGCAGGAAATCAAGGCGGCGAACAAATTCAGCTGGTCCTCCATAGAGGGTGATCAAGTCGCCTTGATTATGTGGGACGAAAAAGCCGTACTCCCAGATGCTGCTCTCAAAGGTTTCGTGAGCTGTATTTTGGAGCGAGCAAGCAGTGCCGGAATTGTCGATATTGCTACATAGCAAAGGGTCCTGTTCACCCCAAGTACCATTTAGGTATTTCGGGGCGTAGAAACCTGTGAAGCCTGTATCCTGGCCGTTGGAGAACTTTGATATCTGATCTTCCTTGTATAAGTTTTTCCAATTATCGCTCGATTGAAGATATTTTTCTGTGTCGGCAGTATTGTTTCTTAATTGAGACATCTGTGCGATGACGAAATCATTATAACTGTACTCGAGAGTACGGGAAACAGATCTAGTCATGGTTCCAAAGCCCTGCCAATCTAGGTCTTGCACGGGGTAGTGAGGGTTAGCTTAGAGCGGGAACACGTTTAGAATAGGATAGACTTATAATATATCCAAGACGTTTCCAGCTCTCAAGACCACCGCGTCCATTGCTGGACCAATCAAATGGCTCAACCTCAGCGTCTTTTACGACAGCCTCATAACCCACGTCCCACTATCCAATAATATCAAGTTATTAAATGGTTTAAAAACGTGATCAAAGTCAGGGTACTTACATCAATACCGGCTGTAATTCCTTTCAGATATCCATCCGCCAAGACTACATCAGCATTTGAGCCACCCTGAGAACTAGACATTAGCTTAATCCATCTTTAGAAATCAAAAAGTTCTGACCTGTGTGTAACCCTTGGAGAATGTCATACGGCAATCTGGCAACCAGCCCTCGTATCGATATGTATCAATTAAAGAGCGAATCATCTCGGCTACTGCATCTGGATCTATAAGGGTAAGAAATGGGATTTGACTTCGAAAACTATCCCAGAGGCTTTGCTGAGTTAGTGGCTGCATTATACATAGACGATATATCAACTTACCAATAGAATGAATCAAAATATGGTTCTCCTGTTTCGAATACAGGGTTCTCTCCCGTATAATTCTGGGGGTTTACCATTGTGCGGTATATACCACTGTAGAAATTCTTGATCTGATCCTCATCCACTTCGCCCGGTGTGATCGTGATCGGACTGAGCTTCTGCCTCCAAGCATCGGCAGCAACCTGTTCAAGACCATCAAAATCGTAGTCCGGAATCTCTGCTTCGGCATTTGAGCACGCTTGTTCAGAGCTTATAAAACTCAGACCCACGCGGGCAAGCACAGGGGTATCGGTAGACTCAAATCGAACAAAAGCTCCTCCAGGAAGAGGATACCCATTAATTGATCTAGAGATAGTCAAGTCTTTGACATCTGCCGTAGCTCTACTGTTTACAAAAATGCCATTGTCGAATATTTTAGGGCCTGAGAAGTCGGTGCAAAAGTAAGGTACACTATACCCGGAGTTAGTACTTATCTACAATATTTATGAACAATTTCGAATGCACTTACTATTTTCCTTGGCTGAAACTTGATTGGAAACGGGCATTCCCGGTGATTCTTCCGGTTTTCTCGTCGACGGAGACGGTGCCGTTATCTTGACGCGAGTCCGAAAGGTCCGTCAGATCCTGCAAGATGAGAGGGTGCGAGGCATTCCCATCTGATGCAGGGAAGGTAAATTGAAACAGCGCAGCATGTTTACTGGCTGTCATAGCAGCTTTAACGCCGGAGTTCAGCGTAACCTCAAAATACCCCGGACGCGCCACAACGCTATTCTGGTCAAACTGGCCATGGTTGGCCCGGGTTTTCTTGGGAAAATCGCATCGATCAATATCATCGTCGGGACAGCTCGCATACGGGAAGAGCGGGAAATTTCCTAAGGACGGCGAACCTCCAGTTCCCGAGTCGTGTAAGGCAGAGAACCCGGAAATTGGAGTCCCGTCAAGAGTAAATCCTCCTTGATTACTTCCGCTGGTAGTGTCGGCAACAGCTTTAGCCATACCGTATGGGAGTGTGGCTCCCGGAAAGATATTTCCTCCATTTCGACTTCCGATCAATTGATCAACATACGAAAGAGGATCTATAGCGGCAGCATCATTCCCCAGGGCCGTCGCCAATATAATAAAAGCAACTGAACAGGAGCGCAAGCCGAATGAAGGCATGGCGACTATAGCTTCTTGCTACTAAGAGCAAGATAGAGGAAAAGGGTGTAAACGAGTGTGATATATTTCTTTATGTATCATATCCCTACCTGTTATTAATGCATTCCAGGGCGGATAACGATGCACCTGACAACGGCTTTAAGGTCAAGATAAACAATCCGGAGACAAGAATTCGTTCGATATGATAAGATAAACACGTCGGATTGTCTCTAAGTGGTAAGGAGGAACGAAACAAACATGTCTTGGACCTGCCCTATGATCGCCCTGTGGTAGTAGTGTGGTCGTGACCAACTCGCGTGCCGTCTAAGTGGAAATAACCTTCCATCCCTGGCGTCCCGGTGAGCTCCCGGATACGCCAGTATGCCACTGCATCATGCAAACTGCAGCGAGGCCTTGTCAGTGACCGGAGTAGATGTCCCAATCTTTGTCCCCACCGTTACATTGAGTAATGTCTACGAACCGTGCGGCACGTCTTGCCTCCATTATCTCGGAACGCGGGGTATCGAATCCTGCAAGAGAGCTCATCAATGAGAAGACGAACGCGGTGTAGATACCCATGCCACTTTACTATCAGGGGTTTGCAGGTTCGTAGGGATAAACGCCATTAGATAGGTTGATAAGCAATAAGAAGCCGGTCCGATCATAACCAAATCTGTAAATTTTGCGGTTTGTTTATATCCCATGCATTGGCTAGTCTTTCGTGCTTGTTCCTGCATATTAGATGCTAGGCCAGCTAGGAACGCTACATAAAATGAGGAAGGTTGGCGGCTACACGATGATGGATGATGGCCCTGCTAACGATGGTACAACGTAACAGAATATTATTAATTAAAGATTTCGTTCGCCGTAATCGTGCATCCGGTTCGCTCCTTTGTGCTTAGTGTTTCGTTACATCAAATTCATAAGGTGCCTAAGTTAGGACGTAGGTTAGCAAAGTTAGCAAGTTTAGGCGCCATTATAAGCTTAGGAATCACAAGTAATACATGAACTGTAAGGAACAACAGGGAACTGATCGTACAAAGCAAGGTGTAATTAGACGCATTCAGGGGGTCTACATTACGCTAACAATAGTTACATTTAAGTCCGTGCAAGTGGGTACAAGATATGCCGCCTTGGCTTTTCTATCGATAGGAGCAATAGCACTTTACAACTCATAGGTACCTCTTGAATCTAATTCGTAGACCATCTAATATCATATGTTAAGTACCTAACTCAACCTAACCCAAGGTATTTCCCCCAGCTTCTCTCTAGATATACTCTAAGTTATAAGACCACGAATGCCCAATACCTTATTGATTTGACTGCTGACTCGAAGGGAAATCCGGGCGAATCCAGTCGAACGTATCGAGGAGATCAAAATTGAAGTCTAATTGTGTTGATGAATCCCACTGAAATACCGCAGGGGGCTCATATATACTCGATGCTGCATTTAATGTCTGATCGAGAACGCGTTGTATTACTGACTTAGCGTCGTTGCATAAATCCCCGTTCGGCGCTGACGGGCTGACCCAGTCGAGAAACGCGACGAGGAGACTCAACTTCTGGATGATGTTGGAACGAGTGATCCTGGAGTCGTTATGGGGCCTCAAATGGAGGGTAGGCTTTAGAAGTTCTAAACAGAGTATACCACCAGCAGGAACGGCGTAAGCCATAACCTTTAATATCTTCATCAGAAAACGGTAACAAGCTATTGTTCATATTGTTAACTTACAAGCCATTCACAGTCATTCCTAAAAGATGACAGCCTATCCAAATGTAAATAATCTGTTCTATGTTAATATCCGTCGTAGATGCGCGAGAAGCATTATTCAATTTTAGTCTAATAGAATAAGATTCAAGGATAAGGGGGTGAGGGAGGTCACGACGTACTGCGATATTGTTAGTCCCGGATTAATAGTTACGAAGTAAGGCCTGAGCGGAGTAGGCTTCTAAACATACCAAGGTAATGTCTGAGTAACTAAGTCGTAGCTAACTTTCAATAAATCGCCCTTGTCTTGATGGCCGAATCGAAGCAAGAGTCTTTCGATAAAAAACATGTTTTGTAAATGCTCTTGCTGTATAAATAACCTCGCAGATAGGTGATTTATGGGAACATCGGGGTCATCAATATCAAAAGGATCGAAGCGCAAGCATGAAGGGAATGCGGAAACTGTTGAAAGCTCGCGAGATCGAAGTTGGCTACCCGTCTTAGTTAATATCGGACTGTGGACACATCCCTAGAGGCTTACTTACAGCAGAGTTTCAATGGAAAGTGCGTTTGGAAGAACGTTTTGTCTATGGTTGAGAGCAATTTTGAATATTTCTTCGCGGATAATGGCGATGATTGCTCGGGCACGAATATTAGTAGAAGGATATATCTCTCCGTCGGTATTCCAACCCTGGTCATCTAGACGTGAAATAGCTTTCATGAAAGTTTCATGGTCAGAGAATAAATCTTCGTTGCTAATATCAAGAGGAAGAGGGGTCGACGAGTACTGAGAGCTAATCAAGGGAGGTCTTCCGGTGAAGGAGACAACAACCATGGCCATAGTGAATATATGATAAAAAAACCTCTTCTTTATCTCCATCGATAAGGATGTTTGATGTCTACCATTTTCTTCTACGGCGTGAAACCCAAGGAAAGTAAGCAACGAAATTGTCTCGGCGTGAGTTCTCCATACAACTAAATCTATGCTAATGGTTAGCAATGGATAATCTTAATGTTTCGATATTATATACGACTACTTGGCATAGTAGTTACAGACATAGGTTACATACCGGCATCTCCGACAGACACTAATAATAAAAGTTAATAATAGGTACCTCTGATCTTAGTACGTGGTTTGAGGGGTTTGGGTAGTATCTTTTAGGAGAAAGGAATTTTCAATCATTAGGTACGTACTGGAATCCATGACGGTGCATCTCTGACTTAAACAGAGCATCATAGAGTTTCCGGCAGAAAGTTCTTTACATAAATCCAGGCTTAGGTGCATATTCTCCCTTGCTATGCGGAATCCACGGTCAAATTCGGCGGAGCGCTTCCCGTTCCAGAACTCTGTGGTTGAACCTGGAACGAACTCCCAAAATATGGAGAGTATTCCTATTAACTCCCAGCGTATGTTCTTCCCCAAAAATTGGCCAAACCACTTGTCCGGGTCAGATTCGTCATCTGAAAACGGCCTTAAAGTATTGGCACAGATAATCTGAGCGAGTTCCTCTAATTTGGCAGTCGGTCGATTTCCCGGGCTAAAATAATCACCGAAAGTCTCATATAATGACTTGACTACTGGCTCTGCAATATTACGTATCCAGCCGTCACTCCCAGGTTTGAAGCGTAGAGTACTCCCCTGGATCGGATCGGGTATATTACGTAGCACTGCGAGTGCCATATCACGAACTCGAGCAGAAATATTGGTCTGGGAGCCTTCAATAGGAGTATGGTGAGCGACGCTTTCGGATTGGGTAGTGACTCTATCTGATCCTTGAAGGAGTGAAAGGCTATTTTCGGTGTCTTCATAGATATTACAGTAACTGGTTGGGCCGAGGTAGCCAGGTCGAGTGAGGCCTGAAACTTGAGCGTCGGGTGTCAACGCCGAGCTATTCTGAGAGTGCTGAAGACTTCCGCGGCGAGGGGATGGGAGCGGTGTAGAAGGCGCTGGAGATGGCAATGGGCTTTTGGATGCCGATATCCTTGACCCTGACGCGAGATATACGCATTCGCCATCCTGTTTTCTCTTCTTACAACGACTACAGACCGGCTGTGTATGATCGCAAGCTAGCTTACGTTTACGGCAGGGCTTGCATGCTTCGTCAACAAATGTATCTAGAGGCATTTCACATATACTACTTACATCGCATGCTTGAGGCCGACCGTTACGGCGAAGAAGCAGTGGTGGGTCCGTACGATCGTTCATCGAGAGGCTGAGAGTAAAAACGATATATACAAGAAGATTCTATGAAAGTAATCCGAAGCCGCGAATCAAAAGCTTTGACTCCAACATGGGCTGATTCAAATTCTAGAATATGAATTGTTCCGACGAGCAGCGAATCCTAAGTCGGCTTCGGCTTCGGCTTGACGTTGAAGAAAGAAGCCCAATTCGCCTACTTATACCCACCATCAAGATTCTAATTCGTCCAACTAGACCCGCACGATATCTTACGAATGATCTCGGCTCTCGGTACGTCATCTCGGCTTTGAGAACCGAAGCAAAATATCAAATATGAGTAATACCATTCAAAGAGGAGTTTATGGATTATAAAGCGTGTAGGGAATGTCTATAAAATGTATTTAAATATGAATTATCCCGTCGAGGGAGGTAAACCCAGTTTAAGTTGTCAGCTATCGTATTGCAAACATCAATTAAAAACTAAGTTCTTTAATAATTACCTAGGTAGGTATACACATACGGAGCTCAGAAACTGTCAAAATGTCACCGCAGTCCGAATTGTCATTCTCTACCAATACAACAAGCCCAAGGCGGCCGTCCATTGCGTCGGAGAAAACTCTAGTAGATATGACAAGCAAAAAGGAGGATGACTTAGAAGAGAAATACCAAGGCAGTAATGATTGTTAGTTGCCTTTTAACCCAACTTACTCTATTAACTTCTTTACATTAAGTGCCTTATCTTACTAATTTTCATCTACACGAAGATCGCAAGTCATCCTTCGACGTTAAAACTCTGGCCAGTAGCAGTTCGCTCCCCACCAAAATTGGTAAAGCCTTGGAGAAGGTCAAGTCGAAGTTACGGGAGAAAGACACAGCTTCTAAGCCTAGGGGTAGCCGGCCCGCGCCCGATGGATATCCGGACACTAAATTTATGTGGCAAGCATTGGCTGGTAAGTGATATCCTAATGATTATGCCAACTGAAGTAGTAAACTAACACTTGATACGATAGAGATGAGACTTTGAGCATAAGGATTGAAATGCTTATATTTCACCTAGTTAAAGAGTATGTGATTAGATCCGTTCGCCAATACTTTTAAACAGCTAATCAATTAGTAGATGAAATTTGGAGTGGTCTTAGATGCTATCGAAACATCCGATGCCATTCGATCGCAAGTGGTATATCTACCCAAGGAGTTCATAATCGGCGCTTTGATTAATAACATGTTGGAATCGCTGTGAATAAGGGAATTGAATGTCGAAATAACAACACCTACTGTTAGGTATCAAAGGCGCTATGGGTAAGGGCTGATTGATAACTTTCAAGCGAAGCGAATATAATGTCTGGGTTTTCCATGGCCTTAGTACGACGGGCATAATGTATATAAAGGGTTATTCGCAGTTTATTTGATGCTGATAATGAGTTTCTTAATGATAAAACATTGACCTAAGAAGCATAGAATTTGGGCTTATCTTACTCTGGCCATTATGCCAATGAAGAGCTTCCAGTTACATCATTGATCCGTTTCTAGGTAGTTAGGTAGTTTTATAGCCCCTCATCTTTAAACAGAGTTATATTCTCGTAGGTCACTCTAGAACCTCCTTGAAGCTCTACCTTGGACATGACTCTTCACTTGTGGTGACGTGTAGAATTGCCTAGTGCCGTTTCTCTCCCGTATAGAGGTCAAATTATCTCCTCGGGAGACACGCCGCTATCCGGTCAGACACCAGTCTCACTAGACCAGCAGTTTGTCGCCTTGGCTATCGTGCGTCTGGCTAGATTAAGAAGTATCAGTAGATACTCCCCTTTCAGGCCAGTTGATGCCGATAAGTCTTCAGGGGTACAACCGTCATGGTTATTCAAAGTAGGAAAGATAAAATTTGCGAGTTGAGCCCACGCTCGAAAGACAAATTGACAACATTAACTTAATAATAAATAGATCGATTAACTACCTAATCTTATTTAACAGGTCGCCATCAAGCTTATTGTGTTTTGTCCGAGTTCTAAACACGCTGTTTTCCGCAGATCCTAGAACTATCCTTTCCTCAAACTAACTACTTATTGATCAACCCCATACATTGCTTCAACTTTCTGCAATACCAACCAACACTAAATTCTGCGCCGTCGGTGATAAGTCGGCATCGCCGATACCCAGCTCCAGAAATCGGATTTTACCGCCGCAAACTACTCCTATCACCTACAGATTAGACAAAGGCCAGTTACTATATAGTAGGAGTATAACCTAAATCCGCGAAAAGCCAACGACGTTCGGATTTCTATAGCAAGATCCGATTTCAGATCTTTATGTTGGATGAAAAATGCTGTATTTAGGTATTTCGTGCTTGTTGGCGACAATTTAGATGGCCTGGCTGCGTTAAGGGGATGACATTATGGTATAACAACCAACAAATGTCTGACCTGTATATAAGGGAGAGAAGGATTGGAGTTGGATAGGTAGGCTTTAACATCTCAGCAGCTCAATTTAACCTCATAAAATCCTACAATGTCTGTTTGGTTCATCACAGGAGCGTCCAATGGCTTTGGCCTATTGCTTTGTCTCAAAGCCCTCAAAGCAAACCACCGTGTCATTGGAACAGTGCGCAGCAAGGCCAAGTCCGGGGATGCAGTGAAACAGATCGAGTCCGCAGGAGGTCAAGTCATCGAGTTGGATCTGAACGAGTCTCGGGAGAGCATCACCAAGAAAGTCAAAGCGGTCGGACAAATCGACTACCTGGTCAGCAATGCGGGCTTCCTCGTCCTTGGCGCCGTCGAGCAAATGAGGTAAACAACACCACCTATACTAACAGCTACCAACGAATTTCAGAATTGACGCCACCTAGTGAGAAAGAAGCCCAGCTCCAACTACAAACCAACTTCTTCGGGCCGCTGTACGTGATACAAGCAGCGCTAGAAGGCATGCGGGCGCGGCATTCCGGCGTCATCGTCAGCATGAGCAGCTTGGCAGCCAAGGAATACGTGCCGACAACCGGGTTGTACTCAGCAAGCAAAGCAGCGCTAGAGGCCATGTCCGAGTCTCTAGCAGCCGAGGTAGCCGAGTTTGGCGTGTCCGTCCTGATTGTCGAGCCGGGCTCTTTCCGGACCAACTTCCTCGCCGCTTTGAACCAATCTGCGACACCGCTGCCTGAGGATTACGAGGGCACAGCCGTCGCACGGATCCGTGATGTCTTGCTGACCAAAAGCGGCAAGCAGCCTGGTGACCCCCAGAAGGGCGTGGATCGTATCTTTGAGACATTGACGGGCGAAGGTTTGGCGGGACACCTGAAGGGTAAAGTGTTGAGGCTTGTCCTCGGTCGGGACGCTTTGGAGCGTATAAGAAAGGCCAACGATAAATTCTTGGAAGACTTGGCTCTTGGGGAAGACATCACAGTCACTACGGACCTGTAGGTTAGAGGTATGAAAATTAAGGAGGTTGCAGTCTACTAACGAATATCATGTTGGAGGATGCTATCGTAGATTTAAATGATATTAAATATAGGTGCACACAGCATTGAATCCTCTAATTAATGTATTTCTTCTTACTTGGCCTGCGAAGTTACAGTAGATAAGTTACAATTAGCAAATATCGAAATAATGGAGAAGTGAGAAGCTAAATAGAATAATATAATCCTTTGATACAAGGTTGATATATGTTCAAAGCTCTTTAGAATCTTTATGATAAAAAAAAAAACGAAGGTTGGTGCTGAGTATGTCTCAGCGAAATGGTAGAAAGTCTTGATGAAAAGAAAAACTTCCGAAGAAGACCTATCTATCAGCTTCTACATGCTCCTGAACGCCGCTTAAACTCGAATCTGTGTCTACCCGAAAAAAATAAAAATAAAAAAACCAGATATTAAACGAATGCACAGAACTCCACGTGCGGCTTTGGCCAAAGCCGCTATGCCTTATCCCCATGGTTGGTAAATGTATGCGCGTATATATGTAAGCGAAGCCATCCAAAAAGCAATAATGCTGTATCGTAACCCAAGGACTATTATGCAATGCAGAACCTCGATGGCCCTACCCGGTCGCTATGTTTCTAACCTGGGAGGACGCTCCCCGCTCTAGATGATCCCTTCTAAACTCCAGTCTTCCTTCTGTGCCCTCTCAAGTACTTGGCGACCCTTCTCCGTGAGGTCAGGTGTTCCCCGCTTGTCTGTAACTTGATCGAAGAACACTGGTTTCCAGGTTTCGTTCTTGCGCTCACGTTCTCTAGCTTTCTCTCGCTGTTTTTCCTCGAGTTCTACCTTGACATTAGTAGCTTTTGAGAATTGCTTCGCCATTATGGCCTGAGTCACGCCGTCCCATAACACCAGAGACTCGTTCTCGGCCTGTTTCTCTTTCGGCGGCAGAACCTTGGGAGCTACAGCGAGCGGGTTAAGGTCAATGATAGTTATTTGCTTCTCCGGCGGATGTGAGTCCTATATAGAAACTGTTAATATCTCGCTGCTAGAATGAGGGGAATGAAATATATTCTGCAAACTTACCACAGGTTTAGGGCCAAGAGTGAAGACGATTCTATCTTTCCATGCACCACCTAGCCTCACAATCACGTCCGAGTCAGGCACATCCTTGATGCGTATCTTGTCGTCTTTATCCGGGTCATATCTGAAGACGACACCTTCCATCTTGTTTTGCGCCCGACCAAGCCAACCATCCTCGATGTAATGAAGGATGGCTTTTAATTTTGTCTGAGGGCAAGTCACGTAGGCGTAGTCACCAACACTCACGCTCAGAGAGCCTCGCAAAATTCCCCCAAGATGTGCAGCCGGATGCTTTAACTGATATGTCTCATTATCCCTTCGCTCGAGAGTAATGAAAATACCTAGATTATGCTCGCCTGGGGACACTTTGATAGTAGTACCGGTGAACTTCGCGCTGATCTGATCGAACCCCTTGGCATGTAATCCTTTCTCGGGACAGCTGACGTAGAAAGCACTGACTGGCGGGTGATGAGAGGTTTGCTCAGTCAAATATGATATCCGAACGATAGGCCCGGACGGATTAGTTGTAGTTTGGACAACAGATACGGTGGATGCTGTTCGTGGGTCGCCATTAGCCTTGGATGACTTGACCGAAGATGCACTACTGGCATTGCCACTGCTAGCAGTTGTCAAGCTCTTAGTATCGATCCGTGGCGCATTATCTTCTGCTTCCCAGTTACATCGGAAAAATTCGCCCAGGCAGGAATTATACGGTTTGCATGGTTTGCCCTTGACATATTTTAAATCCTTGGTAAACCAGAAACGTAGGACTTCGAGCATACGATCTAGAGGTTCGTCGGATGTACCTATCGCGGCAAACGCACTGGGACTGTCGAGGTAGTTCCAGTATTCTAAGTTGGGAGTCGGCTCGAGAAGCTGGGACGGAAGAGAGAATCGCACAGCAGCAAGATCTGCAACACCTATGAACCTAGAACATGGAGATATGTTAATAAAATCTATCACTAACGAATACAAACGTGTGAAAAAGGCGCATATTGCTGTATCTCGAAGTAATTCCGATTACGGATGAATACCGACGGTGGGTGGCGGTGAGTTTGCCTTCTCCCCTTTTGCTTCAGGGGGGGCAAAGATCAGTATACAAGAATTTGCTTACTTTCGTAGGATAGAAATAAAGGTCTTTAACTTAGACCCTTCATTTTGAGGGACATCCTCATCGACGTGTGCTGTGGGTGGAGGAGCTGTAGCCATGATGATAACTTTTGGTGGGATGGGATGGGAGGGGATGGGATGCGATTAAAGATGATTTTGATCTAGAAGGATTCTTATCGAAGAGATAGATATTAAGATAGAATAATCCGTATAGCAACTTGGAACCCCTATAGCGGCTGAGTTACCCCGGCTGGGATGACCAGCTCGCAAGTTTCTCCTGGTAATATAGATTGGATAATCTGAATGGCGATGACACACCTCTTGGTGGTTTGAGGGGAAGATTATTATGAGGTAGTATACGTAGGTAGGTAGCAAGGTAGTGTAAGAAATGCGATGTGGGTAGCTGAGGAAAGAAAGTTGAGGGTCTTCAAAGTGGGTAGGCTCAAGGTTGGTAAAGTTGGTCTGGTTGGCTTGACTTGCCCCAGCACACAGCACTTAGCAGCCCTAAGTTTGGCTTTTAGGTACCTAGAGTTAGGTTAGGAGGTAGGTACCTCTTAAGGTTGCATCAATGAATAGGTGGGTGACGTTAGTGCGATCGATAACGGAGTACGCATGCCGGTACCTGGATAACACGGATAGATAGCAGATGACCAAGCCTAATCCACTGTATTTTATAGTACCTACCTTAGGTACTTTCCCAAACATTTCAGATAAGCTTTCAGGGCGCCTTGCATGGTTATTGTCACACAAGGCCCCAGGTTTCATTCATTCGGAGCTAACGGGATAAGGGTTTACCTAAAGTACCGACCCTGTATCTCATCTGATGTCATTGAGGTCATTAGACATACTTAAGGGATACATATTGAGAAAAAGGTCATTTTGAATATTTCCGACTTTCTTATTAAAGCTAACCTAATTCTACTAGAATAAGAGGTACCCATTTTGTACTTGAATATTTAAGTCAATATCTAGATTGATATTTCTCTCTATAAAACCTACTAACATACATAATATACGAGTTTCCGTTAAAGAAGCAAATAAGTACCTAAGATACCTCCTTAAGGTATAATGCCCTCAGTTGCGCTAATGCCTTAGTCGCCCTAATACTTTGCTAGGACCTCAGTCTTGCATCAGCCAATCATTTAACCACGAGTTTTAAATATTGCGACTCGATTGCTTTGTCTTAACGCACGTAATATTACATAACCTTCGGCGTCTGACCCCAAGTTTGACCATCCTAGTTGCTATCCGAGAGAACGTGACTCGGACAATTATAGATGTTCCCTTGCCACACTTGGAAGTTTGTTATCGGATAGTGCTCCCAGGTTATCTTGACTAATGCTGCTCTCTAATGTTCTTTCAGAAATTTGGTACAAGCTAGAAAGGTTTCTCCATAAACCATCACCCAAGTCGTTCATTAAATTTCTATACAAAGCAATCCCTCAAGATCATATCTTGCTATAATGTCTCTTATCACCTCTGAGAGGTGTATTAGATAGGCACTATATAACATCCTCCCTGAGAATCTAAATGATTGGATCACATCTGCAGCTGAATCATCGCTGTAAAGAACTCTGCACCACTAGTTTTTTATGTTAGAATTATGTCGCTGGAATTGTATAATACCTAGATGATATAAAGGAATGAACTTACACGAGGACCGACACCATCGCTATGATAGGTGGCCTAAGCCCTACGAACCGTTCTTCCCAATGAGAACTTATAGCATAACACGCGATGGCGAGTAGGCCCAGAGTAATCAGGCCCAAAACTGCATCGTTACAAGCGAACCGGATACGTAGCCTATCTCTGAAGCTGCTCACGGATTCTCCCTTTTTGCGACCAAAGACCGAGAAAAACGGGCAGCTAACAATACTCAGAACAAGAGCAAATATATTCCAGACTGGGATAACCAAACAGACGACGAAAAGGAATCTATTGATCCAGTAGTTCCATCCGTCGCCGACCACTTTGATCGCATTGTCTATCGTGCAAGCGGCAAATGTCGTGTTGAAAAGCCGACAAAAAATAATAATAGCTAAGCCGCCTACGTAGGGTCTCTTTCGAAGAGGCTCAGCTGCGGGGTTTTCATGCGAGGGGGGTGAATGGTGCTCATCTGGGTACCCAAGGAGAGGTTCCCGGTCTTCTGCGAGAGGGGAACGACTTCTTGGCTCGGTGGCCATTCCAGACGATTCATTTGATCTCGCCATTACGGAAGAGAGGCTTTTGAGATTATCCACATAGGCCGGGATATGTGAATCCTCTGTAGCGTAAGTTATGTGTGAACTGGAAGACTGCATGCTGATAGACACTTGAGGATTTGCCGAATGGGATCTAATATTTGACGTAGTGAAGTTGTTGATGGATCAGATAATAGTCTATAAGATATGCTCGAAAATCTAGACCGAAAGAGCGAGCAATAACTTTTGATTTGGCAAAACTCAGCCTTGGTAGGCAGTGTACATAAAACCACCAGACCTGGTCCCGCACCCAACTGCAGGGGGAAAGATATCGTAATAATAGCCAATTATATGTGACTTATTCAGAAGTAGGCTGCGGGCGCAGGAAATTATGAACATATTCATCTTATAAAATGAAATAACAGCTAGAAGGAGCAGTGAAAGGTTGCTCTATGTAGATACCTTGGGTAATTAATAGAATATTAATAAAGTGAATAACTCATTAATGTTGACTAGGTACCGTACTCATGCGAGCCTTGTTGACGTCAACTAAGTACGAAACTACCCTCGTCTGCCTCGTGTGGCAAATTCGATATTTTAATGATTGGAGAATATTCTCCGCTCATGTTACTCTGCATTGAGACACCAGGTTACGAACTAGTTGTGGTAAGGCACTTATTTCGTGATCTGTGCTAAACGGCAAGAAGATGCGAAGTTTGTAAATTGAAAGGCTCTAGTCAATTGAGAATATTTGTTTAACTTACTTATTTCCTATTAGCTCGCTCTAATAATGATAGTAAGATAAAATGGCACCGTGAGGCGTGAAAGTATTTTTCACGATTGGTCTGAATTCTTGTTTTGTTCATCATCATAGTAAATGGTGCGTCCGGGGTAGTCTGGAGTGGCCGCAACTTGACGTGCTCCGTCACTTGGGTTTTAGGAACGGGACGGGCATAATAGAGAGGAAGCGATGCGGGGGATATAGGACTAAACCGCGCCTCCGTCGGAAAGATGGAACGCGGCTTAAAATTACGGACGTGTAATGCGGCCGGTCCCGTTATAAGGCAACCATGCTAATGCGGAGCGAACGACATGCTATCCAATAACGAAGAGCCAAGATCCGAGTCACCAGAACAAGCCTGCATAAGAGCACTATGGTGCTCTGCGCGCATATATACATGCCGAGCCGCATGGACAAAATGTCTAGCCGCGTCCTAGCATATGTTGGATACCTAGACTTGGTTAAATCGGTATTTCTCTGAAACTTCGTCGCCACAAAATCCGACATTGTCCGCTCTAGATTATGTAGGATGAATCTACTACTAAACTAGGTCAATCTTATGCGGATCCCATTGCATGGAATGTTTTGATGGCTCGCAAAGCATGGCCTCGTCTTGGTGAGAAGTGTTTCATCAAGTTTTTTCTCGTTGTCACAAGACGATGGGACGTTCTGGATACGACATTACATTCTTATGGGAAGCAGACGACTCTGAAACACCAAATTCAAACTATTCTGCAGATACGCCACCAATTGAAGAGGAACATCCGTTATTCCAGTGGAAGGACTCGTTCTTACAAGTGGTCATGACAGCCTATAAGGACCCGTGGGGGCGTCAGCAGGATGAGAGCGCCTTAGTAATCGACAGTACCGAAACTTCATTTGAATTAGTTGAACATGAGCGTGAGGATGACCGGCCGCGTAAACGTAATCGCTTGTCGGACTGTGCCTCAACCATTGCCGGGGAAAAGCAAAGTCAGAGGAGTTTTACCAAGCGACGAGCACAGGATCGCCGACTATGGCTAGCTTGTCCTTATGCCAAGAAGGACCCGGTTCGCTATAGGGACTGTTATAGATACTTCCTGGCTAGGGTTCGTGATGTTAAACAGCACGTAACACGATGCCATCGCAAACCAATACACTGCCCGATTTGTAACGATACATTTAAGGATGAAGACGAGAGGGATTTGCATATCGGGCTAAGGAGTTGTACGCCCCAACCTTCCACCATAATGGATGGTATCTCGGAAAAGCAAAAAAGGGAACTCAGCCAGAGAGTGTCGTCTAAGATGCCAGAGGAGCAGCAATGGTTTGCAGTCTTTGACATTATCTTCTCCCCACATCCGCGTCCAAGGACACCTTACCGTGACCGAGAGCTCTCCGACGACTTATGTGTTTTCCAGGACTTTATGACAGCCCGAGGACCGGCTCTTTTAGCCGAGTTCCTAGAAGCGAGGGGAGTAGTGACCTGGAATCTTCCGCGCGAAGAGAGGGACCTAGATACGTTTAAGGAGGAGGTGCTAGGGGAGGGATTGCAAGTTATCATCGATCAGTGGATGAGTGATAATGCGAAAGCCCTCGAGCCAGCCAGCGCTTCTCATAGTCTTCGTTCATCGCCAACGCTGGATTCGGGTATTGCGATGCAAAGCAGTCGCCAGCAAGCAGCAGATAAAAGGAGCAATGTCGGCAATTCATTGGGAAACGAGTACCGCGATGTCAGAAAAGAAGAGAAGGCATATGCAGACAAAAACTCACACGCAGTCAATATCTTTAGCCAGGCGACAGGTCTAGAAGACCGGGTGGATACGACTCTGAGCGGAGTTGTAGCAGAACATAACTCGCAACCCGTCGTTGGTGAATCTGCAGAACTATTAGAAGATATCTCAACCAACTCTGGTCAAAAATATTTGCTAGAGATGACGGATTCCTCAACCATATCGCAATTCGACTATACCACGTTTCCCACACCAACCGAAGTTCCGGACCTACTTAATTTCGATATGGGATGGCCACCTTGAATGGCAATTCAAACTTCGATTAGCTTATGAACTCGCTTGCTTGCTTGAAGCCTACGGATCATGACCTCCCTAAGCTAATGGGGTTAATTCCAGACGAGTAGAAACCCCATTTCCTTGTAAGCTCGGCCTGGCGTTAGCCATCAGACCCTACAAGAGACCTAATCGGTTTCTTGTGTACGACGCACGGTTATACCAATAATGAGCAATATTAACCGTAAATGGCGAACAGAGAGTATTGATAGTGTTAGCGCATTTATACGTTAGTAATATTTGAACAAGCGGCGCGTATAAACCTACGAGACATGGGACGAATATATCGACAACGAGAGAAAGAAGGTTGAGAAACGAGTTTTAGCTCAGAAAACATGCCAGGTCCCTTACCTACAAGTATTCTGTATTAGGTAAGCTAATTCAAACGCTGTATGCGCACGTGTAAACATGTAAACGAACGCTAACACGAATAAGAAATGCAAACCCTGGCGACTAATACATTTTCCATTTTATCAATAGGTACAAACTTTACACTCTGAATCAAAATTTGGAATTAGCATAAGGCCGACTCAACAATTATTTAAGCTCGATGATACGCCTATACGTAATGAAGATGATAAAAGAAAAACACGAACTCCATGCCATCCGAGCATCTAAAGTTAGCAGATCTTTGACTATTCGATGCGTCTATCCCCACTACAAATCGGGAACTATTATCCAATGAAAATGGTTTCGTTGGGCGATCGGCTTAACATGTCACCTTTCTTGGCTATAAATACGAAACGGTACTGATGAAACGATTATGCGCCCGCTAAAATGCTCGTATTGGTTATGATAAATCAAAAGTCTGGTCTGGTCTGAAAAACATAATAGCTACGGTTTTGAACTTTTCAACTTCAACTTCATCAACATTCGTTTAAAATGGCAAATCGGGTATGGCGGTACGGGCTACCCGCCTGTCTAGCTATCGTTGGAATCTTCGCTTCATCGAATACGCCGCGTGCGACTTGGCCAAACGGACCTTTCGTCACTTCGGACCGGTGGATTCACGATGCCACCGGCTCAACCGTCACCTATGTCGGTGTTAACTGGCCGGGATCGCTCGATACCATGATTCCGGAAGGTCTACAGTATCAGTCTATTGAATCAATCATCTCTCGAGTTAAGAGTCTAGGCATGAACACTATTCGGCTCACATACGCCACTGAAATGATAGATCAATACTACGATAATGGGGAGACTGATGTAACAATTCAGAAAGCCCTTACCGATGCTTTGGGACAAGATGGTGGAAAGGCAGTGTACGATAAGATCATTACCAACAACCCATCTTTTAATACAAAGACGACGCGGTTACAGGTCAGTTGGTATTTATTAAGTCGCACACTAAATTCTCGAAGCTAATGGAATATCCAAAGATTTATGACGCTATTGCGGATGAGTGTGCCAAACAAGAGATCTATGTCCACTTAGATAACCATATCTCAAAAGCTGGCTGGTGCTGCAGCCCCCTTGATGGGAACTCCTGGTGGGGCGACGAATTCTTTAACATTGAGAACTGGGCCCGAGGCCTATCGTTCATGGCAACTCATGTTTGTACAGCCGCATCTTCGTTAACGATGAATCATATTACTAATATCAACTAACTAGGGGAAAACATGGCCAAGCCTTACATCAATGTCTCTGCGAAATGAGCTTCGCATACCCCTAAATAACCTCACATTTGCCAGCAGTTCCTACAGCTGGGAACGTTGGTATACTTATATTAAACAGGGCTCAAGTGCTATTCATAAAGCCAATGAAGACGTCCTGATATTCCTTTCGGGTCTAGATTCGGACCTGGATTTAAGCCCCGTGGTTAACGGGACAGCCCTCACGCCCGGATCAGCTACATTCAATAAGGACGATTTCTCGGGCTTCGCGAATAAACTAGTTCTCGAGCTACATGCATACGACAACATTTTCGGACCTGGGCCCAGCAACTGTACTACGGTTCAAGTCAAATTATTTAACGCTGGATTCAAGGCCTTAACAGACGAAGCTGAGAACCAATTCCCAGTTGTCTTGACGGAGTTCGGTCTCGTACAGAACGGCACATCTGCGCAAGACCCATATGTCTCATGCCTCCTGGATTATGTACCTTCAGCGAATGCCGGTTGGATGATATGGGAAATAGGGGGAAGTTACTACATCCGCGAAGGGACTCAGGATCATGATGAAAGCTGGTGAGTTTCATAACGTCTTTTCTTTGTCGTAGTATATATGATGTAGCTTTGCATTATTCTTAGAATGCGAGGGCATCAATCTAACAATCAAATTTTAATAGGGGTTTATTGACACACGATTGGTCGGATTGGAGGTCTTCGGATTTTGCCAATAACGTCCTAACACCTGCGGCGAAACGGACTTTCACAATAGACCCGAACTCAGCAAGCAATATCTCCCCCAACACAGCCAACGACGATAAATCCCAGGGAGTGAGTATGTCAGCCATGCGCACTTCAGCTTTCTTCGATTTACCATTACCACTGCTTGTCGCAATACTGGTGGGGTTTGTATCTGTCTTTTAATATAAATGCTAGATGAATATGGATTCCAGCGCCTAGATCTTAATAAGAGCTAAATTACGGACAGAACAACTAATTCTCAATCGCCGTAGAATATGCTGCGATGTCGTTTGAAACTGATATCACTTCATAGTCTAACCATCAAACTCGAATAAAGTCTGCATCTGAGCACTCGTATATCCGGCATTCAATGCTAATTGCAGCATGATGCGGGCCTTCTGGGGATTTAGAAGACCACCTCCATATCCACCAGGGCCGTATGGTGGGACGTAACCATCCATCGATCGTCGCGAGTCAACCACAATTGTGCCACTCTTCTCTACGGCATCATCAATAACATCGGAACCCTTCGAAGTCCATGCTCCCGCTCCCATGCCAGCAAGGACTAGACCCCTAGCACCACTTGCAACAGCCGCAGACGCCAGAGTGGGGTTAAGTCCCTGATGGCCGAACAGGACATCAACCTGCGGAAGGCTCGTCGCATTACCAACGTCGAAATACGGCTTCCCGTGCGGCAGTGCAGGCATGAAGTAGAACTTGGGCTTGATATTGTAAAAGAAGCCTAGGAATCCCTGCTCAGCAGCTCTGAATGTGTCCAGGGAATTTGCGTTGCTCTTGGTTGTATAAAACGCACTCGCGATGCGGTCGTTCAGCACAATCATGGCGCCCCGGCCTCGGGCGTCTGGATGTGCGGCTAGGGTTACGGCTTCGAGGAGGTTAATTGGCCCGTCAGCGCTTATAGCTGTTGCGGGGCGCATGGCGCCGACGATGACGACGGGTTTCTCGGAACGCAACGTTAGGTCGAGGAAGAAGGCGGATTCTTCAAGCGTATCGGTGCCATGTGTCACTACGACACCTTGGCAGGTCGGGCTGTCGAGCTCTTGCTGTATTTGCCGTGTTATATTGAGAAGAATCTCGGGTGTGATACTTGACGATGCGACATTCGTTACTTGAACCCCGCGGACATTGGATACGTTCCACAACTGCGGCACGGCATCGATTAGACCATCAACGCCAAGCACGCCGGCCTTATACCCAGCGGTCTGATCGCTCGAGCTCGCGCTTCCTGCGATTGTGCCGCCAGTTGCGAAAATGGTTACATTAGGGAGACTCGCGTTGAACGGTCTATCCTCCCTCACAGATATGTGAAAGCTCCTAGGGAAAGGCACAGGAGACGCTACAACAAATGATGCTACGGCATTAAGTGCCAGAAACCTAAGGGACATCATTGCGACCCGGCCAATGTCTTTGAGAGAACAAGATTCACCGGCTCAAGAGCCTAGAGTAAGGCACAGCATTACGTTATATAGAGCCGCATGCTGTGGAGAATACCTTATCTATAGATGGCATTTGAAATGCGTGATATATTAACTCTCATATGACTATTGCTCTTGGCTGCATTTCATGCCGATTTTCCCCATGCGGACGATTAAAGCAGGGTCTCATATCACATACGTCGTAGCAGGGAGTTGCCAAGCAGCCGATGTTACCTTGTCAGGAACGGCGTCAACGTAGTATGGAATATAATTCTACTCCATAGATAACTCTAGCTTATCTCTAACTTGCTTACAAAAGGTCATCCTGGGCTATCAAACCGGAAGCGTAAGAGTATGACAATGTCAAATTGATAATATTGACAATACCTAGTGGCTGGTATAGGCCGAGAGAAATCATGGAAGTCAGGCTCTATAAACCCCCCATCAACGTTATCTATTTATTTGTGGCTAGATTCGCCGTAAACTGAAGAATTGCCCGTCTCTTATTGCTACATCGGGTATTAGTATGTCTAGTTGACATTGCCTGAAAGGGGCCGCAATTATAGCGCCACAGAGTATTATGAATCGTCGAGGTTGAACTGCGTGAAGTATTCCCTAATGTCTCTTCCTTCTTTTGCGGGGGTTTTCGCGTATATCTTCATCCACTCCTCCCTTTCAAAAGGTGGTCTGTTATAATGGAGTCTAATCCCGAACTGGCGGCAATATTCTTTCAATCTGACTAGATGATCCCAAGGCCACGTATCTGTGGCATAACTCTGGTCGGGCCTAAAGCCAACATAGATCCTCTTGAGTGGCAATGACTTTGACACTGCTGTATCCACCAACTTTTGTAGCCATCGCTCTTCTTTTTCTCCGAATGCATCCCAGGTTTCCCTGAAAAAGCCAGTGGAAATAGTGAAATACCAAAAGAACTCTTCAAGCTTCGGTGCGAGTATCAGATTCACGTCGTTCTCGGAAGATTCTAGACCATGCGAGAACAAATATCTGGAAAGCCCAAGGGTCTTTAATGACTGATATTGGGACAAGTCAAAGATATTACCTCTACCCGAGGGCGATAAGGGGCCAATATCTATTTCCTCGAGTGTATCTGCATGGGCTGAAAGCCACTGGCCGAGCTTTGCCAGATCCATATGGTCGTCACGTTCATGAAAGAAGCTGTGCCAAAGAGAAAAAGACCGAAGCTGTTTAGGCCATCGGATCAAACGTTCCACAGATCCACCGTCCTTCTCGAAACCTTGCATTTCAAGATCTCTCAACGCAGCCGTACTATCTCGGTTCTCAAAGATCTCCGCTGGTCCAGCATTTCCTGCTCTCCAAATTGACAACTTCCGAAGTCTCGAGGCGGTAACGTGTTTCATCAGAGACGATAAAAAGGAGCTGGGGAACAGAGGGGTTTGATAATCTTTCTTGATTACGAGATGCTTCAAATTTGGCATATGCGTCAAAAGGTCGGAAGTCAGCTGCCATGTCTCGCTAATAGCCGTATCAAATCTTCCAGTGATTGTCAGACATTCTAATCGGTTATAGCCCGTGAAAAAATCAGTTGTAGCAAGCCAGTGCGCGTTGGTCATAGGCCTCGCACTCCTGATATCTAAAATCAGCTGCCTGCAGTCTTGCCGATAAGGTAACCAGATTTGACGTAGAGACTCGTGGTTGCAGTTAGAACATACGATATGATACAGGTATCTGTAAAAGAATGGCATCGTTATACGGTTTAAACGACGGCAAACCTTCGCTAACGCCTGGATAGTTTTCCAATCTGGGTCACCTCCGCAGCAGTCGATATAGGTGTGTCTATTACGGCTGGCCGAAAACTTTACAATAGCGAGGACTAATTCATCTGGAAGTATGTCGAAAGGAGATTCGTAGCGTGCGTTCTCGCTATAGTTTGCCCAAGGTAAATCCACGATCTTGAGAACTCCTGCCACAGAAGGGCCGAGATGTAATTGGCGAGTAGGCACCATTCTGGCGTGGGGGCGATTCGAAGCCATCTTGTTCTAATAGTTAGAAGATAATACGGATAACACGCGCCGCGGATTTGAAGTATGCTGAAGAGTAGAGCTTGGGTGGTAAGGTTGATCGAAGTAGTTTTTGAGGCGGCCTCTTAATACCCTCAAAGGCACAATGACCCCTTCTAAAGGTCCTCCTTAGATATTTAGATGGAAGTTCAGGTCTCAGCGCCAGGATAAGATATGAGAAGATTATGTTACGTACCTGATTAAGTACCCAGCTCACTACAGTATTATTTGCGTAGTTATGGGTCGACTCACACATTTCTTTGACGTGGCTTCCACGCATTCCGAGTCAACTGACAAACATCGAATGTGATTCATTGGCTTAATATTTTAGAAGGTTTCTTTTGCTACTGCATGTACCTCCTAGACAGGTGTCTAGAAAAATTAGAAGTTTGCTAAATTACCTACCTACCTAGGTACCTAAGGTATTTAAACTTGTGTTTTCAGGTATGGATAAGTACCTTGCACATATATCCTGAGATGTATAACATAGACGTTTTGCTTGTACAGTGTGCTTTGTAGGAAAGTGCTACAAATGTCTAGGATAAGAAAGGGGTTTCGATCAATGGATATCTGTAGAAACAATGTAAGATTATTATGTCGAGTAACGGTTCTCGGACCACCGAGGGGTTGAGTAAAAAGGAGGTACTAAACAGGTAGCTTCAAATATACGAGTCTTAGAAACCATACTTTCTTGCTGGAAGTTCAAAGACATCGAAGCCTCACCTAACATCTAGGCGTCGAGATAAACACTATATAACTACCTACATGTACCTATAGACTTTTAATTCAATGCACAATATTGAGTAGATATTCAGTACACATATCAAATTCCCTAATGGCGATCAACCACAAACTAATTAACGCGCAATCTTGCAATTATAAAATGTGGACAATGCTGTGCTCTGTGTGTTTTGAAAACAAGTCGATTCTCGACTTTCCAGACGGTGCATTGACAAATAATTGTGCCCATCCTAATTACTGCTCCGAATGCGTCACACTATGTATTAACTCTCAACTTCAGGATGTTACGGTAGATATGCCCATATGTCCTGAGTGTAAAGGGCATTTCAGTCACACAATAGTTAAATCCTTTGGGGATAAGGATTTATTTGCTCGGTGAGCCGAAATCTCCAAGTTAAGACAGATAATTTTCGTGAATAACTTAAGCACCGAATTCCAAGCAATTATAAACTCTAACATGCTGCTTAAGGTATAGGAGACGAATAATCGAAAGGATTCTTTCTAGAATGAACAATTTTGTTTGGTGTCCCCTTGGTTGTGGAAAGGGGCAAGTGCATTACCCGGGAGAAACCTCGCCTATGGCTTTCTGTCCCAGAGATAATGGATATTTCTGCTTTCGCCACGGGACCGCATGGCACCGCGATCTCACCTGTGAGAAATATGACGCCTCGCTTGAGCAGAAACGAAGACGAGAAACTCGACAGCATAGAGATAGGCTAAGAGCAGAAGAGGCCGCAACAGCCCGTATTATAAAACACTGCCCAAATTGCGCTGTTGAAATTTTTAAGGACGGCGGCTGGTGAGTATATCTATCAAGGCGAAACTTAGAATCAAAGTAAAACTTGCTAATAGGACCCTTTCTAGTGATCATATGATTTGTATTGCTTACCTTGCAAGCACGTTGTGCTTAAATATTCAAAACTTCTGCTAATACTCAGTTATTACAGGTACCATGTGCAGATACAGGTTCAATTGGACACGAGTGCGCCATTAACGCACCGTAAGATAGTAGAACCGGCTAACTCTGTGAATAATATAAACTAAATATTCCGTTAAATAACACTTCTATGTCATATAAGACTTTAAAAGCTCCCTGTATAGGTATTTCTATTATTAGGGATACTCTCTGGCCTAGAACGTATATAAAGATACGGACTTGTGCAGATCAAATTTATTCCTTGACGTCTCTGGCAGTCGACTGAAACATCTTTCGGTTTCGAGTTTGGAATCGGCAGTCTTTATTATATCAGTTCTCACGCCAATATGATGAATCGTATACATTTACTGTTGATCAACGACAACAGGCTTCAATCCAACCGTATGGATATCACCGATTTAATATATCAAACAGGCACCTTTCTCCTTTGATCCCCATCGGAAAATTACTAAAGGAGATAGGTACGTAGTAGGTTGAGGTTAGACATATTTGAGAAGTAGGTTTGATAGAAAAGGAATTTTCTATTTTAAACATTATAGTTACTATTCTGAGATAATGAAAATATTTGGCGCCTCTTTAAAAGACCCGAGGGAATAATGATTGCTCTTGAGCTTATACTATGTTTCAATATTAAATTGTTCGAAGCTTACGCAAATACAAGGCGTGCCACCGCACCCTTTTCTCCAGATGCCCAACATGTGCCCCCCTTTACACACTCGACACTATCCAAGCTACTGTTATCAAAAATATGCCAATTCATACCTCCATCGAGAGTATAGTCCGAACCCGTTGGGCCTACCGCAAGAGCTACGTTATAGCGCCCAGGAACCCAAGAAGACCCCGAGCGATAACCGGAGGGAAATGACTTGGAAGGGATCCAAGTCACACCGCCGTCTTTTGACCACGCTGCATTGTTAATAGCTCCGGTAGGCGCCGAATAGTTTCCGCCAACAGCAATGCCGCGCTTCGCATCTCGAAACTGTACCGAGAAGACACCGGAACCCTCGCCGCCGGTTATAGAAGCATCGGAAACGCCCCAATGGTGTCCATCGTTACTTCTGAATATGCGGCCAGGGTTAACACCCCCCGACGCAACATACCAGCGGCCGGCCGTTGTCGCAAGACACGTTCCACTCGCAGCGAACCCCGACTCGCCTTCGAGCGCCGGGACCATACCGTCCGAGTCGACGATATCCCAACTCGCGCCGCCGTCATGCGTCTCGATTAACCGGATCTTCCCATCGACCGGGTCGCTCATCGCCATTCCCCGCTTCGCACTCTCAAACGCGATACAGTCGTAAAACGCGGTGGGTTCCTGATTCGTGAACGATTGTGCCCAGGTCACGCCGCCATCATCCGTGACGTAGATGCGCGAACTGTTACCTTCGCCAATTGACAATATGACGGCCTTATCGGCAGACCACGCTTCGACGTCGCGGAACTCGAGTGCGGAATCCGCCTCCGATAGTTCAGGGCCGACGGATGCCCAGGTGTTGCCGCCGTCTGTAGAGCGAAGAACAGTTCCGCTCGTTCCTGATACCCACGCGATCTTATCCGACACGGGTGCTAAGCCGCGAAAACGCGCGTCGCTTCCCGTGGAGAAACGCTTCCATGTCGGTTTTGGGACCGCGGTGTTCTCCGGGTTTGTTGGTAGCCCGGCGCTTAAGCTCGCCAAGGTAGCGATGCCAAGTAGGGGAATCCACGATAGACGCGTCATGATTGCTTCACTTACACGTTCTCACGACCACGATCTTCACCGAGGGCTGATTGAGTATTAATGCGGTCGGTTTGACCAAAGAATAAGAATAGGAGACATGACTTTTTAATTTAAATTAGATCTCAACTCGACCTAATCTTATCATTGTTGGTTCTGGCAGCTTGTGGCGTAGCGCTCTCCCGAGTCCATGGCGCCTTTGCGTACCCCCTGTCGCAAACATCTTTTCCTTATTAGGCAGGTCGAGTTAACACTTCGAAGTCGAGGAGTCTAGTTGTTCTTAAAGTGTCAATGATAATATGATAGAATACATTGTCTTTATTGTCTATTTTGTTAGGTTCTACTTAAGAGAAATAACAAGTATAATTGCAAGAATATTATTCTCATTGTTCTATGTATTCATCAATGTGAAATCTCGGTAACTATACCTAAGTTGTTGTCGCAAAGTTCAATCCTTCCCTCCAAAAATGGGACCTTAATCACTACCTACGCCAAGGCATAAACTGCATTATTTCTTACTTCCTACTTTACTTTTAAATGGAAAGTACTTAGGCGCTCGAGGATAGCCCATTAAAGTCATACAAGGTCGTTTGTCTAGATATCCGTCTTTATTACAGGGCTGTGCGACTGCTGCGTATGCACTTCTAGATAGTGGTGGTTTAGACCCCGATCCCATACGCGGAGTGGGCTTACGCTCGACGGGTTCCGGCTCCGATACCAATTCCGCATCGCAGATGTCACCGGCTATAGACATAGCATATGTACCTTGACTCACCTGTGGGATGTTTCTTGCTGATACGTCCTTTATGGTTACTTCTCTGTTGTAGTCTTCAAGTTGTTCGCCCGAGTCTAGTGGCTCAGGAAGTATTACATCTATGAAGACCAATTCATCAGAGGCGTTTGCTTCGTCGAGGTGTATTACATCCGACACCTGTTCGTTCACCTTGCATTGTTTCTCAGCATCCAAATCGTGTAACTCGGTGTCATTGTTCGAGGAAACCCCAGCACTGATCTCAGTAGGACTTTTATCCTCATTACAACTTTTGAACCTGACTTGCCTGACCGCTTCTAACATTTCTGAGTCAAATGGTTCTGGCATGGCTTCTGAACATGGCCATTTCACTCGTAGGTATTCTTCATACTTCATAAACTCAAGATCTCCTTTGGAGAATCCTGCGTTAGAAGGTCCTAGTTGATGCCAGACGATCTTGCGCTGGGAAGACATATCCAGTTCATCTAGAAGGCCATTGAATGTATTACATCTCAGAAATTCTACGAAAGTTTCAGGCAGTGTTTCACTCATATTTGTTCATAAGTTCTTAGAAGCGAAAGGAAGTCTTTAATATTTACTTCTTTATGAGAACTAAGGCGTCTCACAGACAATAGATACAATGCAATTGGCGTGAAAGCTGGTGAGGCTACTAACTTACTATAAAGCATATTACATAATCACCGACGATTGAGAATAGGATATCTCTTGTTCAAGGTATTATTCTTGAACTTAGCTTTTGTTATAATAACCCTGAACGAGAACCTCCATATGTGCCAAGAAAACTCCAAATGTCTGCTTTATTCGAAGTTATCATTGCTTGCTTTGACAGCGCGGAGTGCTCGATTGAGCCATGTTAAAGTATAACTTATAATGTCATAAAAACAAATCAGTTGCTTATTTAACAAGTTATATTTTTTAGAGTATAGTAGAAATTCGACATTGGGGTGTAACGTAGGTACCTACCTAGGTACGTACATCTTTAAACCACTCGATTTTAGTTAAGGCACAGCGAGCATTTTTCAAATATGAGACTACCTAAAGTAAATCGTTCATCTTTATGTAGTATACAAGGTTGAACGGGTTGTTTCCACTTATTTTTATTTTTAGTTCTAATGAGGTCTTCATAGATTAAGTTGTTGAATTAAGGGATAAGCGTAAGGCGACCTAACTTACCGAGGTTCATATTGTCTTACAACATACCCGTTTATGAGTATGACGGGGAGCATGACGGGGCGGTCCGAACGTCTCCGGCTTGAAACATACAGCAGATAGTTAAAGCCGTCAGGTCCATTTATTGGTGATTCGTCATCACTTTGCAACACTAGCGACTACGGAGATTTGTTTGCATCGACAACTTATTCATACTTTACCGGAGTGGTTAGTGCCCCTATCTTTATGCAGGCACAGCCCTATTATTTTTGGGTCTTAACTAGAAATCCGAAGACGGCGTCCTTCACAACCTCTTTGATAACGGTGTCCCACTTAGAGGTCTAATATCGTAAGGGGTTACGACGGTGTAACTTGTAGTCGTGTTCTGGACGGGCTTGGCTATGTTGTGCGTAGTGTATACTACATAAACATGCATATACCTGTTAATTAGACTGGACGCTAGGGATATCTCAACGGCTACGTGCCGCGCTGGATGATTGTTCCTATACCGTTCGTAAGCCTCCGCTTAATGCGACAGAACTTTAACGAGACGTCAAATATCGGGTATGCCATATGAGGAAATTTTTTTTTAGAAAAGCCTTCCTAGATAAGGTATTTCTCTAGAGATCCTATTCGTATATCTTGGGATATGTGGTGTCGTCAGGGCTGTTCTTAGGTCTGATGAAAATATTCGCAAGTTGCGGAGGATTCAATGTCCTCGTGCGTACGGGATACGAAGAAATTGACCGGGTTGTGAATCCGGACCCGAGTAATATAGAAGCAAACCAATTAAGTACATACAACGTGGGCTATAAATTATATGTAGTGCGATATGTGGTTGCACAGCAGTAAAGCAGTATCACTTCTATTTTCACCCTACATATGCTGTAGGAGTAGTAGACAGGTTTTATTTTCTCACACCGAATTTTCATATTTCTTCGTAACGAACTAACAAGAGGTCTTCATCGTGTTACACGTAGCATTTTGCATCAATACTCGCGTCATCAACGGCATATTCGGTATTCTCGTGTTCTGAGATAAAGTGAACGAATCAAGCTTATGATGTAGGTCATGGCCGGGCCGACTGCCAAGATCTAGCAGTTGGTGAGGCTGAATGCGGTAATGTCCTACGCCGCTCATTGACCCCGCCGCTACGGCGCAGGATGGGTCTCTTGCGATTCCCGACGCCGTCGTTAAGTTAGTCGAGGGCTAAGAAGGGTTTTAGGATGCGGCAAGGATGAAAAGTCTCCTTGTCAAGATAAGCTAAGAGCCCGAGAAAATAGTCGATGAAGTCATTTTACATAAGGGACCTTGTAAGAATGCGAAGCGAAGTGACAGCTAACTGACCTGCTGACCAGTTGTCAATCTTTTTGGACGCCGAGGGCTAACTCGGGACATCTTGCATGCCAACGATGATCTGCGCCGGAACGGGTAAATAGCTTCGAGGGTAGTACCAGCTTCTAGTTTTGTTGCTGAGGATACAACATTAAAGCTTGTGGTGACGATATTTGGTCACAGAAAGTTACGGATAATCATCCGTGGTCGAAGGGTTTCTTTCTACTTACTTACTAGCGTAACTGGCTTAATGTATGGCATCGTAAGATGTCACACTTTCGATCTCTCGGTTTGTTACCTACATGGATGGTGTTTTTGGTTAGTGTTAAAGACGTCATGTAGTTTGCAAGCAGTAGCAGGCGGGTTTACTAACCTACCTAACTAACTCGGAAATATGCACCGTTGTGTCTGCATGTTGTCCTGTATACTGGCACCGTTCGGATAACGGCCCAGCCCTTTGGGATATTTTTATTTTTATTTTTTTCCTCTTTTTTTTATAGCTCAAAGTCAAAACGGCCATGTTTAAGCCAGGTTTTATATTAATAAACCCGCGAGGGATGCCATTGATGGTAAGGAGGGGCTAGACCGCGCCGCCAACATTCATCGGTGAATATGAAGGAAATTCGTCTATTCAGATCTCGAGGATTAGGCTCATATCTGGACTGGCCAACATGATCTTAACGTCATAACATGCCATCCTGGCTCTCACGGCTTCAGGGATACGGTCGTTCGGGAATAACAATAATACAATTACTGCAAACCCCGCATTGGCGGCACCGCATCGTATAGTACTAGGGTTAGTCGGGCTCGGCCCAGCCGGCACAGCTAAGCTATCGTAGAAATCGGCCCCAAGAGAACGGGATTGTATGTATTGTATTGTATGTCTGACGCAAAGAATCGATGGTTGATAAAAAAGAAAAAAGACCCACGCTTTGTGTCCCCGCTCGAGTCGACAGTTACACATAGTAAAGATAGTAAAGACGGGTGGTGATCGTCAAGGGCTAGACCAAACACAGCATATTGCTTTGTATTCTTGCCAGCAAAGCGATGCGCCAAATACGTGCGGTGACGCCCGGCGCCCCCAATTCTCGTATTTGGCAACACTTTGCAGTCTCTGCCGCTTGCACTAGGCGCTCGATGGTATGTACAATAATACACATAATACAAAATACTACAAAATACTACACACACAATAACAATATCCCTGCCAGGTTAGGGGTTCAGCTCACAGCCTCATTTGGCACAAGCGCCAACCCATCATAACCGCTTTTAAGATTTCCTAACCGCAAATGTCCCTAGAAGTACCCGTCTTGTTTCCACTGTTTCTGCAAATCAGCATGTAGGAGCTATGACGTTCCCTAGGATCTTTGTGCCGGAACATTGCCTTTGAAAACAACTACCAAAATACATTGAAAGAGATCAGCGTATTGTCCTAAGATGATGATCGTCAATTGTATTCTAGAGCTCTAAGAGCACAACATTTAAAGAGCCTCGTCCATCACTAGATCTTACCAACTATGCATTGGGGATCTTGTCTTACATCAAACCCTTTAATAATAATAACCTAGCACCCTGAGTTCCATCAATCTATCTGTGTGGACCTTCCCGTCGTACCCTCGCTAGCTTCAATATAATAATAGTAATCATCTTCCAAGGAGACGATCGATCCCGACTGATCGGCATAATGCGATTCTCTTTCACTACCCAGGCTCTCGTCGGCGCCGTCGCCGTGTCGGCTCTGACTGTTCCCCGCTCCGTTGAGAAGCGGTTAACTCTTATCGATCTCAAGCAGTTTGGCAGCTTTCCGACTATTACACCTGAACAAGCCCATTCTCAAGCCGAGAAAATAAAGGGCCCCTTTAGCGATGGACCTCAGTTCAACTTCCCTAAGATCATCGGTGGCAATAAAAGCCCCTCCGCTGGAGAGGATAAAGTTGTCACTACGAGTGCCGCTGCTGCTGACGGCACATGCGATCGAAATAACCCAAAGGTTCGCGTCGAATGGAAGAATTACTCCCCTGATGACCGGAAAGCCTTTCTCAGCGCTATCAAATGTCTAATGGACAAGCCCTCTGCTGGAGGATTCCAAGGCTCAAAAAGCCGCTACGAAGATATCGTATCGGTACACCAGCAAATGACTCCTAACATTCACCAGCGTGCCACATTCCTACCTTGGCACCGATACTACGTCTCGATTTTTGAGGATTTGATGCGGAACGAATGTGGCTTCAACGGAGCCTTCCCGTGGTGGGACGAGACGAAAGATGCTGGTCACTTTGCTGACTCGGATCTTTTTACCGATGAGTATTTCGGTCCTCTCCCCGGAAAGACTTCCAACGGCCAAGGCACCTGCATTGATACGGGTGTAAGTATTCTCCGTCTACCTCGCAACAAAAACTGGACGTAGACTAATTGTTCTAGACATTTGGTGGACTCAGACTTCACATTGGCCCCGGCAGTGGGTTCCAAGACCATTGTCTTTCGCGAGCCGTCGATGAGAGCTTGACTGGTACCGTCAGTGCTCAATTTGTTCAGGACTGTAACTCCCGCACCTCATATGATGACATGCGAGGTTGCCAGGAACTTGGGTAAGATTCAGCCTCTCAATCTATTTTAGATTTAAATTTATTAACAGACCCTTGTAGCCCACACGCTTACGGTCACAACGGTGTTGGCGCAGTTATGGCCGAGGTTCAGGCCTCTCCCGGAGACCCGATATTCTTTATGCACCATCTGTTCGTCGACCACTCGTTCCGAATCTGGCAGAACGCCGACGCCTCGCGCACTACTTCTATCAACGGCTGCTCTGACGCGAACAGCCCATGCACTCAAATTACTATGGATTATGTCCTCTCTTCCAACGGCCTGAAAGCCAACACCACTGTCGGTAACGTTATGGATACCATGGGTGGCTACCTGTGTTACCGATACGACTACTAGTTTTGGATACCATACCGTAGATGTCCGCTACGGTCGATTTCTATTAAATATTTGTCATGACGTTTTCATCTTGTATCGCATTCGTATCAATGCAGAATAGGCGTTGGGGTTTTGGAAAGAGTTATGATACGGCAATGGGCAATCACATTCGATTAGCCATATGATGATACCTTTTGGGATAGAAGAAGAGTCAACCCGGAACATTCATTAGAATCTATACCCCAGGGAGTGTTTAGTACATAGCAAAATCAGGCATGGGTATATGCTAGTATATTGAATTTAAAATTCACTTTCAACGCTCTTTGCATCATTTCAGCTGATCGACGCTGCAATCATCCGAAGCCTTAATCAACCCAACCTCATATATGTAGGTACACAGCAAATGGGATGCTTCGTTGTAACCACACCACACCACCACCGGCATGGTTAACACGTGCATGTAAAACATATCAAATAAGCATAGAATATATAAAATCTATGATAACTTTGCGGTTTTATTATTTAAACGATTATTATCAACCTTAGGTATCAACGGAGGATTAATATAAGAATACTAACATTTCAGGAGAGGGAATCTACCAAACCCACTATGGTTATTCCCATAGGCTTCATACCACTAAAATATAGAAAATGTACATACGCCTTTACGACGATAATTCCTATGCCGTGTCTATCCGCTTGTAGCATATTTTAACAAGACCTTTAAGATATTCTATTGCAATAATAAGTCACGGAGTTGCCGAATACGTTATAAACAGTGATGACCAAAAGATATTCGGGCCGAGAGTAGACCTTTGAGTAACTACTAATAATTACATTCTTTGGGGAATTAAATTAGTATTCTTTCATTCAAATTCTTAGATAAATGAGTCTATAGTAAAAGAGTATAGTAAAGATAAGGTACTGTATGAATCTTAGCTTGTCGCACGGAGAGCAACAATGAAGTTGTAAAAAGAAATCTTACATTTTTATGCACTACTACATAACAATATCTTAGAAGGAGTGCAGTTGATGAAATAGGTGCCTAGGCAAATATTAACCATTGACTTGGTGATGAATCATACAAACGAGCACGTAAGAAAGTACACCGGCGACATTGGAATGTTGCAAGACTAAGGGGCATTGCCGGACAATATTCAAATAAATAGTAAATAAATAAACAATTATACCGCCGGCCCTAAAGCAAGATAATCACATCTTCTAACTTAATGAACGTGATGGAAATTTAGTATACATAAATCCGGTTAAAAACTGCTTGCTAATCTCATTGATCTTATCCAAAGAACAATCTTCACCCAGAAGTCAAGCTCGGAGCTGGAGCACAAGACACTTCGGCCTTTTCCATGACATTCTCCATATCATATTGCTCTCCATCAATATTCCCGCTCTTGAACAGTGCTGGACCGACGATAATCTCAACGTATTTATGACAATATTGATCCGACGATGGTATTTCTTCCTCGTCTAGATCCATATCCTTCATGACACCATCGTCAAAGATAGCCCTCAAAGCGGTGGGTATCGCGGCAGTATTACCACCCGGCACAGGCTGTTGTCTGGTAGCCGGGAAACGTACTGACCACGAGGCACGTTGGCGCCGAAGCAAGCGAGAGAGTTCTAGTGCTGGCTTGTATACATTTTCAATGAGCCGCTGGGTCGGATCGCGATCGTGTCCTAGGGGATTGATTACTTTGAGCACGGATGCTGCGTTTTCTATCATGATATCTTCCTCGGTGAAGTCGGGGTACTTCTTGGCGAGGAGCGCCATCGTAACAGCCCGCCATTGGTGAAAGCTGCTTAATGTTATGGCATGTCCTGACGATATGGCGTTATGTTAGCTTCCATATTTGCATTCCATGACCATCTATAATAGTGCTTCCGACTCACCTGAGTTCAACAGGGCTCGCTCTACATCTACCAGTCCCCGACGAGTTTGTTCCGGGATCCAATAGTCGGTACCAGAATCCCACTATAGTGTTTAAAGTGCCAATTAGTCTTCCAAAGGACTTGAAAGCTTGAATCTGAGCGGAAATGCTTACTTGGTAATTCTTGGATGGTAACGTCCGAAACATGGTCTCGGTAACATTAAGAGCCACCCAGCCGCGAACGAACTTACGTCGTCGCTTGCTATCGGAGAGGCAGGTAGCCCAGTCATCGACATTTCCCATCATCGGTAACACGCGCTGTAGAAGCCGGAACTGCTCTTCATCCGGAAACCCTAGCTTAATCGGTTTGTCGCTGTTTACACAGAATTTGTTCGCCCACGTTCTAATCTGATGATATAAGCTACGGAACTTAGAAGTAATTGCTTCGTCGGACTCCTGATACCCTAGAGCTGCTTCTTTATTGTCTACGTAGCCCTGGAGCTTGTCGTTGCGTCTCTTGATGATCTGGTTAGACTCCTCTAACGCTTGGACCTGGTCGTGCAGATGCTCCATCTCTATCTGTTGCTTTTTGTTCTTTTCCTTCGTTTGGTGGTATTTTGCCTCCAGTTTATCAAAACGTTCGTCACACGCTTGTTCTATTGGAGAGGGTCCACCTCGATTAAGACGGTCAACCATCTACTCCCGACAGTATTCAGCACCAAATCTCCCAGGAAGCTTCAGTCAACTTACACCACGAAAACCTGTAAATGAAATCCCAGTACCCTGTGTAGTAGTGTCACGACTACTATGCTTAGGTTGGTTTCGCTGACCTTGGCCATTCCCCGGTAGATGGCCTAGGTTCCCCAAGGTACGTTAGTATTGAGAAGAATAAAAATTCCACAAGCTTACTTATTTCTTCCACGATATACCCATCATTCGATCCTCTCCCGGAGGCTATCTCATCATTGTTGATTCTTCTCATCCCTTTCCTAGTAAGCTTGTTACCAGGCCGGGGAGGAATACCTGGGCCTTGATTATTTTCATCGCGCTCTTCAAGGCTGTCATATACTTGCATGTCTCGTGAGTGGATTGTCCGATTCATACTTGAAACTAAAAGTGTGAATTTCGATAAGAGTTGGATGAAATACGGGATTAGGAATATGACTTAGAGCGGTAAAAATTAGCAGCGACAAATTCTCAGAGAGTTAGTTCTGATGGGCGGAAGAGCTTAATCGAGAACAGTCAGTCTTAACAACCACCTAGGATACTAGCCAGCTTAGGGGCGTATGACCTTTCGCCGTACTCTCGGTGTGTATCTATTCCATCCACACAGCCTTCGCGGAGCTGAACATTAGCTAAGTCAGCCTACCTATACCCCAAAGTATACAACAAATTATCTTACCTAGTCCACCACCCACCACACCTAGAGTCCTAGATAATACTATAGGGGTAACCCCTGCCATGCTACTGTTCTGTGATAGAATCCTAAACTAGGTGCTAACTATTATCATTCGCTATATAATTAGGACTTGCAAGCATATCTTCTTTTTTTATCTTAATCTCTCCCCATATTTGGACAAGGGGGTAGCAGGCGCTTCCTATGCAAGTAAGATGAAAAACCTAGTGAGGTAGGTACCTTTGATAGGTCTTGACACCGTGCTTAGAAAATAAGGCTCTCTAGCCGGTGCTGAAGTCATTGTTTATTTTAGATAATGAAATCAGGTAGTTATGCGCCATATTAATCTAGACCGTCGTCTTAGGTACCTGTTGACAAAGTGATCCAACGTGTGTCATATTATCTTGCGATTCACGTATAAGTCATATTTCAAGGCTTGATACATGGCGCACGTTAATAAAATAAAAGTTGGGATAGACGTGTATTATACAAAGAGTATTATATATTGGTGGATTTCCTAGCCAGATGAGTCCCCAGCAAGCAGTCCTCCTATCCAAGAAGTAAACAAATCGCCTACGCCCGGGGGCACGCCGACGAAAAGAAGAAGTATGTTGATAGCCATTGGGGCGAACGGGAGGGCTTTATTGAGCCCTTTAACGAACCTTTGCCTTTTAGTCTCCTTCCGAATTTCCTCTTGGACTTCTCCTGCGATGTCTCGTTCAAGACTAACCTGTTGCTGTTCGGCGCTTTTGAGCCGGTCCCTCTCACGCTGTATGTCTAATTGCACTTGGCGCTTCATCATTCTATCACTCTCTTGAAGCTCTCTTCGAAGATCCTCGAGGGCTTGCAATTCTCTCTCGTATTTTGCTTTCAGCTCCTCGAGACCATCACTGACATACGAGCCAGCAGTTGTTTCACTTAGTTGCATACCGTCATTGACCATTTCTTCCTGGAGCTTCAAAGTGACTGTTTCTTTGATAAGTAGCTGTGCAGCAATAGTCCGAGCTGAATCGCGATCCCCATGAAAGCGATTCATACACGAGCCTCGACCAAGCATGTAAGCCCACTATAATGCTTAGAATTAGTAGCTGAATAACTAGTTGAATTACTCACATTCGAAGCTATGTGTAGAAGATGAGATATGATTTCAAAAATTACTCACAAATTTCTCGCGAAGTTGGCGCTCCCGGCTAGCCCCAGTCGGCTCGTCAACCTCGTCCCAGCGACTGGTAATAAGAACTACATTCTTCATCGCCTCGTCCCCGCAGATTCGTCTGAAAATCTCAAACGTTTTAACGGCTGAACCTGTATACCGGTTGTCTGTAATGCGATGGACATAGATGATCCCTTTTAACTGAAACCCGAGAGTGTACTGGCTAGCAAGTAATCTTGCGATCTCAGTCAGGATATCAGAGTCTGTACGGTCGGTATCATCAAAACCAGGCGTGTCGATGAGAAGAGTCCGAGTGCTTCCGATTGAGACAGGAACTACTTCACATCGCTGTGTACCTATACCAATCGTGGAATTAGTTGTCAGATAGAACCCCTGGCCAACGATACTTACATGAATCCAGTTGAGCCCCCTCTGCGACTGCAGGAAGACCTGCAAGCTTATTGATAAAATAACTCTTTCCCGACCCAGTTACACCCATCACTACAATCATGGGAAGCCCAAGTTGAGGCGGTAGGGGGGAGTCGTCAAATAGCGGCGAATCTGTTGGGCTGTCCATAGCTTATGTCTGCTAACTGGAGAATTTCATACAGTAGAGAATTGGAATGATGGAACACAGCGAAGCACAATTCACTTTATCATTGTTTGATATCAGCGCATAGGACATTGAAGCTAAACATGGCGGCGTTTTAGTCTCATACTGTGTATTTCCGTACAAGGCTGTGTGAGTGTGGTAAGCAGTGCAGGCGGATTGTCTACCTTGCAAGCTTTATCAATAGGTAGTTACCTATACAAACGCCTCTATGATCGATGTAACAAGCTGATAGTGCTGATTGGGTTGCCTAAAGTTGCACTTTTCTCTTATTGGGGAGCATTATGATAGTCCAGACAAGCGTCCCGGGTTGTTTGATTCAGACCTATTAGAGCTAGGATACTCTGTTGGAGTAACAAGCCTCTTTATATTACGGTGGCGTCGACTAGACTCACGTCGTTACTTTCACTCCCCATTAACTCGGAATTATTTCTAAATTTGGCATGATACTGCCACGATATTCTCTAGAACATGGGGTTAGGCCGGCTTCAGGGGCGGCGGCGCATTACTGCAGATGTTGCTTTTGGAGGATTGATGGCTAGCTATCCTTCGCGTACTATCTAGCATGTGCCTCGACTGACCCTAGCTAGTTTAGCTGATAGACTTGGAGTCTTCCACCAAAGCTTGAGTAGATCTAGCCTAGAAAGCCTTGAATAACCCCCCTGAGGACTCGTTACTCGATATACTTCACCTAATGCTGAGTTCGAAATATTCTCATATTTCTCATCGGGCACATAGTTTTAGTAATCTGTCTTTGGATCGTCAGCTACAATGAGTTTTCGGAATAGAAGTTCTCTTGGGAGCTCCACTGCTTCTAGCTCTCGTGTTTCTACAGCAGCTACATCCGTGAACTTGCTTGGCCCAGAGATAGTTGTCGGTATAGACTTCGGAACAACGTTAGTTATCCACACCGAAATATATCTATGAGTGATTCGCTAACACCACAATGTTTAGGCACTCAGGAGTTTGCTGGGCTATAAACGAGGGCCAGAAGAAGATACGGCTTATCACTGATTGGACAAACCCACAAGCCGTTAACGCGAATGCTGAAAAAGTTCCTTCAGTCATCTCTTATCGAAATGGCCAAGTTAGCAACTGGGGATACGAGGTTACAATGAGAGAGGACAGCTTTCGTTGGATCAAGATACTTCTTGAGCCTGAGCACAAGTATGCTAAGACGATCGAGGACGTGAAACAGAGCAATGCTCTTCTTACCAAGTTGAATAAAACTGCTGATGAGGTAGTTTCCGACTACTTGCGGGCTCTATGGGCTTATACAAAAGAAGACATCCGCAAGCGAATCGACGACGAGAATTGGGAGAACACATTTCGTCTCCGGGTCGTATTAACGGTGCCCGCAATGTGGTCTCACCAAGCCAAAGACAGGACTGTCAAAGCCGCACGAGCTGCTGGTCTCCCTGTTGACATCTCGATGGTAACCGAGCCCGAGGCAGCTGCTTTGGCAACATTAAGGGGGAAAGCGGAAGAGGATACGCTTCGTGTAAGCTTTTCCCCTTGCGCCCGCGATTAATGCTGAGAGAATGTCTTATATGTTGCTAACGCCAATAGCCCGGAGACTCGTTTGTAGTCTGTGACGCTGGTGGTGGAACAGTAGTATGTTTGCAGCCCAGTCTCCCAAGAGTTCGTCTCTAATAATACTTCGAAGGATTTAATAAGTTACAAAGTAAACAGCATCCACCCCTTGAGAGTGGAAGAATGCGCCATTGGGGACGGTACGTATGTAAAAATATTTTACCTGATCTTACATATTAATACACTTATTAGGTGACTTATGCGGATCAGTATTCCTCGATCTAGCATTCGTCAAATACATCGCCGCATTGATTGGAGAGAAGCAATATTCGAAAATTAAAGAAGTGAGCAAGAAGAAGATGCTAAAGGAGTTCGAATTTGGTATCAAACGATCGTTCATGGGCGATGATAACAAGGATTACTCGGTAGACCTAAGAGGTGTTGAAGATAACGAGGAAGAGGGCATTGTGGATGATAACGTGCCACTTAAAGCGTGAGTCTAAAGGATCTTGTCGTACCCTACCTGAGCTCATAACGTACATAGGAATATGTTGCGCACTGTCTTCGATCATATCTGTGGTCAGATAGATACTCTCGTTCAAAACCAGACGATGGAGGTTCAAGGACGGGGACTTAAAGTGAAGGTATAACCGCCTAACCTCTTCCTAGGACATTCCTAGGTATGACTAACAAAACAAAAGGCTATCCTCCTAGTTGGAGGGTTCGGAGAGAGCAAGTATCTTCACAGTCGCCTCGAAAATGCCTATACTTCGGAAGGGGTTAGGGTTCTCCAAGTAGATGGAGCGTAAGTTTAACAAACCTATAAAACGTGAAAGATGCATTCTACTTACAAGCATAGCTGGTCGGCTATATGCCGCGGTGCATGTATGTGGGGATTAGAGCAAGTACGAAAGCCTCATCGCTCGCTTGCAGCAAACGACCCACCATCCCATAGCGCGATCGATCCCCCATTGACGCCTAAGATGGAATCGACTATCGTTTCACGCATCTCAAGATACAGTTATGGGGTTCCTGTTATGGAGAACTTTGACCCGAAGAAACACCTTTGGCGGGATCGTATTCTTGACCCTAGCAATGGTCAATATGCAGCAGATAACCAGATGAGATGGTTGTTGAAGAGAGTAGGTAACTCAAAGCTCGACTCGTTTTAACACTTGCAAACTACTAACAACAACTTCCAGGGAGAGATGATGCGGGAGAATGACATACTGCCGATCGATATCCAACAAGCAGTACACGGTATTGGCTGGACTAGTACTGGCGCCCGCGAATTCTCGCAGGTCTTGCTCTACTCTGACCAACCAGAGGCGCCTAGTAGGAGGGATGATAGTAAGTGATTTCTCATACGACCCAAGTTAGTTAGACAGAACGCTTATCTCGATCGCGACAGGCGTCAAGAAATTGTGCGAATTAAGCTTCGTGATTCCTGAGAGTGTTATATGGTCTCATACGGGGAGTTATAAGAGTCCCGTCGAGAAGGGAAAATGGAGAGATTGCGTCTTCAACTTAATGGTAATTCTAGGGAGTGCGACTCTTGAGTTTGAAGTTTACTATCACGGATATCGGGTGGCTCATACCGAGGCAAAATATGCACAAGATGATTGATGAGATGGATATTTGGCAGAGTACGTATTGTGCTGTATATAAATATAAGGTACATGAGGGTTTCTCTGTTTTTGTTACGGTGGGAATATCGGGTAACCTAGTTCTCAAGCCATTTATCTTAGCTTGGACAAGTATAAGAGATGTTGTCTATGATGATAACTTGTGGTACTTGTGACCCATGGGGAAGAGAAACAGGCTTAGAATATTTCCGAAGGTACAATTGACATTGTGATAATACGGACGTTTTGGTCCGAAGGGTCGGGGGCTCGAATTCACTCGATTGGGACGAATTTCAAGAGGTGATTGGTTGAATCAAGTATTAAGTTAAGTGGGACGGTAGGGGACGGTAGGAAACGGCTAGGACAGAAAGCTTGTCGGCTTAACTACGACGGGACCGGACTAGGCCGTGATACATAAGGTAGGTAGGTACATTAGATAAAGAGGGAAATGTACCTAATGTTTAGTGCCTTGAAATTTAACAGATTTAAATATGTGCATCATGTACGTACGTACCGAGATTCACTAGAACTTGGTATATGGTAGCTTCGAGAAGCATCATGAATGTGTTGATGGTACCTAACGTAAAAACTACTATTAGTTGATATGGTCAATATAATAGTTGAGGGCATAGAATTGAGATTTAATCACATGCAAGATTTTGAACATTCTTATCACTTACATACCTCCTTGCGCTTAATATCCAGTTAAAATGTATCTCCCCTGCCGGCGGTTAGATTGCATACCTCATGTAGTAATGTAGGCAGGCGTGAGAAGCTACACTATCTTACTTATCGGGCCTATGTATAATTGAGATATTTTCAATACGGGTAGACATGAGTCAAGCAATAGGAAAAGTTTATATTAAAGAATCTGCTTATTATTATTAAATAAAGTCTGTGCCTTATTAACATTTGATAAAACAATGTAATATAACTTTTGGATAACTATACACAATTGGGTTACAGAGTTCCTTTCACATGAACAGGAATGATTAAACTGTCTTCTAATTGTGGTTTAAAAAAGGTAGAAAAGTTCACGATTTTTCAATGTTTGAAATATGTGTATCTAATAGTGTCGTAATACAGTATCGTTAGCGGCAACTAACTTCAGCCTGACACTTGGATAACAACTAATACCTTACCCGAAGACCCCGCAGTGCCCCGCTAAAAAGGAGCTCCAAATTACGTAGTTGGCCAAAGCGTAACGGACCAAAGCTCCCTAAGGAAGCAGAGAAGCAAAGAAGTAAAGAAGGTGGGTTGGTGGGTTGGTGGGGCATTTGGTGGGCTAGGCTCTTACTCTGACTTCTCGGCGGGGCTGGGTCCTGAGGGATTTCGCTGCTCTTGCATCTCGATTGCATCAAACCAAGGCTTTTGACCCAACCAAATTGCACGCTTAAACATGTAAATAACATGTAAATGATTACCTTAGGTTAGGTACATATAATAATAACTCGACATATCTACCTAGGTACCTATATAATGTACCATATTCATACTAAAAAAGCTATCCCCGCCTAAAAGCGAATCACCTACGAATCACCTACGAGCTTCCATGTATTGCTGCGGCCCCTCCCTTTTTTTCCTTCTTCCCCTGTCAACATTAGAACTTAATACTTTCTTTCTACATATCATCAGTCAATCACGCATTCAATAAAACGCCACTGGATCTTTGAACGAATCACACCTATTTTTTACTGCTCGTGCTCTGACTCTGTTATATTGCATCACCTCACCTCTTTCACTTAGACCTTCATAGATCGAATTTGCATTGCCGCAGCTAAACATAAGGCTCTTCCACTTAGAGGCTTTTCCCTTCTCCCACCTTAACTATCTGACTCTCGCCTCATATTCTGAAATACGGCCGCGTCGATACGATACTTGCTTGCTAGTATTATAATTGGCAAGTGAATAACTAGATTACTGAGAACTACCACCATGCCCGAGAGCGAGTCTTCCACTGGCGACCGCCGGTTGTTGCTGGTATCTAACCGTCTCCCAATTACGATAAAACGAAAAGATGAGGGAAACTACGACTTCTCTATGTCTTCTGGAGGTCTAGTCACTGGGTTGAGCGGTCTGAGCAAAACGACAAGCTTCCAATGGTACGGCTGGCCTGGCCTGGAAGTCCCCGAAGCCGAAGTACCTGTAGTAAAACAGCAACTCAAGGACCAATATAATGCGCACCCTATATTCGTCGACGATGAACTTGCCGACAGACATTATAATGGCTTCTCAAGTATGCCCAATTCGTCTTATAGAAAATATCTCTAGTTGATGCTGACTTTTTACTTGTAGACTCGATCCTTTGGCCGCTTTTCCACTACCATCCCGGCGAGATTACCTTCGATGAGAACGCTTGGGCAGCTTACAAGGAGGTTAACAGGCTGTTTGCCAAGACGGTTCTGAAAGACGTTCAAGATGGGGATCTGATCTGGGTACACGACTACCATCTCATGCTCTTACCTGAAATGTTGCGTAATGGGTTGGGTGACCGAAAAGACGTGAAGATCGGTTTCTTCCTCCACACCCCATTTCCCAGTAGCGAAATCTACCGCATCCTTCCTGTTCGCGAAGCATTACTCGAAGGTCTTCTACAATGCGACCTGATAGGCTTCCACACCTACGACTACGCTCGTCACTTCCTCAGCTCCTGCTCGCGTATTCTAGAGGCCCCGACTACACCAAATGGCGTCGATTACAGGGGAAAATTTGTAACGGTCGGAGCGTTCCCCATTGGAATAGATCCGGATAAATTCGTCGAAGGATTAAAGAAGCCGAAAGTTCAGGAGCGGATCGCCTCACTGTCTCGCAAATTTGAAGGTGTAAAGTTGATTGTAGGTGTCGATCGTCTTGACTACATCAAAGGTGTTCCGCAGAAGCTGCACGCTCTCGAGGTGTTCTTGACGGAGCACCCAGAGTGGATCGGCAAGATCGTGCTTGTGCAAGTGGCCGTGCCCTCAAGACAAGACGTCGAAGAATATCAGAATCTTAGAGCGGTCGTCAATGAGTTGGTAGGAAGGATTAATGGTCGGTTTGGAACGGTCGAGTTCATGCCCATCCACTTCTTACACCAAAGTGTCCAGTTTGACGAACTGTGCGCCCTATATGCGGTTTCGGATGTCTGCCTCGTCAGTTCTACGCGAGACGGAATGAACCTTGTATCGTACGAATATATCGCAACTCAGAAAAACCGCCACGGTGTTATGATCCTCTCCGAGTTTACGGGCGCTGCCCAATCGTTGAACGGCAGTCTGATTGTGAACCCCTGGAACACAGAAGAGCTTGCCAATGCGATCCATGACGCAGTTACCATGTCCCCCGAGATGCGCGAAGCCAATTATCGCAAGTTGGAGAGATATGTCTTCAAATATACCTCAGCGTGGTGGGGCCAAAGCTTTGTTAACGAGTTAACCAAAGTTAGCAGCGCCCATAGCCACGGGGTTGACAGTAAGGCTGGCCCAGACGCGAAGCCGATGCTAACCAGCGATGTTGGTCGCGCATTGTCGGGGGTATTTGAGAGTGTCAAGGCTGCTACTAGTGCAGCTGCTCCATCGGGTGGCGCCCTTGGTTTACTGAAATAAAGGGGGGAGTCGGTTGGGTCGATTATCGATTGACTAGAGATAGCTTCTCGGGATAATGTATAGGATACTGCTTACTCGGTGGGCTATTAATGCTATTAATAGTCAACGTCACCTAAGCCTAGATTATTGAAGCGGGCATATTTGCTTGAGGTTGGATCCATAGATGATGATGATGAGATAAGGCGACGAACAAAATGGAAGGCATATGATTAAGACAAGGTCTGGGACGGAGTTTATGGGACTGGTAGATATTTGGCAACGGAGCCTTGGGACATTGGTTCGTAGAAATGTGCATAGTACCTTTTTCAAAAGTTCGTGCAGTTGCCGTATTGCCTGAATGATGGTAATTATTTATAATTCTGGGTTTATAGTTAGCATATCACATAGGTGAAAGCCATATGAACATTGAAGCTTTCGTGAAGCATCTTGAAAAAGAAGACATGTGATATGTATTATACGTAATGCTGTGTATCGTGAAAAAGTGGGGGACATTAGGGGGTAAAAATTACGAATTCGCGGAATTGCTGCCCTTACAACTTTGTCCTCCTCAACTTCTTAGGTACTCTCAATAACCAGTACAGGCCTAACGATGCAGCGATATTAAAGATAATAAATGCCCAAATAATACCAAAATTTCTCCATCTAACTTCATACTCAGAACTCATCCCCGCTAAGAACACGTTCGTATCCTTAATCTTACAGTAACCGCAATTATTCGTTGCTTCGGGGTTCAGCAAGTAGCCACCCGCTCTGGAGATGTAGTTGGCCATGTAGTCGCCACAAATTTGACCTTCAGGTGGAATGATGATGGTATATTCGTTATCCGCACATGTGACCTCCACATTCGCTAAACCCGTAAAAAGGATCGCTGAGATCCAGTACGACAGAGGTGAGATTCGATACATGAAAATCCAGAAACGGGGCATCGCGTCTGGCGTAACCAATACGCCACAAAAGAAGAAAATGAGGACAAATAGGAAATTAGCGAGGGTACCACCTTAGTCTGCCGTGCTAACGACAGAAATACACATGTGCGCAAACGAGGAGACGAAGAGGACGAACTCTAGAAATAAGAGCCACATTATCCCACCTCGTTCGTTGCTTTGCCCTGCAGCTTCTGCATTTTTATAGAAACCAACGGGGAAGTAAATAAACGCCCACATAAAAATAGACGCGAGAGCACTCCAGGGAATTTCCACGACGATCTGACTGAGCATGAAGACTATCCAAGAATACGTCTTAGCTGGCCGCTCACGGACTTCATATAGTGAGCGCTGCGTAACGAAATTCGGTAGCTGCTGGTCTACTAACTGACCAAAAATACTGGCTAGCTCGAAAATGGCGAACGTTTGATTCTGAAGACCTTGGATGGTCAGCGGCGCGTCGAGAAAAATCAATCCGATAAATAGACTGCTACCAATGCAGAGGCCGAGCTTTGAGTATATATAGGAAGGTGTCCGCCAGTATTGTTGAAATACACGCTGGGTGACGACAAGAAATTGTTCCCAGAGAGGCGCGGCAAACTCGCGGTACGAGTCAGGGTCGTTTAGCCCAGTCGTCTGTGGTTTTATCGAATTTATAGCCTTAATACGGGCCAATTCCTCCCGAATGGCTTGGTATTCTAGGCTCGAACACCACGTTTTATACCAGTCAATACCTGAATGACTGCCCGGTGCCGCCCCAATCGCTTCCAGCATCCATTCAGCTGGATTTGCTCCCGGCGGGCAACATGATGCACCATGACGTTCAAAGTACTCTGTAAGCACATGAGAGTTATCGCCAATCTCACCTATATCAAGAACAACATGTCAATAATCAGCAGGACTTGTCGTTGAGAGAAAAAGTTGGAGAGGGGTGGATGATAGAACGATGGACAATACTAACCGAAATAAACAGTACGTCCTCCGTCAGCGAGTAAGAGAAAGCGATCAAATCGTTGAAATAGCATCGCAGAAGGTTGGTGAATGGTACAGAGGATGGCCTGTCCCGCCTTGGATAATTTTTCTAGCAGGTTTAAGACCGCCCAGCTGGTTTGTGAGTCAAGACCAGATGTGGGCTCGTCAACAAAAATGAGTAACTGTGGTCTGGCAGCCAATTCAACACCAATAGTCAAACGCTTCCTCTGTTCAACATTGAGGCCTTCACCCAGGACACCGACGACCGCATCGGCATATTCTTCCATATCTAGTAAGTCAATAACTTTATTCACCCAAGCTAACTTTTCTACCTTTGAGCGGCTTGCCGACTGGCGAAGGAGAGCTGAGAATGCCAAAGCCTGTAAAGCAAAGTCAGCCTCTACGATCGCGTAGTTTGAAATGGCCAGCAGTCCAAGTCGACTGATGGGACCTTACCTCTCGGACTGTACTTGTCTCGAGGTGCAAATCTTGCTGCTGGGCGTAACTAAATTTGCGTTGAAAGCTCTCGTCGCGCATCTTCCCTTCGACCAATATTTCGCCGCTGATAACGCCCACTCCCGTACGACGATCAGCTAAGCAATCCAATAGTGTCGTCTTGCCAGCTCCAGAGACGCCCATTAAAGCCGTAAGTGTGCCGGGTTTAACCCACTCTCGAGGATTCTTCGGGTTTGTCCCTTGATCTTAATGTCATATGACACATTAGCCCAGGATACACAACCAGCCGTGGGTGAATGTGTTGAGAGTCCTTCGTTACTTGATATATATCCACCAGGTTTCTCTATGACTGATATAGGGCTAGTAAGCGACTTTTCAACGTCATAGCTACTATTAGATGTTGGAACGAAACCTCGGCGGAAAACGAGAACCTCTCCTTTGGACTTCTTGGCTGTGATATACTCACTCGCAATGAAATAAACAATATGGTTAAAAATTGCCATCGCAATAATAATCCCGACATTCCGCGATTTATGGCTGTGATAATATTTGTATGCCGAATTGATATAGTCGTCTCCATTCACATAGGATTGGTCGGGGATGGTCCCGACGGCAGCACAGGCAATATTACTCGAAGTAGTGTCCGCATAGTCAGGGATATAGGTCGAACATGAGAAGTTGCGTCCGTGAAACTCATTAACCATGAGCGCTTCATATCCGTAAGCAACTGGATCCAGATAATTGATCCATCGACACCAGCCTAGCATATAATCTACTGGGACAACGAAGCCGGTAAAAATAAGTAGAGCCAGCAGTAAAATCGAGGCAGGCACCATCGCTTGCTGCTCTGTACGTGACACAGATGCACTGGTAAGATGTTAGTCCTTTCCTTAGCTATACTCCTAGTTTTATAACTTACACGGATCTAAAGACACCCGACATAGCCATAATAATCCAAAAGACTACGAAGAGGTAAAAGAAAAAGGGGCCGGGAGAGCGATTAAGGTTAGTCATGAAGTAAAAGACCAAATTAAAGGAGATGGCATTTATGAACTTCAAAGGCAGATCGACCAAGACGGAAGCGTAAGATTCGGCTGATGGGTGGTAGAAAGCATAACGAGACTGCTTTTCCACAATCGGTCGTTGAGCGTATAGTGTCATAATCTCTAGCATGGAGGCGAACGCATTGAATAAGATGGCCACGAAGAGGACAGCAGCACGGCCATAGAAAGAGCTCGTGTCTGCACCCAAGTTGTAGAATAAGGAAGATATGATGAGAGCCATGATCGTATTGCCGATGATCATGCCGACGGGCAACCACGGATCTGCCCTGAGCCTCTTGAAACCGCGCCAGATGCAGAGCTGGACTTGTTGGGAATATGTCAGGATGTACGGCGACTTGATGTGCTGTCCCTTAGACTGATGTGCTCTCTCAAGCTTTCGGAAGGTCTCGGCATCTGGTCCATCAATAGGATGTTGGCCCTTGTATTCCTCAATATTGACCTGGAGAGCCTTATATTCTGGGCTATTCTTCCAGGCAGCTACAAACTCGTCCGGTGTTCGTGGAGGGTTACAATTCGGGCGGGTAATGCGCTCCGCCGGGAATGTCATCGATGTAAGGAAATCTGGCGTTGTTTGCCGAGAAGGACATTCAAATCCAAGGTTAATGAAATATCCCTTGGCTTTTGAGACGGGCCCAAAGTATATTTGACGTCCTTCGTAGAGGACGGTAGTCTTATCAAAGAGATCATAAGCGCTCTGCGGCGCCTGATACATCGACACGAAGCAGGTTTGACCGAATAACTCAGACTGGAGTCTTAAGGTCTTACAGAACTCAATGGTATTAGCCGAGTCTAAACCACGCGTCGAGCTAATGAAACGAGTTAGTATATACTACGTCTATACAGAGGGACTCCCTATTGTTCACTCACTTATCCCAGCACTGAAATGGAGCGTTGGCCAGGGTGGCCTCGGCAATAGTCACACGCTTGCGTTCTCCCCCAGAGACGCCTCGTGTAAACTCGTCACCCACTTTTGTATTGATAGTATGGCTAATACCGTACATAGCCATGATGACGTCCCGAAGAAGCTCGCAGTACCTATCATATCATTATCAATCCCCGGCTCTAATCTAGGAGGAAGATGAACATTTTAATCTCCTTACTCATTACGGGAGATTCCCTGCGGTAATTCCCTTTGACAGCGCGCCCGCGATGCAAATGTTAATGTTTCACCGACTGTTAGAATGGGAAAATGGACGTCGACCTCGGCAGTGTAAATTGCATCGCCTCGATGCGCGGTATGCATCTCCTTATCTGACATTCCGTGGTAATTGAAGTACGAGCCCTCGTTAACGTAAAATCCGTTATGGTCACCGGACAAGCTTTTCAGAAACATGCTGCAATCAGACCCGGGTGGTCCTAAGACAATGCACATCTCCCCCGGACGGGTAAGTCCATCGAATTGGTTGAGGATATTAATTCGAGTTTGACCTGCTGTACTAGAGAAGAGGCGTCGAATCATATTAGGCAAGGCTATCCAAATATTTCCAACATCCTTTTGAAAGTCCGTTGGTGTGCCATAGCCAAATACGCTTAAGTTCTGGAAACATAATCCAACTCGACGGAAATTCTGGCCACGGGCGATATTCGTTGCCCACGCGCGGGCATTGAAATTTGGGCCACGGGGGTTTAACGGGGAATCAGTATCATTGCTTCCGAACACGGGCTTGCCGTCGGAGTCTTCAATGCTAGCGGATGTGTTGCGAGCGAGGTCCTGCACAATAGAATGTCTTGTCTCCGTCGATTCGGACGTGTTCGGTCGATCGTCGCTCATTCTCTATGAGGTTTTTCTTTGGGATAAGGGGTCAAAACTTGGGTCAATCCTAAGGCTGCTAATAGCCGGTACGATGTCGTGATATTCCAATCAGACTAATATCAGTGTAAAAGGCCAATGCCGCAGAATAATAATATCGAGATCTATTATCAAGATAGTCAAGAAATTATACCAACGGAAGATGACAACGGAGGTTAAGAAGATAAGTACGTATATGAGAGAAGAGCCCTGGAAGAAGACGCGAAATACCTAGACCCCCAAGAATTATTTACCTAGTTATTTCATCAAATACTTAAATAGCATTACCTTTCGTTGATGTATTCTGGGCTTCCTGCTATGAGGCTGCTCGTTACACCCGCCCCTGACCGCTTACGTCCGCCTAGGGCCGCTTACGCCCGTCATCAAGGAGAAAGGGGGGATTCCGCCGCAGACATCATCCCATACAACACGCGATGTATTATCGAAATTCAAGTCGGAAAATACAATTTTATTCCTTAGGATCTATTGGCAGGAGATCATGCTTCGATCTGGTTCAAGTAGCAGATTCCCGAATTTCCAACCCCCGAACTATGCTCAGTCACCTCGCAGTTCGGTCTCGATTTGATTGGCCTCTAGACTTAATTAAATCCAATACTCAAGTTTCCTATGTTACATGTAGAAAATTTATATTTTTGAGGCATAATAGCATCCAGTTGACCTATGACTCTGTCTATGCCAATGAAGGCTATCCGCACACCGTCTGATAGTCAGGCTTTCTCGGTGACTGTGAGAGATCAAACTCACCAATTTGTTAAATGTAACACGTTAAATTTTTCTATTAAGCCCATGACTCAACCCTTTCTAAGACTTCATTACTTAGATTTTTCGTTGGGCGCTACCGAGCTGCGAGGTGGTTCCAACTGTTATAAGAAGGCGTGTTCGACGATTGTTCCCCGATCAAAGTCAGCTACCTGGCACCAGAGTAATGCTATGGTCAGGAGGAGACGGAATGCAAAGGCAGGAAGTGGATGGTCTCTCATGCTGGGTGAAAGTCTAGCTTTGTCTCTCTGTTCTAATCATCTCAGAGCCATAGATGCGCTTGTTGTAGTTGAGGTAGCTTATAACACTAATATACATTAACCTTATCATTGTCACCATTTCCAGGGATTCACTGGTACAAGGAGCTTGTCATATAATTACAAGTAATTTTTTTGGTGACACTTCTGCCAATACCGTGACTGTGTTTGAGTCAGGTTTAAATAACCTACCAATTCTATACTTAATCAGAAAATAAAACCTCCTTAACGGGAATCTATATATATATTCGCAGCTAAGAATGTACCAAGTAGCCATTTGGAGAACCTCAACATCGTCTTAATTAATTGGACCGCCACACCACCACAAGCATACAATATCTAACCAAGACAACAAAATAGAGTCCAATTCTATGGATCCAAATATAAGCAGCACCTGCTTTGGTGAGGCCAACCGGCGGTTATCGGATCTTTCCCAAGCTATTGAGCAAGATGAAACAGCCAAAAATCAACTGCTCGAGACCCTAGTCTTTGCAACGAAAGATTGGGGCCATAATTCAGTACCTAAAGAACTAGATACGACAGGATGGATTTCCAATTTCATCTACGACCGTTCTCCATTTGAGTACTCTGTCCAGTTAGATCGAAACACCGGGGATGCGCAACTATACTTTTTAATCGAAGCCCGATCAGAAGAGGATAGCTTGGTACGATTCCAGGAGAGTGCACGTCGCCTGGATTCAGACACCGTAGCTAAATACAACTCAAGAGTCTCTCTAGACCACTATAAACTTATCCAAGACCTTTTCATACCTGATCAGCCAAATGGGGTATTTGCCGCCTGGCATAGTTTTGCATCGACAAAAAAGGGGCTAGAATGGAAGATTTATCTTAATCCATCCGCATCCGGTAAAGACAACATTCTCTCTACAACAGGCGAAGCATTCGGGCGTCTCGGCCTAGGGAACGCGTGGGTAGTAGTAAAGAGCATCATGACCCCCGGCGACTCTATCATTTCCTTTTCACTTGACCTTTCTTCAAATCAAGAGGAGGCTCGCGCCGAAGTGTACATGTTACATCAAGACACGACCGCATCGCAGATCGCGAACAAACACACCTGTATCTGTCCGGATGCAACCTGGCTCGAGACAGAGAGATTCTGCATGACGATGGCGAACGGATCACATGATCTGTATTCCTCGACCCCGGTGGTGTCCAGTTTCGCGTTTACCAGCAAGAGGCCGAACCAGGCCGTGGGCACTATTCATTTTCCCATTCACTGCTACGCAGAAAATGACGCCGATGCCCAGGAGCGAATTGAACGATACTTGGACGAGGTATCCGCCTCTCCCGTCTGTAAAGAGAGATATAAGAAAGTCGTAAACGCGGTGTGGCGCCGACCTCTGGACCAGGGACGTGGGATACACGCTTGGGTGAGCCTGAAGCAAGACTTGGGATATAAACAGTTGATTACTTTTTACATCTCGCCAGAATTATTCGGTCCTCTTCAAGGGACTTACCGAGGGACTGGATGATAGGTTACATCAAGACATCTCGGCTATTTCTTGTGCTTGGTATTCGATCCAGACTGACAACAAGTGCCAAGCAATGATTCCATTTGCCAGCTTGGCTATCAGCCTTTACTTGGAAGATAGATTTTAGCATAAGATAACTAGGTAATGGAGGATGAGAAAGTTGGGAGCTATCAATATACTGGTAGCCGTATATTTACTGTCATATTCCTGTCATTTCCTATCCTTTTTTTTTTTTTCTTGACGATACCTCTACAGCAATATACTTAGATCTTTCGTAATGAAGTAGATCTATATCTATAAAAGAAAATATAACTAGTTATTACGTATAACCATAGATCATTTTGGATTTTCTCTTCATTCATACATTCTTATTCAATCTCGTCCTCAGCGCCAACGGCACAACACTAACCGCCTTCCCATCGCGCGGAACCGTAAACACAAACTGGTCAAGCGGCATATCCGCATACACGGCCGTCGTCTGACCAACCCACGTACCGCAATTCGTCGAGAACATGTCGCCGCTATGGTCTTTGATGTCAAGGTTCTCAACCACAGCCTTGAACGCAATCTTCCTAGTCCCTTGTTGTCCCTGAGGTTGTGTTTCTATCCCCGTCGGGTAGAGCCGGATAGCAGGCCCCGTCACGTTGTAATTCAGCGTGTACCGTATCGCGATCGGGATCATGTCCGTGCCATTGCTAATCCACTTCTCGATTCCGAGGCCCGGGCGCGACGGGTCTGTGCTCAGCACTAAACTGCTATTTAGGCCATCATCTGCTGTGTATGTGCCCGCATACGAAGCATCTGCCTGTTCGCGCGCGGTCTCCTCTAGTGCGGGGAGAAGAATCGCACCGATCGCGTCCGCGATGTCCCAGTTGGAGTTTCCAGGCCAGCCGCCAGCTAGAAGCGCTGTGATGCCGACGTCGTAGTCGGGCAGCAGCACCAGAAGCGACATGTACACGTTGATACTACCGGCCTTGCTATACGCGTCGACTACTCGGCTACCATCATTTAGCGGGATGCGCCGGATACCCCACGGTGAACTAATCCCTTCGTGGATGTCGGATGTGAGCGCCGTAGGCTTGAGCCACCGACGCGTTTGCGCCGGTGGTAAGAGCGTATGCCGAAAGATAGCTCGACCGAGACGCGATAAGTCGCCTACTGAGGAGTACATATTCCCAGTTCTTCACTTCAGTATTAGTATAGTATCATCAATAAGGAGGATAAGAACAGGGCCGGGAGAAACGTACGGGCTTGCCTCGCCGATACTAAACGACCAATTGTCTTCTTGGCCCTGGGGGATGACACCGAGCTTATCGTCAGGCTTCTGGTAGAAAGTGTTCTTGAGTTGGAGCTTGTCGATAATGTCAGCCTGCAACATCGCCGCATACCGCTTCCTCGTGATGGCTTCGAGAGCGTAAGATAATATTTGATATCCCGCATTCGAATATCCTGCTGTCCATGATGGCGAGAAAGATGGAGGGACGTCGGCTAATCCAGAGAAAAATTCTAGAGGGTTTTGTTAGATATTTTGGTATTGCTTTCTGCTATTTTCTTCCTATCTTCCTTTTCTTCCTCCCTTCCTCCCATTGTTTCTTTTTTTTCTCGTCCGTAGAGGAGCATCTATGGCTTTTATGGGTGTTAACTTACGGGCACGATTACACCTTATAGCCTCCCCACACACTGGTGTTTCGTTTCTGGGCGCTGGTGGGAATCCCTGGGATTGTAGAACGGTTTGGTTATGCTCTTGTGTCAATTCCCCCTCGATGGCATCTAACAAATTAGTTTCATAGTCTCAACTTTTTAATCCTTCTATATTCCTATTCCATCATTTTCCCCCTTGCTGCCTAACTCATTGTCCACCCAATTTCAGATAAGAGTAAGAACGGCGAAAAATACTCACAATCTCTTACGATACCCGCCATATGGCTCGCTAGGTCCTGTAGCGTAATGCTATCCCAATCAACATTCATAATAGGGTCGTATTGTGCCTTTCCGGCGAGTAACTCGAGCTCTGGAACCCATTGCGTTACGGGCGTGTTCCAATACGTGTCTCCGGCCTCGATCAGGAACGTAAGAATGGTAAAGATTTTTGTGACACTACCGAGTCGGTACACGGTATTCCCGTCAATGCTTTTCACACCGGGGGTATCAGCTGCCAGAAGGTCCGTCGCTGTGTGGTAATGGCTCCATACAGGCTTGTCTTCATCTGGATCGGACGCAGAGAACACTTGAATCGACCATGACGTGCCATTTGGGTTCGTGCTCGGGTCCATACCCCGAGCGTCAAAGGTTGCCGTTAGGTTTGCGATCGCTGTTTTAATTCTATCGGAAGAGGCAAGTGCTGTTGGCTTTGGGAATGCCGGCCCCGGGTATGGACAGTTAGGAATACCATAGACCGGGAGGATCATCTGCATCGCGAGCAGCAGCGCCGCCACGGGAAAGAAGGGACGCGACTTCATCGTGACGAGATTGCTGCTCTATGGAAAAGGAAATTTTTAAAAACAGAGAAGAATGGGAGTAGTAAGGAATGGGTTACGTTAGAAACACCACGTAACCAACGGACGCGCACAGGATTGACCTACAAAGGTGCTCTTACTCTAGGATCGGGCAGGGAGCTGGATAGCCAGTGCTACGTCTGGGCGTCCCTAGACTTAAGCTTATGGCCGCAACATTGGGATCTTCCAAGATCCATTACCTGTTATTCACCCGAAAACGTGGTCTTATGAACGCGTCCAAAATAGGGACTCGGTCGAACCGGGTCAGCGGCGGCGCGGGACGTCTCGATAGGGACAGTTACATCAAGACATCCAGAGACATGTGATAGTGCCATTATGACGAAGTAGACCGACGTATTGGGTCCTACATATTGCCTATCTCCAATCCAGAGACAAGTGGGTAGCTCAATAAAAGGGGAAGAGACAGGTGAGAAGGTTCACCACATTTGGTACCACATCTCACGATATCAGTCTCCAAAAAAACAAAACAAAAAAGCTCTAGTAAGCTATCATAACACCGTGAACCTGTTTTAGCTACGTAGTATGATCATCAACGTTGTATGGCTGCGACGTAGCCTACACATGGTTTTTGGCTGAATGCAAGTTGCCCGATCTTTTACGGTATTAGGGAAAATCCAAGGCACAAAAATAATCATATATCACCCACAACCACAACCGTATCACCAAATCCCGGTCAAAATACTACTTCGTAACTTTTTCACATATTGCTGATTATCTGGTAACATGGTAATTTCATTTCGGCACGTAGTAAATTCGAATTATGTGCAGCATCGCCAAGCTGTCTCAGAAGCCCACCACATTACACGCATGGACACAACCCTTTTATCGCTCCCCTTTCCATTTATATAGATGTCCCACCCCATCACTAAAAATTCATTTAATACTACTTACGTCGTCTATGGTTGTTATCGTAAGTATGATGACACCGTGCAGGCGCCTTCATATAAGTAATTCGCCGAGCGAGACTCCTAGCTAACTACATACTATCATATACTCTTTGACGAACAAATCCCGCGCTCGACGGGCCACGCGTGCAATAATCTAGCGAAGATAAGGAAGCATAGGTGAGCTATACTACATTTTTCCGAACATTTTCTTAGAATTAGAATTAGAGTAGATAAAGTATTTCCACCAACCCAAGCGAAGGTAGGAAAAGGCCAATAGGAATAATTCCCAAGGGTGGCACTATAGTAAAGGATGGCAGTAGATGTCTGTTGAGTTAAAGGAAATGGGGGATAGTGGCACGATTCGTTCGGGTACACGGATAGATCATCCTACCATCCCTAATACATATTATAGTCAAATCATACGGTGCGGCTCGTAGATAGCCCAAATGGTCACTAGGCTACAAAATGTGAAATATTCACAAACGGAATATCGATAGAGTAAATTACTAACTACCTAACTAAGGTGAAATCACCAATATCGTGTGATGAGAATCAGGTATCACCTTAAGCAAAATTGGCTCGCCTCAGGTGAGTGAATAAACACCAGTTTCCGTCTCCTCCCGAACGCCACTGGGGTATGTATTGTAGGAAAAGTGCGATCTCGCCCTCAACACGAGTGTAACTTGGGAATAACAAATAACTCAATTGCGAAATCATCCATTTGGCATTTCCTCAGAAGCTCAAACTTAATAAGGTGAGTTAACCACATCATCCTTACCGAGCTTATAGCGACCGCTCGCCCGTGTGCTGACGCGTCCCGAACTTCGATTCGGTGTGCCCAGCCGTTGGAAATCGCCAGCAATACTCTCCCTTGTAGGCTTCTTGAGATGCTGCTTGCCGACCATGTTTACCCAATTTGGTAAAGTAACAATGACATTCTGGTCAGTGCCGAACTTGAAGTCATCAGCCTTGACAGTATCCTCGTAACGTTTGATGATGTATGGTGCTTTTGAGCCACGAGTCACCTTATCAAGATTCCAGTCAACAATGTATGGACCAGTTGCGGTGATAATAGATGTCTCGCCGTTTGTCTTGCTTGTGTTGAATCGAGCAGGAGTGAATGAAACGGGTTTTCCAGTTTCGTGATGGAATTGAGCGACATGCTCGGGATTCAATGCCAAACGACGAGGTTGAGGTTTAGCATCCGCGGCAAATGGCTTCTCAAAACCGAGTTTGCCCTCATTCTTACCAGCCTTTTGTAGCGCATCGATGAGTAGTAGATATGTACGGCAGGTTGCAAGCACCCAACGACCATCCGCAGACACATCGAGGCCAATGATAGGCTCGCCCAGGGCCGGGATTACAGTCTTCGCATTAATACCCAGTCGATCAAAAAGTCGGATGTCACCCTTGTTGGAGGCGACGGCTACGTATCCTTTTTCTGTAGTAGATACCGCGGAGAAATCATTCTTTGACACGTATTGTTTGAGCTGAGAGTCGACTAGCTTGTTTCCGGACAGACGAGGGTCAACCCGGAATAAGGCGTTGCGAGAAATACCAAGGAAAGTAGGTTCGTGGGTCATCTGCGCAAATTTGTTTTCCGGCGCAAATGTGACAACAGGAATGTCGTCATGAACCTTCCATTCATCAACGACTTTTCCGTACTCGAGATCCATGCGATAAAGTTTATTGGGATCTGTGTCGTTCTGTAGGATTAAGTTGCGATCCTCGTTGTGTAACATGACTTTCTTGGGGACGAAGGATTTGCCCTGCGGAGTCTCGACCTTAGAGATGTTGGTTGTGAATTCCAGGTGGTTTTTAGGAGTATGCTTGAATACGCCAATTCTGGGACCTCTGACGACAAAGGAACGATCGTGCTTGTACCCAACAGCCAACGCGGAATTCGTATGAGGATCCTTGGGCTGAGTCTCGACGTCGTCTTGCTCCTCATCGCTATCATAATGTTCGCTCTGTGGCGCATCGTCCTCTTCAGGTTCTTCAATTTCTTCCTCTTCTTCCTCTTCTTCTATCGGTGCATCCTCCATATTTAGATCCTCAAAGGCATCCAAGACATACTGACGGTCCTGCTCCTTGACCTTGGTCCACTTGACTTCATTCAGCTGCTCCCAGAGTGCTCTCATTAGACCATCCTGGAATCTTTCAAGGGTCTTGTTGTCCTTGAATCTCAATAGCCAGGAATAAGCAGAGCCATCCTCAGTAAATTGGTTGAAGATAAAAGATAGAAACTCAAAGTTGAATACCGGGTTAATATCAGCAACGACCGGAATACCAAGCCATTGGCGATCTGCACTAGCAATATGCAGCCAGTAGTTCCAATTACCAATATCCGACACTTGAGCTGTTACGGACGAGTCCTGGAGAACAAATGCGCCGGAAGGGAAATCGAAGAAGTGTAATTCTCCGAGCTCCATCGCAAAAATCTCCAGTGGTTCGGGTTGGGCTGGGGGCTCCGGGGGCCCTGCCTGCTTAGCATGTTGTGTCTCGACTTCTTTTTCTTCGTAGATCTCGGGCTCAGACTCCGCAAGTACAGAAGCTGCGGATGGTATGCTATCGCGCTTAGTACCGACGTTAGCTTCGTTCTTTAGCTGGAACATAGCGTCGGAGGATTCGATTGATCTTGCGAGCGTTGGGCTATGGATAGGACTAGCCTGAGGAATTGGCTGCTCTTCAAAAACAAACTGTTGGAGATCGGCCGCAGAGGCAGTAGAGTGAGGTTTTCGGTATTTGCGCTCGTACTGACACTGTCTTGCAATGCGCTCGAATGCCTCAACTTGGGCAGATTTAGTTGAAGGATCACAGACGAATTCGTAAACGTCGCCAACGTCTCCGCTCAAATCCTTCCAAGCGAGAACCTTCTCTGATCCTTCCCTACCCTCAAAACGGAAGTGGAGAGCCTCGTCGAGTAAAAAAGTCTTCTCGTCACGCTCGGCTGCCAGTGCGTTAAGCTCTTCGTCTTCACCTTCGTCGTCCGCTAGCTCGGCTTCACCCTCTTCATAAACTCTTTGTACGACAAGTTGGTACTGGTAGTCTTGGCCAGTACGACGAATTCGAGCGGTAGCGTCCTTGAAAATCAGCTCGGAGTATCCTTTAGGCGATAACGGTCGAACTAGGTAAAGTTGACCTTGAGGCAACTCGATCATAGATTCTTGGCTGCTGGTGCCGAAGATAAGCTTGCCGACTATTATATAATAATGTTAGTCACACGTCACAAATCCATATTCTAATAACAAAGAAAACAATAATTATTGAGGTTTGCAGCAAAGACGTATCTGTAGTAAGGCTGGCAACTTATCAACGAGGGGGTATCACTCACCATTTTTGAGGACAAACATGTTTTCCCTTTATGTCTAGAAGAGCGATCTCAACTGACGGAAAATTAAATTATTCAGAAAGAGAATAGATTCTCATAAGGCGACTAAAGAACAAGCCCAAATTTGGTACAAACGGGGAGTTCGTCGCGGCGCGGTTAACGCCAGATCTTGTTTTCTTTATGTTTTGGTGTATGGTGGGAGAAAGCGAAATTGGTGCGTCATAATAAAAGCAATCCCACTTTAGCCTTTGCCTAGGTAACAGCCTTCTTGGCATCCCACCTCATAAAAGGCAGGCACGCACATTAAATCAAGGGTTTCACAGAGTTTCAGAGAGGAATGTGGCGTTGTGGCTGTGTCATGCATTTTTCCCCTCCATTTGCCACAGTGCCACTTAAACTTCCAGTAACTGATTGAGCAGCCTTCGCCTTTAGTGCATTAGTGTCGACTATGCGCCTATATGCACTTATATGTCATTAACCGCTTAATCCGTAAGACCCCTTCCCCTTTTTTAATTGATTCATTATTCATCACTAGAGGTGCAATTTTGACTACTCTTACGCCTATGTATATCTTCCAACAGACTCCTAAGATTCATCAACCAAAAATGTACCAAGACTTTATACCAATGCCGACATTTTCATTGCCTCGTATCATCTATAAATCCATTGCATCGCCCAAACTCTTAATCAAGCATGTAGCGTAATACACATCATCAAACCAATATGCAATATGCCTGTTTTTTACCTGCGTATTTGCCATCGATAAATGCGTTACTCGTTTCCATGAGGGTAGCCATAAAACATCAATGCGAATTCTTTTTCGACTATATATCAATAATCCGAAAAGCCTACAGTGTGACAAATCTCCTAGACAACGGCATTCCAGTTCTTTTTAAGCTCAATAAACATTATTTATTCATTCTCTCAACAAGTCCGCAGCATATAGTCCGAATTTTCTCTGGTGAATTAGTCAGAGAACACAACGCCTATTGTCTATTATCCACACCGCCAAGTGGAGATTTTCAGGCATCTAATAAGGTAAAGGTGCAGAAATCAGATTAAAAGATAAATAAGAACTTACCTCACATATGAATAAATTCCTACAATAACATAGATGATGGCTTTTATAGGTATGCCTGCGTAAATTGTAACTACCTATACTCTTGAATTTATAAAGCCATCTAATTAGTACCCTTGTCGGGCGTCCATTAACATTAGAAACGATTGCTATACCGTATTTAATATACGTATTTGGTTGTAAGATATTTATTGCAATGCTTCACCTCATATACATCGAAAGATAAAATATAGTTATGTCTAATTCCAAACTATAAATTCTAAAACTGCGCAACTGCCCCGTAAGATGCTGGGCATCAATATAGACCCCGTCTAAGTTGCAAATTGCAGATAGAACGTGATATACAGATTAAATATGTACAGACATTAGCGCGTAATATGTTACAGTACTGATACAAATCTACGCCCGTTTCAATCAACAAAAGAAAAGCTGGCCCTGCAGCCGACGATTGTATATCATGGTAGCTGAATAACCACACTGGAATTTCCCCAATCCTTAGTCTTTCTTGTCTTGTTCTAATCGAACCTCGACCCTGCCATCTAGGCTGATAGGGCTCGAAATACGGTACTTCCCGCCAAGGACTAGGTCTTTTGCAACCAATTCCCTTGTACGGCCTAAACTCTCAATAGCTGCGATACGATCCAGAGTATCCTGGAGGAATTGTCGAAATCCGGGTTCGCTACATATTTCCTTGAATGCGCGTTGCATGGGCACGGAGCTGGCACGTACGTGAGCTTCACTGCTTATAGTAAATAGATTTAATCGGTCAAGCTCTCGGATGAAATCCGCTCGAGTCATGACTTCTTGCGCCTTATGCATCGGAAAATACGGGAGAATATGCCCTGTCTCCGGGTGATAGATTTGTTCCATATCATCTTCCCTGTCAACAAGGGCTAACGCGAGTACCATAGAGGCTGACTGTGGTAGATGTTAGTGAATCCTTGAGATATAGGGGTTTTTTGTAAGCGGACTTAGAGGCAGAAGCTAACACATTGCATATGTACCACGTGACTACCATGCCCGTCATCTTATACCATGTACACATCCATCTCTATGGACACGGAAAATATTGAGGTCCTTTACCAACGAAAGAGAAAACTTACCGAGAATTTTTGCTGATCCATTACGTCATCATCCATTTCAGATCCAAGTATGGCGCAAGAATTTAGAAACCATGTCTTTTCGATCTCCTTAATGAGATCACATGTAGTAAGCATATTGCGTGACTTAGCTACGCGATTTAGAAAGGAGAGCCGACCTCCGACTTTATCATAAACCTCCTCGAGAATAGATAACTCTACATCTTCCCCAAAGTAACGGTGTCGGTATTTCTGCAGTGCCATTATCGCTTGAGGTTTCGGTAGATCGTTAATTGGCATAACTACCATCCTCTCCGTGGCACGTCTTTTTAGTCGCTCATAGATCCAATAATCATCGGTTGTGAAAACGACCGAAACTAGGTTCGATGCACACCAAGCCTCTGCCCGATGCTGAAGTAGTTCTAATAAATCTTTGCCTTCGTCGTCGTCTCGAATTAGATGAGTCTGGTTAATGATGAGGACCAGGGGTTTATTCTTCCTCGCCCGATGTATCAGCGCCACTTTCTCTAACTTATTCATCGCCCTCTCTATATCGAGCAACGCTGTGGATTCTCTAGGGCCACGTTCGCTGAAGTAACCTCCAATGTAATCCTCGTGATACTCGTAGTCGATTGCTTTGCCTAGTCTTATACGGAAGACTTCGACGCTGTTAGATGCTTCAAGCATGGCGCAACCATCTCCGTCTACTTTCCTCATAGCATCGATTAGCATGCTACTTTTCCCGCATCCTTTATCGCCCATCAACAGGTAATAATGACCCGTCTCATTTGCAGAGACAATGTTGTCTATTATAGTTTGCTCTTCTCGGACAACCCAATTAGGTGGCGCTGGTACATTTTTCCCTGCCAAAGCCAGAATTGGCTCGGCTCCCGGCTCAAACGCATGGTGAATCTTCTGGAGCTGTAACCACTTATAAGATTGATGATAAGCGTAACCAGCGCCGGCGAACCCAAGGCCTAGAACTACAACAGAAGCAAAAGTAGTAGCTGCAGCTTCGCCCATTTTAGAGAATAATGACTGTCTTGCCTCTGGCTCCGGGCCAATCTGGTACCTCATAGTCATTGTTGTGGAGAACGATCGCTGTGGTGGGGGCCAAACCAGCCCAGCGCGTGTCGAGGTAGCATTGAGGCGCTTACATGCTGACCTCCTAAAAGGGGTAATCCGGCTAGTTAGTCCCGGTAGCATCGTAAAATATAATCGTTGGTCATGAAGAGAACTGCTAACTTTGCCGTAGTTCCGAGAATTGAAGTGAAACGTGACAAAAACGGGAAGAAGTCACTAAGGAGAGTCCGGGAGATTGCGCGTTGCTTCCTTGTAAGAGCCACACTTATCGGAGGCCTTCTAAGATTTCTCGGTAGTGGCGCAGCTCTACCCAAACAACCGGGTTGCCCCCCTGTTGTTTTATATTTTATGTGACGTCTGGTGCTCTGTCTGTCGTAAGGTACTTATGTACATACGAACCAAGTACCTATGTATCTAATCCTCCCAATCATGGGCATCAAGGACCTCAAGACTTGATGAAGACTTGCAAACTTATATCAGGCAATTTTAACATCAAAATGAACAAAGATAACCCCTCCATTTTGTTAATACAGTCAGTCATAATGATGTACCTATGTGAAAAATTATTTTGTTCATTTAGACCTTGGAAATAAACTGGCATGTTTTTAAGGGATGTCTAAATAACCTGCATAGCATTATTATACGGTGAACCGTTTAATATCTGCCGAATTGCTTTAAGAAATAACTAACAATTGGTCCAACTATCTAAAACTCCAACTTTTAAATTTCTTAGGAGATAGATCCTTTTTGTCATTTGTAAAGTCGGTAAATTTTTTGGCGGTTGACAGCAGGCAAAGCCGATAACTCTTAAGTGTCCCGCAGTTGACAGGTTCACTCACCCTGCCTCCCCACGCCGACCTGGTTGTGCATAGCATCCTTTCCGCACAACATATTTTCTTTTTGATTTCTTCTTTTTCCCCAACGCCGTCTCTTGCAACCCCCACAGATTCAATTTTGTTAAATCAAAATTATCTGATTTCGGCACACGTCATGTGCATCTCGATCCGATAACTGCGATAAGTTTTGCCCTTTTTGACCAATATACCTTCATACAACGTTAGGTAGCTACCTATTATTATGCAAATCATCCTCTTGTGGTGAATTCAAAACCCATCATCATTAAGTATTTTATTCCATCTTCATCTGGAAAATTTACAAAGCAAGTCTATCAAATATCTAACTCTATTATTGCTATTGAGAAGTACTAACAGAATATTTAAGATACAACTTCACCTCATAGTCGCGTCGCGTCGCGTTACAACAGCCACCATGTCTGAAAGACGCCATAAATACGTTCTGTATCCGCCGCCTGACAAAATACCAGTCCAGGCGTCAAGTATACCCTCGCCTATACCAGCAAGGGGACTTCGCGGCGCCCAGAAGCGTGGAAATCCACCTGCAAGCTTGCAGTCTGAGTTGGCAGAGGAGATTACGAACAATGTTGTTGACATCTCGCCCCTAAGAAGGTCAGTCGAAAGCATGATTGACTCATACATGTCCCCAGAGGATGCATCGTTTCTAAAGACAAGCCTCTTTAGTGAACCACTTCCTAAATCTCACATCGAACCAGAAGAGGGTCTAAAGGAGACTACTCATTTGTCTACCATTCATGAGTCATTATCGACACAGAAGTCATCATTTGCAACGTCTTCAAAGACCCATTCATCACGAAGTGTGAAGTTTGCCTTGCCTAATGATGCAGCTGTGGATGAGACTTTAGAAAGCCTAGAGGAAGAGTTTCTAAAGCTTTCTAAGCCTTCTAGCACTAGTAGTTCTGCTAACTACACAGAAACGAGAAGGGTGAGAACGGGAGATATCAATCTTCCCAAAGACAATGGAGAAAGTCTTCAAGGTACGTTGTCTTATTAACGTTTCTTTCAAGACTTTTCCTAGACCTGTGAAGGCTATCTGTTATCTAAACTCGACTAAAGATCTATGGCTAACGGTTTTTGGTGAAATTTAGATGGATCAGTGTATGATGTAGATGTATCAGGCAAAGGACGTAAAGAACAGAGATCATCAAGCTCTAGTGATCCTAAAGTTAAAGATCATGCTGCTGAATTTCAAGCTCTCGTCGGCCCTGGATATCTCGGTGCCTCAACATACATCGGCGACCCTAAGCCCATTGCAGATCGTAGACGTTTTGCTAGTGACGGAAGATTTGATAATCATACATCTGTCGGCGACCACCAGCACGTCGGCGACCGCCAGCACGTCGCCGATCCCCAGCACATTGCCGACCCCCAGCAAGTCGCCGGCAACCCGCATGTCGACGACCATTTGAACGTCGGCGATTCTGATCGTACTGTTGCTTCCAAGCATAAATTTAAAGCGGATCCAGGTCGCGTCCCTCCACGTCTATCAAGATTTCAACAGGAACCACCTTTTCCACCTCCAAACTTTCCACCACCATCTCCTCCTCCTCGACACCACTTAAGAGGACAAACCCTTAAAGAAGCCAAACCACACCATCACGAACAGGCTGCGTTGCCTGGAAGCATATCTACTACAAATTTGCGCCGATTATCAGAAGAACTGGCTGGAGGTGGTAATTTTTCACCCCAAGGAACGACAACTACTATGTTGCCTGAGGATATGGTATCTGGAGAACCATTAACGGCTGCTATGGTGCGATTCCCTCTCCTTGACGACAATGATTCGGTAGTCGAGTCTTCGGTCTACTCACTTAGCACACAGGCCGAGGCTGAATTGCTGTCCCTGGCTGGCCCTGTTACGAACGTCGAAGACGGCCCCAAATTGCTTACAGTGACCAACCAGGAGATGGCGGACCAAGCACACGAAGCCTCTATTTCAGAGAAGTCCGAGACGACAGATGCACAGGCCTCTGATTACTACGGTAAGTTTTTTTTCTTCTGAGCATAGATTCCGAACACGATCTGACTGTGAACAGACCGCAACGCGGAGCACCTAGAGCACCCGCACATCGAGCAGGGCCAAGAGAACGAGACAGATTTGGTCAGTTCTGCTCCGCAGATTCATTCAGGTATGAAAACATTTTCTGTCGAGCCCCCCAAAAATATTTTCTTTTCATTTTGTGTCATGAGCTTACAAAACCTATTTACAGAATCTCCTCTGGCCCATCGCGAAACAAGCCAGGACGCACAAACCATCTCACGAATCCACTGTAAGGCCATTATACTTTGATGTATTCATTAGATCTCTTGTTAACCTTTGACATCCACAGTGACTCCTCGAAGCGTAATGGATGCCACCTCGGAGCTCCAGCGACTTGCTGGAAGCTATTCGCCAGACACGCACCCGAACACGCCTCTGGTCGAACGATTCCACCGAACTCTTCATCGAGAGGTAGATCCCGAAGAATCGGATTCTGAGGAGCTTCCCAAGCCCCCGGTGGCTGAATCTCACCGATCTCGTCGTGCCCATCGAGGCACCGACCAGATTCACCCATCGTCAGTCATTGCTGCAAGCACCCCTTCTCGAGCCTTAGGTAACGAGAATATCCGAGCTATCATCCGCGATGAGATGACCGATTTCCAAGCCAACGATTACACTGGCAGAATCAGTCGACCTGCTGCTTTAGCAGCATTGCAGCATAGTCTGTACCAGCAACCTCTGCGCACTGAAGCCGGCATGCGAACTTTCATTCGCCACCAGGTTATATTGCGCGCGCCAGGAATCTCTGCGTTCTAGAGCAGTGCCGAGCTTCACGCGCACAATACTACGGCTGAGGACCGAATCTTTGAGGAACTTTCGCAAGCTATCGAGCGCGAAGAGCAGGTTGGTCAGCCTGCAGGCCCGCAGGATGATCCCTTCTATTACAATCCTCACCATGGCCTCTTCCACGATGCACCGATCGCTCCTAACGTCGCGGTCCACGAGCATGCGCACCATGCCCCTCATACTCCCCATATCTTCCATACCCCCCACGCGCACTACGCGCATCACGCACCCCCTCCCACTCCCGCTCCCGCTCCCGCTCCCGCTCCCGCTCCCGCTCCCATCGTTCCGGAGCCTGTGCCTCGTGTGCCTTCGGCTCTTAGCTCGACAGCGAGCCGCCAGTCGCGACAAGGATCGCAACACCACAGCCAGCCGGGAAGCGGTCTCTCGGTGAACCCCATGTGGATTGATCCGGAGGACCAGTTCGTCATGAAGCCTGCGCCAGGCCCGTTCCTATACGCGCCCATGGACCCGGAAGAGCAGAAGCGTCGAGACGAGGAGAAGCGCATGAAGCGCCAAGAGCGTGAGAAGGAGCGCGCGCAGAAGAAAGATGAGAAGGCCAAGGCCAAGGCCAGCCAGAAGATCGAGAAGCAAGTGCGAAAGACAAGTTCGCAGCAGCTCGACTCGGCCAACCCCGCCACGCTCCGAACCGCGAGCAGCTTCTCCGGCTCGCTGCGCCGCGCGTTCCAGGCGCTGAAGAAGCCGACCGTTGCCACCCCCAACCTCCCCACGGCTGACGAAGACGAGCACGACGAGGAGGAGAGTCGAGAGTGAGGTAGTGTGGCGAGGATAATAGGAATCGGAACCCGGCCCAGGAGTAGAGTATTCCTCCTGAGGCAATGGTCAACTGACCAAGGGAGAGGGTGAGAAGGGAGGAGGATATCGGTTGCTTTATTGCAGAAAACAGGAACTTCATGTAACTAATTGCTAAGGATGCCATGTGCCATATGCCATACCTGTGAAGGTTAACAGGATGATGAAGGCAATGCTTTTGCGTTTTGTTTCTACTGGCAGGCACAAACAAAAATGGATGTTCGTATTAATCGTTAATCATATGCGAATTGAGTTGTTGCCATCCTCCTCTACTGTCTTTATTCACTGCTTCTTATGTAAGTGGCTCTCCTGAATTGCCTCTTAATGATACGTGCCCATCTCATTCGGTTCTCTTCGTAATTGTACTACGTTACCGTAAATGTCTCTTAGGGGGCATCTTCGTAGGAAATTAATCACAAAAGTGATTGTGACCTGGCTTAGATACGTTTTAATATGTGTATAGAATTCGTATAAGGACGTTCAAACTAATAGCGGGAGATCTATATTAGTATTGACTTTATTTTTAAATTTACCTTTGTAGTAGCTTTATTTAACTTCCATTTAAATAGAAGCATACATCGATTAGCTTGGTTTTATAATTGTAAACTTCCATCTTATAATTTACAGATACTGGTATTGAATTTACATATATAACAGGCCAGAGACTCGACTATGGATTATTATACATTAAAAAATAGGAGCATCTCAGTCATAACTACTTTACCGGTACATAGTGGTGTCGTTATCTTTGTGGGGTGTCGCGAGCTTAACCACCCCTTGTAAGTCGGACTGAAACCTTCTCCAATTGGCCAAGTCTCGTCTAAAGATCGTGGGGTTATTGGACGTTCCCCAACGATCAACACCAGCCTCCTTTAAACTCTCTTTCTCTTCTTCTTTCTCCTCCCTTTTCATCCGTACATCATAAACCACATCGGAAGAAATGGAGTACGGGAAGGGCGAGCTCCCTCCTTACAGTGCCGTAGCTGTACCGGATTGGCGTAGGCGCAGGTCTGTACGGCGTTCTCGGGCTATTAAGTTCTTCGCTCTGACATGCCTTGCATTTATTGTCTACGCACAATGGTGGCAAATGGATACTCGTCCAAAGGGCCGTCCAGTATCTCAACTATCTATTGATAAGTTGAGTGAGAACTTACGGACTTGTGCTAAGCTACGCTCTAAGCCACAAGATCCCATTGGCCTAGGCCGGGAGCGGAATGCGCGTTATGTTGACGGGCACAAGCCTACTCTTATCAAGAACGCCACTATTTGGATTGGCGAGCCTACCGACGGGACTAGCGACAAGGATGCACGCGCTGGCAAGGGTTTTTCGTGGATAAATGCCGATGTTCTATTGGAATACGGGCTCATTAAGGAAGTCCAGAAGGATATTGATACTCGCTTACTCCCGTCGGATACCTTGATATGGGATGCTAAAGGTCGTCAACTCACGAGTGGTATCATCGACATGCACAGCCATGCTGGCGTCGACAGTCTACCAGAGTTAGTTGGGAACGACGATACAAACGAGATGGGTTCTAATATAACTCCATACATCCGTTCTATTGACGGTATAAATGTATTCGATCACCAGATCCAGGTTATAAAATCTGGAGGAGTAACGACAAGTTTAGTGTTACCGGGCTCTAGTAACAACATTGGTGGCGAAGCCTTCGTTATTAAACATGCTGTTGGTATACCTGACGGTCGCAATGAAACTTCGATAAACGACTTATTGGCCGATCCGGATCGTTCTTGGAGATATATCAAGATGGCTTGTGGAGAGAATTCTAAGCGAACCTATGGCAAAGCTGGCGAACATGGACCTACTAGCCGACTTGGCGAGTCTTGGGAATTCAGACATGCTTTTGAGCAGGCTGCAAAACAAGTGCAAGCTCAAAACGACTGGTGCACCCTGGCCGAGTCTATCGGTGTTGAACAGATGGACAGCTATCTGCCTCAAGACTTGGAATGGGAGACGCTAGCTGCGGTGCTACGTGGACACGTTCATGTTAATACTCATTGCTACACGATCCCAGACCTGGAAGCATTCGTAGACCACACCAACGAGTTCAAGTTTCCGATTCGAGCGTTTCATCATGCTCACCAGACGTTCCTCGTCCCTGAAATCCTCAAACGAGCATATGGTGATACCCCACCTGCATCGGCCTTGTTTGCCGATAACATGTGGTATAAGGCCGAAGCCTATATTGGGTCTGAATATGCTGGCAAGGTGCTATACGACAATGGACTAACCCCTATTTATGTAAGCGACAATCCAGTTCTAAATGCCCAGCATGTCGTCTTTGAAGCCGCAAAGGCATTCGGATATGGATTACCTTACCATGCTGCCTTGGCTTCAGTTACAACAGCCCCCGCTGAGCGACTAGGTCTTGGACAGCGAATAGGTAAGGTTAAGCCTGGATTTGATGCCGATGTTGTTGTATGGGATAGCGACCCATTGAGCGTTGGGGCCGCGCCGGTCCAAGTCTGGATAGACGGGACAGCACAATTTGAGGATCCTGTCGAGTTGAAGAAGCCGTTTACTGCCCCTCGTAATTTTACGTCGGAGGCTCCTATTACCGAAGAAACAGTTGTTGTGGGTGACGTAGTCCTTACGGGGATTTCGAAATCATTTTTACCATCCCAACAACATAATTCCCATGATGAAGATTTTACTGTCGTAATTTCGCGCGGTAAAATTACTTGTGTAGGAACCTGCGAAACCGAGCTTGAGATGGCTTCCAAATCAGGAGTCAAAGTCATCTATCTCGAAAATGGCCATCTAACCAAACCGTTCACGGTATTTGGCTCTCTTCTCGGACTCAATGGTATTGACGCCGAGCAGGATACCGAAAATGGAGGTAGTCCGGAAATATTCAGTCGAGGTATCGACGGGTTAGCACTTGAGACAAAGAAATTACATTACGCATATAAATATGGTGTAACCAGAGCCATCTCGGCACCCAAATACTCGGGACAAGCAACTCACCAAGGCACCAGCGTGGGATTCCGTACTGCTGCAAAGCACGCCCTTGATGAAGGTGCCATATTTGCCGATGACGCAGCGGTACACTATACGCTAGATCTGAGTGCGAAGCGTGGTAGCACTTCAATCTCGAATGCTGTCAATACATTACGCCACAAGCTAATCGAGGCTTCTACTTCTAATACTACCAACGCAGACCCTTACACCGAAGCTGCGTTTTTAAGTAAAGTGATCGATGGCTCTCTGCCATTGGCTATCACGGTTCATAGTGCCGATGTCATCGCTACGCTTTTAAAGGTAAAAGAGTCTGTTGATAATGTTATTGCTTCTTCTAGAGGTGGTGGCGGCATCTCTCTCATTATCATCGGTGGCGCCGAGTCTTTCCTCCTAGCGGATGAATTGGCAGCAGCAAAGGTGGGCGTCGTTCTCAACCCTCTACTCTCATACCGTACCTCGTGGGACCAACGACGGGCGCTGACCGGAGCGCCTCTAACAAACGGCACCGCGGTAGATAAGCTTGTTGAGGCCGGAGTTCGTGTAGCCATCGGTATTGATGAAGACTGGTTAGTGCGCGACGTAGGGCTGCTTGCCGGGATCGCATATAAAAATAGCCAGGGTAGACTCAGTGAGAAAGATGCTCTAGATCTAGTCTCGGATAATGTGTACGAGCTGTTGGGATTAAAGGAGGGCAATGACGCAAGGGAGTTCATTGTGTTTGAGGGTAACCCTTTAGAGATTGGGGCAAGGGTTCGGGTAGTAGGAGGTGACGTAGGAGATGACGTTACGCTGTTTATATAGTATTAACTAGGTAATGTAAGTTGGGTTAGTTAGTTAGGTTAGGTTGTTTAGTCATATATTATATTTTTCTTTCTAATTGATTTAATTAACCTAATGGTTTATATCTCCTATCAGCAGGAGAGCTTATCAGTTAGTGAAGACAATATATCATATATAAACTGCAAGGCTGAATACCTTATCTTAGATACCTATAGGTATATCAAGCTGGTAAAGAACTGCACAAAAGTGGAGCAAGACATGCAGCTCTATATAGTACCTGCACATCACGTACATATTTAAATCAGCCATATAAGAGGTAAGCATCTTATATAATCTATTATAAAAGGGATTCGGGCAGCGATGTTAGTAAGAGCTAGGAATTTTTAGGCTACGGAAGCTACGTTTAATACGAATCTTGCACAACTACGGACATTAAGCATGCAGTTACGCAGGCACAAATTTCCTACAGAGCAGTTGCGATTGTGTGAGTACCTTGGGTACTTGGGACTAGACCCCGCACGGAAGGAAGGCACATCCATTATGCCACAAAGGACCCCTGTAATTACTTTATTATAGGTGGGTCACCTTTTTCTTTTTTTTTCACCCAGACGCGACGGAATGTCACACATCACCAACTTTAACGCGTACAATCAATTAATTCACATCGGCTCTCAGGCATACGTCTGCCTTGCCTTGCCTCGCCTCGCCTTAATCGCCGACTACCTAGAAGAGAATTGTCTATCTTCTCGGAATTGTGAAGTCTGCACTTTATTTCTTTTGCAATGAAGTCCTATTCTATTTAGGACAATTGCACAGCGCTCTGATGCTTTGCAAATCTATCGCAAAGCTACATTCTATACTACTTTGACCTCTTTTCTACAGCGTTAAAAGGTCACCCACCAGAGAGTCTAAACCTCTCATGCCGCGCCAACTATTCATTTCCTCCACTTTGCATCAGTCATAACTTCCAAATTACGGGAAAATGCACTAAACCATGGGAAATCAACTGAGCACTGAAGTGAAAACTGAATTTGATGGTGCAGAAGGCGATCAGGATTCATCACCCCCTCATCCTTCTCATCCGCCGTATACTCCGCAGTCCCCTGATATTGTGTTCTCAAGTCAAGTACCTCCATCCGCAACTCGCCTGCCTCCTAGTCCGACTCATCAACAGTATAATCAACCAGACACCAAAATGTCCAGCTCGCCTTTCCCACAACAGCTGGCTGCGATGTCACCGAAACAGAACACTGAAGTCGAAATACCCGAATCTCCAGATTATAAACAGCAGATTTCAACCCCAGCCCCTGGAACAAAAAGGTCTAAGAAACGAAGACTTGGAAATCGACCTAGCCTAATATCACAGCCCCGCTTCTTCGATTCCGATAGTGTAGTAGATAACGAAACAAGCTTGAATAGTTCCTCTCCAGGTGCTGAGGATGGTTCCCTCAGTGCACGCCGGAAGCGTAAGAAGAGGAACGCAATTCGCCGAAAGAAAGCACGACTGCAAGCATCTCCCGATTTAGGCAACCTTGAAATGCCTAACGATCCTATTCAATCTTTAGAGGCCGACGAAGTCCAAGAGACTCAACAAGATCCCATCATTGGCTTGCATACTACCAACGGTACGACTACAGAGTTTGCACCATCAAGCGCCTCATTGTCAAAGAAACGCAAGATACTAGGCTCGGCTAGTAAGGATGGAAAGAGACAAAAGCGCGACAGTAAAGGAAGCATTGGAGTAAATTCGGTAACTTCATTCAGTGGTCTTGCTGAGAGTCTCTATGCCGGTCGAAGGAAGAACAAAAAGGCTCTAGAAGTCATTGAAGATGACCCCATGGACACCAGCGCCCCAAGAGTGTCGCCAGACAACATTAGGCAAGAATCCATTTCACAGGATTCTTCGGTCTCCGATTTGAACGCGAATAGTAACAGTCCAAACCCCGGACAGGCTATACACCCTAGTACAGAATCCAATGAGATAGGGGCAAGGTCATCCGAGGATAGTTCGTCCGATGCTAGTCTGTCACCAAATAGCATAGAACGGGATAACCAGAACCATATTGTTACTATTGGAGATGGCAATAACGAAGAACCGGAATCCGACGTAGAGAGTAATGGCAGGGGAGAACAAAGAAGCATTACCGGTATAAATTTAGCCCCCCAGACTATGCCTAATGCCGATACCACTAGTGATGAGTATCCACCCGACATTGAGGATATCCATAACAATAGCAGTATCAGTCTTCGGCCTAGGCAAAGTTCGGCACGAAAGCGTGTTGTTAAGCGGACATTTTTCGAACGTGAGGCAGATGGTAATGCCACCGGTTTGACCAAACAAGCTTCTTCCTCGTCCGCCACTGGAAAGAAACAAGCCAAGATCTCAGCTATGCTCCAAGAAAACAACACTAATACTCCCACACCAAAGAAAACCCCGTCCAAACGTCGCGCACCCCCGAAGGAGACGCAGCCTCATGAATTGGTTACTGGCCAGTTCAGCGACTTCGAGCTTCGGAACATTACCCAAGCCGTTGAACGTTGGAGAGATGACCACAACTTGAGTCAATCCGAAGTAAATGATCTTATCCAGGGCAACCCCCGAGAAGTTAAATCTCAAGAATTCTGGGCTCGCATTGTGGCTACTTGCCCAAATCGTCGTCGTCAGAAAGTGATAAATCAGTGCCGTCGAAAATTCCACAACTTTGTTGCTCGTGGTTCATGGACTCCGGAGCAGCATGACGAGTTAAAGAAGATGTGGGAAATGCATGGATCCAAATATGCTGTGATTGGAAAGCTCATCAATCGCCATCCAGAAGACGTACGGGATCGCATACGAAATTACGTCGTGTGTGGCGAGAGTCGGCGCGTTGACCCGTGGACTTATGACGAAGAAGAAAAACTCCGATCGATAATATCTAACGCTGTCAAGGTAATTCGGGAGCGTCGCCAAGAAGGACATATCATATCAGACGAGCCCGATGAGGATCTGATTGACTGGCAAAGAGTCAGTGAGTTGATGGAGCGAACACGTAGCCGACTCCAGTGTATTCAGAAGTGGAAGCTTATGCAGAAGCAAGTGCAAGATGGTGTTGGTAGCATAGACGGCGGTGAGAACCTTCCAATCGATAAAATCATTCAGAATGCACGGGACGAGGCCGAAACAATATCGAGCCGAGACCGATATAACATTGTCAAAGCTATTCGAACCTTCGGTGTCAACGCAGACGGTCGTATTCCGTGGGCGAAGGTTAGAAAGCAGTTAGGTGGTCGTTGGCGGCGTCCTACAATCATCCTAGTCTGGTACCGCTTGAAGCATTCCGTCCCCGACCATACTATCATGGCTGTCCCTGAGATTATCAGACAACTCAGTGTGAAGTATCATGAGACCAAAGAGCTCGACTTCCCCAGTGGCAAGGACTACGATCAAAATGCAGAATACAGTGAAATCGAGCGTAAGGTCAACAAGATCTTAAGTAAGACCCAGCGCGGACCAAAGACTCCAGCCACCGTTGTTAAGACCGACGATGAGGACGATGATGATGACGACGACGATGACGACGACAAGGAGATCGCAGACGATAATAAGGAAAGTGTCGCAGATGAAGATAGCCAGGAGGAAGATGCAGAAAGCAACGAGGAAGATCAGCAGATTGAAGAGAATGAGGATAAAACCGAGAATGAGAAGAGCAAAGGCAGCGATCAAAGTAGAAGCGAGAGTGGCGATGAGAGTGCCTCCGGTGACCAATCAGAGAACGAAGAGCTTCCAGAGCAAGTTGAAACGGAACACGCCGCTGATGACATCAGCAACCTAGGAAGCAATGTGGAAGAAGACCAAAACCCCCAGCGCGAGTCTTCGATTGAGTCTCCTATCGCCAATATTAGGTCACGAAGAGCCTTTAAAAACCAGAAACGTCATAGCTTATCCGGCAAAGTCATGACTTCTCGAACTCCAGTTTCCAGCAAGCGCAAGGTTGCCACGAAAATGAGCGAAGCCAGTGATAACGAGCAAGGCTTAGATGTTGAGGAAGAACTAAGCAGTGATACAAACGCAAGCGAAGTGGAGAGCATTCCGGCGCATTTGTAATGTGTAATATTGACTGTAGATGTATGCTACATCATATCACCTTCTCCTCTTCCGCTATCTCTTCGGAGAACACAACGGATTTCATCCTGCACTAGGGGTGCTCTATTCTAAGAGTATCCTTAGTCCAGTAACTTCCCAAAGCTGTGTTTCAGGAGTTGGCCAGAGCGGATTCCGATATCTTTTATAGAGTCACATATAGTAACTCTCCATTGGGAATGCATCGATGACTGCGGTAGCGACAGGTTTCTTGGTCCAGTTATTACCAAACCTTGCCATTGCAATACTCAATAACTCAAATTTTCAATACATCGGCGTTCTTTGATGTTGGCACAAGGGGCGGTTCAGCTTGTTACTTTTAGTCAGGTTTGGCTCAGTCTAAGGGATTATTAAACAGTACCAACAATTTACGAGTTCTAGGTAGTGGAAAAAGAAATCACTAGGATGAACGAGCAGAGAAACGATGTATGGCCACGATACCCCTTACTGTATTTTTATATATACCTACCAGGTACCTAGGTGGGTAGGTAGTTGCAATTCCTGATAGTTGGTGGGTGGACGAAGCGTGCCAGTTTATGAGGATCATGTATGGCACTCTAAAACATGAATGGATCACTCCATCTAACTCTTTGACTAGAGAATACAATGGTTCAAGCTTGTTATAATGCACTTCACATGTGATCACATGTACTTTATACAATAATACAGTGACCTCTGCAAATGAATCAAACAGCTCCAAACACATGAAATATAGTAGATATCACAAAAGGGAGATATTTACCTATGAATTTTAAAAGAAGAATAACTGCTTACAAATGCCTATTGTTTTTTTTTTTTTTGGACGACGGTGATAGCACATAACTTTTAGATGATGTATGATTGCAAATGCCCGACGGACTGATAGTTGTACCGGTTGACTAAGTCGCATAACTTATGGTCTAGTACGTACGACAGGGGTATCGCCTATCTAAGCGGCACAAGCGAGGTGTAATACGACAAAAGTACGTAAACGATGGACCGGAAGCATCTGTTTGACAAGGGACGCATTTAGGGTTAAAACATGACGTGTAGAAGGCTACTTCAATCCGCCTTCTCAAATCACTAATGATGAAATATTGTCCATTTTTATCTAGAGGGTCCTGACGGTATTAAGCCTTCGATACACTCTTACCAGTAAATCATCATATTACCTTCAGTGAATATCTTAAATCTAATAGCAACTATATCACTCTAGTTGCTCGTAACCCTGCAGATTTGTTTCTAATGACCTATCCCATAAGTATACAATACCCTCGGAGTTAAAATTCAATTATAAACTAAAATTAAGAAATGTAAATATAACATTCAAGGAAATTATGAGCTAATATACTAAATAATTAAACGGGAAATGCAATGTTTTATTATCCATAGTTTAGTTTGTTTGTATCATGATTCACAATATGTGCCTAGTCTCACATTCAATGTGGAGTTACACCCCCTTTACTCCTTAAAATCCGATGTTGTAATGCCTGCCTTATGGTTTCGATCCAACATACCTTGGCACCACAGGTGCGCCAGTTACTCTGACACCTTTTTGCTTAAGCGCTTGATGTAGGTACGTAAAGAGGAGGTTGCATATATGCTTTATAATCCCCCATAGGAAGCCCTTAGATTTCCACTATATAATCGTACTAGCATCCCATCCGTCAAACAATGTTAAGGGATCGCCCATCTCACTGAATTATACTCGCTAAATCTAGAATCACTCCTACCTTTATTTCACTATAGTATTCATACCGTTTAGTCGTTCAGGATGGCGCCTAAGAATCACTCATTCCACCTTGCCGAACGACCCGAGGGCGATATCATTCCGGGACGAACTTTCAAGTATGTAGAGACCGATGCACCTACCGCCGATCAGCTGAAGGATGGCGAGGTCCTCGTAGAAACCCTCTATTTGTCTCTGGATCCCGCTATGCGCTCCATGATTCATGGTCAGTCACCCAATTTTTTTTATATCAAGCCACCCTTAGCACTCGCTATCTTTTTAAGTATAATCAACCTGTTATGTTTCTACCCAAGCTGACAGTAGCCGTTGGCTTCACATCATATAGACTTCAGGTCTTATATGCCGCCTGTTGCCATTGGGGAGCTAATGCGTGGAGGGATTGTTGGTAGAGTTCTCGCAAGCAAGAGCTCTAAGGCGAAAGCAGGCGATTTGGTCTCCAGTTTTGCTGGATGGACCGAGGTTATCATCCTAGACGATGCTAAATATGAGGTACTCAACTTGCCAACCGGCACTAAAGTTACTGATGCGCTAGGAGGGCTTGGTATGTCGACTCCTCTTAGCACCTATCACATGAATATAACGACTGACAAATTATATACAAAAAGGCTTAACTGGGTTAACAGCCTACTTTGGAATTAAAAAAATCGGCCAACCTAAGCTAGGAGATACTGTTGTTGTTTCCGGAGCTGCAGGCGCGACAGGTTCCGTTGCCGGTCAAATTGCTAAGATCTGGGGTGCTCGCGTGGTCGGCATCGCCGGCTCGGATGAGAAGTGTAAGATCTTAACAGAGGAGCTCGGCTTCGACGTCGCGCTCAACTACAAGTCGCCGACGTTCCGCGAAGACTTCATCAAGGCTACGCCCAAGTTTATCGATGTCTACTTTGACAATGTGGGCGGCGAGAGTAAGTATTTCCTAAGTCGGTTTTGAATCGGCCCCTCTCAACACCTTATATGCCTACAAGTCCCTAGTCTCACCCACGATTTATCACTTATAATACTTATTAGAACATCTGGTTTCGTTTGAAAAGGGAAGATGAATACTAACTCATCATAGTTCTCGAAATGGCACTTGATCAAGCCGCGGTGCACTCGCGTTTCATAATGTGCGGCAGCATCAGCGGCTACAACAAGCTCGGTCAAGGACCCGGAGGTCTTCCAGATATAACCGGTATTCGAAATCTCCTCCGAGTGACTGTCCAGCGTATCCGCATGGAAGGTTTCATCGTCATAGACTACATAAGTGAGTTTCAAGAAGCACAGCAGCAACTAGGGAAGTGGATGGCCGAGGGTAAGGTCAAGACCAAGGAGACTATTGTCAAGGGCGGTCTTAAAGTGGCGGAGACTGCGATAGGCGAATTGTTCACTGGTGGGAATACCGGAAAGTTGATCGTGGAGGTTAAGCCATATGACGAGGTAAGTGTTTTCTAGATTCTAGCCATATAGGGGCTTTGCTAACGAGGAATTGTAATCAGGGCAAATGAAACTTGTGAAATCTGTGGCTTGTATTTCTCCAGATTTATTATCAGAAGAATACATCAGTTATAGAATACTGTTTTCGTCAATAAAGAAAAAGATCAATCCAAAAAGTAAAATGCCTTCTTTTTAACGTACGTGCTTATGTTTAATTGTATTTTGATTAAATAGGGGATAATACATAATTCTGATTATCTAACCCCGGATATTTTCTACCGTTACTATCGTATAATAGACACCTAGGTAATTAACTGTACGAAGTACCTAGTTATTCTGAATCTAGAGGTTTTTTATTAAAGGCTTATACATACTTGTGTTTGTTCATAATCGCCTTGAGTAGGTACGCAGGGAGATTGTTTATAAAGGACTATGACGAGAACAGGCTATTTAAACATTCCTTGCTATAGGAATAGAAATAGCCTAAAAATTGAGTTCATTAATTAACTATAATGTTAACGCATTATGTTCAATTAAGAGGGTGTTAAACTCGGAATATTAAGCAATGTGTTCTCTACAATACTCAGCTAGTTGATATAGTTGAATACACATACACAAAGAGCCTAAGTTGACAAGATATTACCTTAGGTAGTTACTTGAATAACTATGGCACTTGTTTATTATATTCTGTTTCAATTGCTAGTTAATTGGTAAGTGTAACTACCTAGATTAATGTGGAATTGGATTAGCAAAGACAAGAATAAGACAAGCCGGTATGAGTCACCTTGTTAAACATACACACGAAGCTCGGATCCTTTGATAGCAATAGTAGTTTAATGTTCTTATATTAATAGTCTTTACTAGCAATTGAGAATCCAAGTATTAGCATAGCCACAGCAACTTGACTACGGGCCCCGAGGCCGCCGAACAGGTATACGGCACGGACAACCTCCGTTGACTATCCCGTTCTTTTAGTCTCCGTATCGTTGCATGTCGAGTCACTACGTAGCGATTCTAACGGGGGAGGCGCTATGTCTCACTTCCGCAGTTTAGATACGCCAAGCCAATAACTACATTGAGTGTAAACTCACTACAGAGATATAGCGACCCATTTTCACTTCAATACACTAGAATATTTTTAATATTAAAGCTTTATATGCGAACGCTAGGTTATGTAGTTGTTATGTATCTGAGATAATAATATTAGTTCAGGCACTTAAGGACTTGAACCATTTCATCAAACCGAGATATCATTACTATGCGCCTTATTTAACTAAACATAAAATAAACACACAAGTACTTAACTATAGAAAACTCAAAGAGATGTTCAATGAGTGGCACGTTACATACTATGGCTGACTTATCTTACCAAATACGTGATGATGGGGTAATTCCAACGAGTACTACCTATGTATGAGCCACCTGATTATCCCTTGCATATTGGCTGAGAATACGATTACCTACATACAAAAAACTTACAAGCCGCTCCATTTACACCGTATACTTAATTAACAGCTGATATATTCAGTGCCTCGTAGTAACGTATAATAAAGTAATTACATATATCTTAGGTATATGGTAAGATCCAACAACCAAGCCAATTGCTAGGTTACTATTCCGTACTATGTTGGTAATGAGCAGTATATCCTAATCTAGTTACATCAACAAAGCGGACCAGGTATCTAAGTTAATCAGTAGGGACGAATATGCAAGGGTTATATATTGCAACTTCATCTTGATGCAACCAATGACGGCTTTTACCGGACGCCATGCTTACAGAGAGAGACACAACTCCCGGATTGACGATTGGTTGAGCAGATATCATTATCTAGGTACCTCCTAAGTCTTATCTTGATCACCGTGGGGGATCTGTTGTTGCATCGTCTCCTCAATCAAAAACGCGTGTATCCGTATGATCCAAACCCAGCTGGTAATGGCCATGCAAATATGCGGATACGGAGATCAGCGCCCAGGACTGTGCCACACCCATAACTGCGCATAGGTTGGATAAGCTAAGACGCGCTGCTCTTTATGCGGTCTATGAACCTTTACTGAATAGAATAAAGTGGCTTCTAGTGATATTAGATTGGCTAGCTAAATTTATTATTCTTACCCATGGATTTGTCGCATCGCCTCTCTCCTTATTACTCACAAACGGTGAATATACTTGGCATACTATGCTTACCCGTGAAATAATTGTATCCATAAGCGGATAGATCGCATAGAATGTCTATATAACGTCTCACTGTGGTCTTCATCTGTTTTTTCCTACGGATACTCAATTTAGTAGCTATATTTTCTACCTCGAGTGGCTTTATCAGTAGGAAAAGGCCGGGTTAACATCACGATGCTCAAGCGAACACAGACTGGGACATGGCTGGGAGCATTCGTGCCGGAATCATCAGCATGCCTTTCTTTCTTATTAATGTTCTGTTCAATAACACAGTCAACCGTAGGTACAGTCCCCTGTGTTGAGGTTAATTTACTAATCGTTGCGAATATTGCCTCACAAGTAGACGGGCGGATATGATGGCTCCATGTTGAACGGGTTGAATATTTTGCCCTCGTATACGGATTACTTCCAACTAACTCCGGCAACAACGGGTCTAAATACGGCTTCTGTATTCATTGGCGGCACCCTTGGCACGATTATCTCCGGCATCATGACTGATAGACTCGGCCGACGTCCAGCCATGTTTTGGGGGTCCGTCATTACTCTGATCGGTACAGCTATTCAGGCAGCAGCCCAGAATATTGCCATGTTCGTCGTCGGACGGATTATTCTAGGCTTTGGAACTTCTCTGTCAGGCGTGTCTTCCGGCGTATTCCTATCTGAGACATTTCCTAGTCGCTTACGTGCCTGGGGCCTCGGAATGATGAACGATTTCTATTAGTAAGAGCCCAATTGATGGAAATTGTAACAATATTAATTCGACTTGGGAACTAACCAAGCTTTCTTAACAGCGTAGGGGCACTAATAGCATCTGGAGTTACTTTAGGGACTGGACAGTGGCAATCAACAGTAAGAGTATTGGTCTAAGTCATAAATTAAACCATCCGGCTGATGAAATGTTAAGTGGGCGTGGCGGCTGCCATCGTTGATACAGGGTATTTTTTCGCTTTTTTGCATTATCATACTACCTTTCGTGTAAGCTTCACTCTCTACCAAAGCCTCGATCTATCCTAACTAATCGAATAGTCCCGAATCACCAAGATGGCTTTGCCATCAAGGATATTTTGAGGACGCGCGGATTTCCGTAGCGCAAACAAATACCAATGGTGATCTGCTAGACCCCGTTGCTATCGCAGTGTATAAGGAGATTCTCGACGCCCTAGAGTGGGAGAAGAAAGAAGGCCGGTCAATGAGTCCAAAGGAGATTATCAAGACCCCTGTCACGAGGAAGCGATTTCTCATCGGAATGTCTGCAGGCCCCTTTTCATGCGTCGCCGGCAACATTATCGCTTCGTATTATCTAGGTGCTGAGCTTCAGACCGCCGGAATTACCGATTCAACAGACCAGTTGAAGGCTGTAGGACTACCTTTGCCCCTACTAATTATACAAATTTGCTTACGTCAAATAGAATGTCGTATTAAATGTCTGGTGTCTTCTGTGTGCCTTAGTCGGTACGCACATGGTGTCTCAGTGGGGCCGAAAGCCCACGGCCCTCGTTTCGGAGGCGCTCCTCGTTATATGCCTCTTTATAATCGGAGGGCTTTCCAAGATGTATGCCGATAACCCCGCAAGCGCTTCTCAAAGCCTCGTATATGGAAATGTTGCGGTGATGTTCCTATTCCAGGGATTTTACTCCATGGCTTGGACACCATTGCTCTACCTCTATCCCCCAGAGGTGTTTTCGGGTATGTTAATGTGATCTTAATACTACTCATCCGTTATAATTTCTAAGATAAGCGCTAACGCATCTATAGTTCGTCAATACATTTTCTCGTATCTTCCTCTTTGTAATAGACAGAATTTGCAGAGACCACATTAAGTTTGCTAATAATACACGATAGTACTCTATTAGAGCCAATGGTCTGGCTGCCTCGGCGCTCTCTTTAAACACTCTTGCGTAAGCCTTTGGCTATCAACTAAAAGGTGTGCATAAATACTGATAATATTATTAGATGTGTGTTCGTATTCATCATGCCCATCGGACTAACCAATATCGGATGGAGGATGTATATGATTAACGGTTCTTGGGATATTGTTATCGCTATACTTATCGTGAGTACCTCATTATCCCTAAAGTATTTGAGTAATTTACGTCGCTGACATATCCCTTCACTATGTTAAGGCGATATTTTGGGTCGAAACGAAGGGCAAGACACTGGAAGAAATAGACGCCTTATTTGAGGGCGAAAAACATTCTTCTGTCCCTGATGTGGAGATGATTCGGACTGGAAAAGCTAAGCTCGACGGTGATACAATGGAGCTATCGAATTTGAACTAGTGATTAATTCGTCAGTGAAGTTGACACATTAATTTTCTTGTAGAGTCTGTTGGTGGTTTTGCTTTTCGAATGGATTAGAGTTAACACTCAGAGAGTATAGCATATTGGTCTTAAGAATAAGTAATCAAATGAGAGTGAGCAATCAACTATATGCTAAGCCGTCGCTGAATACAGATAGAGTGGTTCGTGCGAAACTCACCCACGCACTTTTCTATACGTCGGTAATCATCGATCACTACACCGCTGTCACACATATGCTCATACGCTCATATAGTGGCATGACGGTTCTAAAGTCTCATTTTAAAGGTCTAGAGCTCCCAGCTCAGAATTATAATATATTTTTTACCACCTTTCAGATGTTCTAGATACGTTTTACTTCATAGTAAGCGTTTAAACGCCTAACGGTAGTCAATACCGCTCGTTAGCCTAAATGAGTGTATCTACCCCGATATTGCTAGCTACTCTTTTGCTAATCAGTTATACTATATGCATCGTAGTATTCAGTATGCTAATTTTGAACTGGTTAAGAGTACTCCAAGTTATTTCAGGCTATTTTAGCATCGTCCAAGCCACCCGGGAATTAGAAGTATGAAATCTATACGCAATAGTTATAGGAAAAGACGTTTTAACTATTAGCCCCTATAATCAAATAAGATTGGAAATCCCCGGATAGACCAAGAATTGGGTATGTATTCGGGAAAAGGAGAAGAAAAGCGATTGAACTGCCTAGAGCATATACTAAGTGCTCTGCCAAGCCTTGGAATTTGGGGAAATATTGATTTTTTTCCTTTATTAGAGGCTTATATTCACATGGGGACGACGAACTATGCTACCCCAACCAAGTCATTCTCCTCACTACCCCAGTCGAAGATGATTATAACGGGGGTTAATATAGCGATGCGGAGAAACTGGGATCGGTGTTGCGGGGTTAATTAACACGAAGGTCACTCTTGGCAGGAGACCTATAAACTACTTATAAGCCTTGGGTGGTTAGGATGGCGCGCATAGAGATTATCAGACCGGTATTGCACATACGCTCAGAGCTGCAGTCCACGGTGAAAGATGTTCGGTCTAGATATGCGCCTCTCCAGTAGGTTACTGCTCCTCAGTGCAGTTGCAGCACAGGGGAAGTATATTGTGCCTGGAGCAAGATGGCGGGATACGGAAAATAATCTGGTCAACGCCCACGCGGGTAACGTCGTCTTGGAGAATGGCACATTCTGGCTGTTCGGCGAGTACAAGATCCAAGGACAAGAAGAGGGTGGTGGTGTTTCGGTTTACAGCTCTGAAGATTTGGCTACTTGGACTTCTCATGGCCTGGCTTTAGGTAAGTCACATTTCATCGCAGGAAAATGGCTAAAAACACAATCTAATGAAAACAATAGAACCTATCTCTTGGCACCCCTTTATCTCACCTAAGAATATTATCCAGCGGCCCAAGGTTGTGTACAGCGAATCGACAAGCCAGTATCATGTAGGTTACCCCTAACTCATTAGACATACTCATCAATACTAATATAATCTGTTAGATGTGGTGGCACGCCGACAATGCTACGTACGGACGTCTACTACAAGGGCTCGCAGTCTCAGATACAATTGGTGGACCCTACAGTTTCGTCAGTGCGCAAGCTCCTTTAGGCAATTGGTCACAGGACTTCGGGATGTTCACCGACTACAAAGACGGCAAAACCTATGCGCTATACTCGAACGGTGACAGTGCAGAGGGCCGAGACGTGTATTTGGCTTCGTATAATAAGGATATCACGACGCTTGAAGAGGTGGTTCACCGCTTTGATAAGTTCGATCTCGAAGCTCCTTCTATCCTCCAGACTGAGCATTCTTATTACGCCTTATTGAGTCATAAAACGGGATACAGACCCAATAGTGAGTAAATCGCTTAGCCTATCCTAATATCGTGCCATACCCCCCACATATTGCGAGATTGGTATTAGAGACCTATTTATAAGACCAGGGTTTGCTAATTACGCCTTTAGACGTCGTTGCTTTTCGAGCGGATAGCTTGAGTGGCCCCTGGTCCCAGCCTTGGATTGTCGCACCGCTTAACACGCGTGCTTTCAATTCCCAGTCCGGCTTTACGTTAAGAATAGCAGGAACTGAGAAGACGACGTATCTATACTTGGGCGACCAGGTAAGTCTCTTCTCTAAAATGAGTATTCCGAGAAAGTATAACTAACGGGTTGTAGTGGGATTCTAACTCGCTTTGGGAATCTCGCTATATATGGCTACCCATAAACATCGACGATGACAAGAAAACCCTTCAGTTGGAATGGCACGATGTTTACGATCTAGATGTGTATGTGCTGGTCGGTCTCACTCCTATGCAAATAAGTCCTAACGTACGCTCTTAGGAAAACTGGAAACTGGCACCCAGTGGAGGGGATCACATATTCTGCCAAAGATGCAATAACAAGTGGAAACGCTTTCAAGCAAGAAGCCGTAAGTTTATGATATCAAGGAGATGTTACAGCTTAACTAACGCCGGCGTATATTGTAGAATTTCGCCACTGATGGAGTTATCTTGACCGGGATCCAGGGCAATGACAGCACAGTCACATTCCAGGGTATAGAGGGAACAGGAAAGCCTCAATGGGTTTCGTTCCACTATCAGAGTGAGTACCTCATGTCAACATCAAGTAACGGTCAAATTCTAACAGACATAGACACCGATGATATGGGCTTCGGAGATCAACGTAAGTTTATGAATCTATTATCACGGTCATACAACTACTAACAAACATCTTAACAGCCGGCGGCTCGCCAGATCGAATTGGTGGCAAATGGCAGCTCCGACGCATTTCCAGCGTTGTCGTGAACGGGAAAACGGAGAATGTCGAGACACTGTACCAAAGGGATACCCACAAGGGAATCATCTTATCGACGCCGCTCCAACTAACTCTAGACGAGGGATCGAATAACACTATCACAGTGGGCGGCCTATACAACGGGTTTCAATACAAGGGTGCCGATCTTGATAAGATCGTCGTTTATCCCCCAGAATGTTAGAATCCTGGCCTTGAACATATGTTGGATATGCCAGACGCCGGGCAAGTCGATTCGTTATTATATTAAAACTAATAGTGTTAGATCTAACTATCACTCGTAGATGTACCTAAGTATTATATATACCTACACTCATAGTAAATAATTACAGCCTTTTAGGGCACCTGGAGGCCGTCTACTCTATATCCCCATCCCAATTCTGTAAAAATGCTCTCAATGCGTAAATTTCCTAACTCGTCTCCGTAGTCGCCATATAACTCATATTACGCGTTCCAGATATATATGTTGGTTGAATATATAATCATGGGATTATACATTGTCGCACAGGAGGTTCGTACACCAACTAGGCCGATATAACCGTGGCAGCCGGCCTAATAACACCTTTCTCCAGGTCTTCAGGATTTTCACCAACCTCTTTCATTAGAGCTGGCGCGTCGCTATTCTCCTCAGTTTCAAGTCTCTCTTTATGTTTCTTTGCCCTTGCGACTCGGCGTTCATTCTTCTCCTGATCCTCACGCATCTGTCGGATAATGGTGCTTTTGGAGCGGATCTTTTCGCCGTATCGATAAAATATGATGGGGATAGGAATCATAGCCGCTTCTAATAGACCTAGGAGCGTACCAGCCCACTGTGGAGTAAGTTTTGCATACATGGAAGGGCCAGCGAGAGGCAGGGTACCACCAAATATGCTACGAGTTACAGCATTACCCGCTAATGCGGACGCAGCATAGATACCATACGCGCCAGCTAGATAATTAGAGCCATAGATAAAGCTTAGCGTATTACCTGCACCAAAAGGAATACCAAAAGCGATAGGAATAGCCCAATGAATGGTCGTAGGTAAGCATGTCCAGCTGAAGACGAGCTGGCCGATGGGAACAAGTATCGCACCAATAATCATAACACGAGCAGTCGCTTCAGGAGGTGCGCGCCCAGTAGCGGGATCCTTGGGATGAGAGTTGATAATTTTGCGCCATAGGGGTTCGGCGACAATGGCGAATGTACAACCGATACCAATTCCAATAAACGCGAGGCCAGAAGTGCCTGGACCCCAGCCACGGTGTTGAGAGAATACGATAGGATAGGCGACGAAGCAGAGGTAGAGAATTCCGTAGATTAAAGAGATCCTAATTCGGAATGTTAGCAAGACAAAGCTAAACTCACTCATAGACCCATTCTCCCTTTTTTTTATCAACGGGAATATGCAGAGTCTTTCATGTATCTTAGGAGAAAGAATTCTACTTGAGATTGTTGTAGGATGTAAAAAGTTGTAGACCGAAGATTTGGTACGTATTGAAATCTCCAATCTCCAATCCCCAATCTTCAATCCCCAATCCCCATATAATTTAGCTCAGGCTTGTGTTAAGGTCAGTGCCACGAGATCACGCGGCCAACCAAAAATAGCTTTATATGGGGATTTCAGTTATACAGCATAAAGAGGAGCCATAAATAAATACATGTAAGGCTGGAATTCAAGATAACAACTTCGAGGTAGCAAACACTCAAACTCTTTGATACGCGCGATATTATAAGATAAGTAAAATTTAGGTACGTACCAGACGTTAAAAAACCATAGGATAGGTTCTTTAATAAAGAACTCGAAGGGCCTTAACAGACAAATCTTTATAAGTGCCGCCTTAGACAGCTTCTGGTCATACCGACACCACCATCTTTCGTCGTCAGTTTCCTTGCGCATTTTTGCAGCTCTTTTCTGGAGAATTATAGGAGCATATGTCTCCTTAGTGAAGAGCATCAAAAAGATGCCGACCCCGGCAAGTATAAGAACAAGCCAATTATCCCATCTCCATCCTAGGTATTGGAAAACGTAGCCGCCGATCACAGGGCCCAACCTACGTCAAAGTTAGCTTTCTCATCCTCTCTCAAAAAGACTAATAGGATAAGATTTCGTACACCGGGCCATTTAATGGGGCCGTTGAATATAGCGACATGAATAAAGCGCGAGTTTCTTCCGTCGAGATATCTACAACAGTTCCTGGACTGTTAGCTATCATCGCGCTCCCGAACATCGCCCTAGCACCTGTGTCAGTACTTTCCCAAGATAGGTCCAAGTATTGGCCACTTACGCGAAGAATCGGACCACGAGAATCTCAGCTAGCGAGGTTGCTAGACATGTTGGAATTACCATGGCCGCGAAGCAGATCAAGCAAACGATATACACGGGCCTACGCCCATAGAGCTCACTCGCAGGTGCTACCAGCAGACTCCCTGTTGCAAGACCGAACATATAAGTGGTGACACCGAGAGTCACTATAGTGGTAGAAGAATCGAATTCTTCTACCAAACCAGGCGTCGACGCCGTGTAACTGGTGCTGTAAAGTACGATTACCCACGACGAAAAACTAATAGCGAAGATAACAAACTATAATAACAAGTTAACAGTTACTTCTTTCAGCAAGCGACTTAGGAATAGGGGAGTTGGGTCTGGTTTTGAGAGAATATTATTTCCTCGAGACAAGCCAAAGGGGGCGGAAGCAATTGTCAATCTCACATACCGACCGGTACCATAAAGGCCAATATCGAGGGTTTTCCGGATCGTTCTCCTCAAATGCAACTTCGTAGTCTGGGAGCCGCGACGCCGAGGTCCCAACGCTAGTCGCTGTACGCACACGAGCGACCTCTTCGAAAACTTGTATTCCAGGCGAGATTGCCAACTCTAGCGGCGACAATGGATCCGTATCGTCGGAGGCATTCGATGCACGGCTCGAGTGGCTTAGACGCCTATGCTGGCTTCGCTTCTCCTCAACTGAGTCCTCGCGTGATTCCATCTTATGCTTTTTCATATACTCGAGTTTTCTCTCGTCCTTGTTAAGCCCGTTTTCTGCATTTTCATGGCCTGCCATTTGGGCGTCTCACTAATGTAGTAAGCGGGTAGCCGCACGGAAGAAAAGTAGCTAGGAACGGTCTGCAGTAACCTTTACGCCAACTCGCTGCGGAGACCAACCGGAGTAAAGTCGGTGAAGACCCCTGAAACTAACAATTGAGAATAGGATAATATATAGTGAGTCCATAGGCTTAAACATATGAATTTTAAATTTGTCAATGATAAGACATGGGTGTAAAAAATATATATATAATAAGGAAAATATTTATTTACAGTTAGAGGATGAGTTGGGGACAGCCACGAGCTAGTAACCGGGTACACAAGTCCTATCACCGGCCTATTTGCGTAATTTTGCCTAGGTATACTACGCTGAAATGATTAATAAACCCCTCAGGAATAAAGAAGGTCATGTATAAGGCTGTAACGTTGGCTAGTTACCCCTGTAGTCTTTGGTAGAACGCACCGCTGTGTGATGTTCTGCATGCGCATGGGAGGCGGAAAGTTAAGATATTGCCTTTGTCACCTCGTGCGCTCCTAGCTTCCCATAGGTCTATCTTTCGTGGCAACCTTGTCAGTACGTGCATGAGTGGCCCGTCAGATTGGACAATAGATGTTAATATGCACGTTAGGGGCAAAGTCCCTTGATTTTAGAGAATCACATCATTGATATTCTTACGAAGAGCCGAAATTGTAGCCGATGCTGAATATCGAAATATCTCTTTCATATTCCTACACGTTGGCACTTACATCACCAGCAGAATCTATGAGCCAATTGCAGCATCATTCTGCCCTTCGGAGAAGTCCTAATCGCTAAGATTATAAATATGAAAAGAAAAAATCATTAGAGAACTGCGGTAGCTATTAATCTAAGGAATTTAACCTGCTACATAACATACGGGTATCATTGCAGGCTGATATACGCTAATGCTCTACTAGGAAGGTCGGAAGGAATTTTTCTAGACGCTTTGAGGCTCCGAACAAGTACTCATCGACCTCGAAGCTTGCTATTGTTTTCTACTCTTTAACGAAATTCATATTGTTTTCAAACATTAGAATTCCTGAAATTCAAACTTACAAAAATACATGTTTACCTTTTACTAGCAACTATTAAGAAGATCGATTCCAACGCTTACTGAATTTACCCCGCTTAACATAAAGAGCATACAGGAGTCAGCACTTAGGCGTATCTCCACTGATAGAAATTTTGCCGAGGTAAAATTTATAAAGAGTGGGTTCTTGAGATCGATCCTGACAGCTATGGGTCAGATCGTAAAGCCTCGATTTGAACTTCTCGTCTCTTTATGTTTTCAGGTGCGAGCGGGCCACAGTACGTTGTTTGTTTAAATCTGATCGACTGAATATTCTGTACCAGGCTTGGAATGGTACATTTTGAGTGGTTTGAAAGTATTAATTCGTTGATATCGGCGCAGTATGCTGTAGCACGCTCGCACCTCAGGACATAGATTTGCCATCTACCTCATATCTTAATTTACTGATGAAATCTTGCATGCACTATAACACAAGTCTGTTGCTAACCGGGATGAATATTAATCAGCCAACTCCCTGAGATATCTAGTTAATATAGGTATCCGCCATTCATATTAAAAAGATGTCAACACCTGATGCAGGTATGAAGTAGAGTTGCTTCCGAACATTTTCCCTTGGCATATGCATACCAATGCATTCTTCCCTAGTGGAACTCATAAGAGAAACTTGCATAGAAAACGCGAGTTGAATCGATTAGTGGCTGTAGAGCAATTGCAAATCGAAGAGTAATAGCGGTATGTATACACCTATTGCCGATCCTCGGCAGAAGCCAGAATGTCAGCAGTGCAAGTAATCTAATTAAAAAAAGAAGGCTCGTCGATATAAACTATGGAGAATTGAAGCGTGACCGAGTCCGGCGTTATCTGACCGCTTTTGAATGAAGCACCGCATCAAAGTGGCTGGTCCGGGGTCTTTCCGCGTCAAGCCGGGCTAACGATGCATCATTCACGTGGAAGTTACGGGATCTGCCGATGATAGTTTACCTTTAGCTACCGGAAGTGTGCCGGCCGATATTTTTCGGGAAGGGACCATCGATAGAAGTTTTACCGGGTACTGTCAACATTTCATACAGTGTATATACAAGGTAGTTATGCAGCTTCATCTACCTAACTGTGGTTTAGGCTCTCAAGCTCCACATCAGGATAAATTGATAGTTGATGACTCACTCGATTCTGCGCCCAAGCTCATACGTACAGTATGTAGTTCTCATTAATGTAAACTTATCATAATTCGTACACTGCGATAGTTTAGTTTTCTAATGTCATATAAGTAAAAATCCTCACATTCGTTATTAGTCTCATATTTTAATATCAGAATTACCTAGAGAGTCAATCTTTAAAATCTGCATGTCTACCTGCCTAAGGTACCTAAAATATGTTGTTGTTGTCTGCCTAGGCATTTAATAAAGGAAAGCTACTGTATTGCAGCCTAAGAGTTGTTCCAGAAATGTGCCTGTTGCCTGTTGGACAAGAATAATTGGATATCAAGCCGCGGGGCATTGGAGACCTACGTCACGCCAGACCATAATAGGAAAAGTCTAAACAATTGACAAGTGTCGAGTCTCCACGGGAACCAAATGTGTAAATGGTATTGGTTGATGTTTACTTTATGCAGCCATCCGTGACGCGACCTTTATCAGGGCTGTTATTGCTGTAAAAATAAAAAAAATAAAAATCCTATTGGGCTTCTTCATATTCCACTGCATCTAGAAAAAAAATTATTCTATGTACCTAAGCTTACACATTTGCATCTTTTCCCTTCCTTTTTTACAGATCGCATCGTGATTGAAACTACGAAATGGGGGAAGATCAAGACCTTCCTATTGCCTTACGGCGTACGCCTCGGGTCAGCGCCGGGGCGGCAGGATTATCGGGTGCATCACGGTTATCAGCAACCAATACCACTTCAGAAATAAATGCAAGAACCCCTAAGCGACGGAGCAAGAAGAGGGTCCGTTTTTCCGACCCTGGCCCAAATATCGAGCATGATGATGCATCATCATCAACAGGACTTACACCAATGGTTCGGCGAGCGTCCCTTGGTGTTGTTCCTTCACCTAAACGTAGACGTCGTTCCATCCCAACCCCTCGGTCATATCCTGACGGAGTAGATGATTTATCTGGGAATAATGGCAGCAATGAAATACGTTTCTTCTCATTGCGTCAAGTCCTCGATGACCGCGTCAAGCGACGCATTCGTCGAAATGGACTAAGTGAAGAAATGAACACCATCACCCAAGAGAAGCGGCAACGCGTTCAGAAGCAAAAGGTCGAACTGCAACGTCTTCAGGACCAGCTGGCGGAGAAGGACCAGGAAATCGACAGGCTGCAGAATACTACGATGGTCCAGGACACCGATCGAATCCTAGAATTGGAGCAAGAAATTCAAGCGCTTAGGAATGAATTAAGTAGCAGGACGTCGTCGAATGCCGACCAAACACGGAACTACGATTGGACACTGGCCGCTCGCGATCCGTTTTCAGATAGCTACATGGACGATGACGAGGCCTTTGGGGATGCTACGATGGCGGACTTGATATGCAGCACCCCGTCGAAGACTCGCGCATCAGCATCGTTCCCTACGCCACCATGCACAAGCCCGACAGTACCTGCTACTCCTTGTTCTTTGCGGAGAAGCACACCGGTAACGCCACAATCTCATATCGGAGTACAAGCAGCACTCCCCGATCTTGAAAAGGAGGCCTTGGAAGCCGAGTTAGGATCTTTACGTCTCGAATTAACTAAGTTGACCGAAGTCCTTGAGAGCCACGAGGCCCTCAAGGCACGTATTGCGGATAAGCTCAACACGGCCAACCCCCCTGCGGAGTCATCAAAGGATGTAGAGGCGCATCTAGATACCGTGTTACAGTCCCTCTCTGACCGGACAACGGCACTCCTAGATCTCAACTCATCTCTCACTTCCCTAGGATTTTCTGGCAATGACGCGAGCGAGATCGTGACATCCCTAACCGGGGCGTTTCGCTCGGCACGTTTAGAACTCGAGTACCTCACACCAGGAGAGATCACTCTTCCCTTATCCTCGCGTGGAGCTGAGGTCCTAGACTTAGTACTCATTCGACTGCGTGATCTCGCGCGCCAAGTCCGTGAGGACGAGGATGCTATCGACGAATACCATGAATTGGAGTTATCATTGCGACAGCAACTCAATGCACGTGTTGATGCGATGGATAGTATGCGCGAGCGTAACCGGACCGAGCTCGCCGGCAAAGACGAGCGTATCGCAGATTTAGAGATCGGCCTAGAGCGTCTCAAGGGCGCTGCTGACGACTACCGCCGCGACGTAGGGGAACTAGAGAGCTTAGTGCAGAGTATGGAAGAGGAGAGCAAAGTCACCGAGAAGCGGCTCACAGCTGAGGTCGCAGGCGCACAGGCCGAGCTAGTTGATAGCAAGACCACTGTTGCCAAACTAGAGGCTAAGCTCGCGTCGGTGCGTGAGCAAGCCGAGAACTTCCGTCTGCAGCTCGCTGAGTTGCAAAGACGCAAGGCGGCCGAAGTTAAGGCCCTTAACAAGTACCACGGGATGGCTCTGGCAGCACGGGACGCACAGGTGACGGATCTACGACATGCTATTGACGAAGTGAATAGTAGCCTGCATGAGGCGCACACCACAATTAAGGAGTTACGCATAGAGAACATGGGGTTGAACCAGTGTCTAGATGAGGAGAGGAACCGTGCCGTGCAGGCGGTCGACACAATGAAGGCTGAGCTTGAGCGCGTGTTCAGGATGGGCTCGGAGTTCTTGGCTACACCGTCAAGGTCAAGCACTAGTTGTTCGATGAGAAGCTGGCGCTCCTCGACCAAATCTAATACTGAAAGGGTAGCTGGAGAGGACGATACGACGACTCCAGACGGTAGTCCTCTAAGGTCAGGCGCTCACCTCGCAGGTGGGCTAGCGAAGTCGATCAGGGGGGTGAAGAGGCGGAAGCATGATAGTGGGTTAGGTCTCGTGGACGAGGATGAAGATGGCCGGGTAGAATTGGCCTAGATATCATTTCAGACGATGCTTAAGCGCCTTTCACTAACTTGCAATTTCTTTTTATATGTTATTTATAGCTATTTACTGGTGTTTTAATCTACGATAGGGGGGGTTATATCCTGTCATTACTAGTATACGGCGCTAAAGTACAATACTGGAGTTAATTCCGGGGAGATGACCGGCAATGTGGCTGTGAATATCGGAGAATATTTGACTATGCATATTTTGAAATCTAATTTACTATGTAACCTTTTGAAAAAACGCATTTTTTGAAGTTATCGTACGATAGTCAGGAATTGACTACATATATCTTTCCTGAAAAGTTTCACATGACATCGGGCTCGTGCGTCTGATGCTGGTTTTGTCTCATTGCGAATTAGCATGTTAAATACTATCCCCCCTGGCTTGGTAGATCAGTGCATACTGCATGGCTGCCTCACCAGTATTCACCCTCTCTCATTGGATTTAGCAACATCCTTCGACCCGATAGGGTAAGGGGATGAAACTTAATCCTCTTGTTCAGTATCGGCTGGAATAACTCCCGTCCCGCTACCAACGCGACTCATAAACTCATAAACATACAGCTCATCAATTATACGAAGGCTGCGTACGTAGCTATGGAACTGATCGCCTCTATTCCAAGTTTCAAGAGTAATTATCATGGTTATGTTCAGGACTATGAGTGAATACGGGTTCCGGTCATATAATAGATCATATAATATGTTGATCTCCGACGTTGTCAGCGTCGACTGAAGTAGCCTGGGTGTGCACGTAGTAAGGACCATAACTGCGGGAATTGCCGCCAGCCAGGTCTGTGTAAGTATGCCTCTGTATCGGTACAGACATCGAAGTACAGTCGACACTTGAAGACATCTACAACAGATGGATTCTTTAATATTGGAGCCTCAATATCATTTTACGAACTAAAAGCCAATAACCATATGAGAAACTAAATGTCAGCCATGAATAACGACGTTAACAACGGCGAGGTATCTCGTGTTGCGGCGCTGGACGCGGCTGACAAGGCTGGGAATAGCATCAAGTATGCAGATCTCTAGATATAATACTATATAATAAGGCCCCTTAGAGGAACAACAGGAAACAATATTTAGAGCCCTGCAAATCTACCGTTGCATCGTACGATAACGCGGACCCGGGGTTAGCACCCCGATGCACGCATGGGCAAACCTGTCAGAAGACCCTTTGTGCCATTTCTGGGATTTGTCAAGGATCACAAAGCAAAAGAAAAAGGGCTTCCAACGCTTCCAGAAGGAAACGCGCGCGCAAAGATTGATAAAACCCAATAATGGAGACGTCCAAGGACCCTAGATACCGTTGCGGCAAACATGCCCGACCCTTTGCGGCTCAAATGGCAATGATCGGCGGGACGGTTGTTGTGGTCGGTGTGGCAGTGCTATTACGTGACCCGGCGCTCGACGGGATGATGTAACAGCGCATAAGAAGGGTCTCCCCGTGCCCTAGGAACGCAGGAACAGCTCTCCTAATACAACGGGATGACGATGGAGGGACCCAAAGTACAGTTGAACACGAGATATCATGCATTGGCGAGTCGCCGCGCGGAGAATCCCGCGATATTAGAAAAGACTACTCGTCAAGTTGAGGCGGCGGTTTTTGTTGTGTTGTGTTGTGTTGGTAATTGTAATTGTAAGTGTATGCAGGTGTAAAGCACAATTATTGTCAAAGCTTCCGGGCGGTGCTGTAACCATGCTCATAGTACTGCTCATAGTACCAGAGCCTCGGTCCCAGGGCCTGATTGTTTGCGGTGGGAACGACCGCTGTAGGATCAGGGGAAATCGATAATTTGGGTATACATCTCCGTGTTCATTAAACAACGCCTCCGGATTTGGGTATTGGGGATCTACGGATTTTTGCAGGGACCGTGAAAATCATATGGCTTGAAGACCATGAAAAAAAGATGCAGAATGGCATACCTGTCAAAATGCGGTTTATTTTTACTCGATGACAATATTACTATGCCACTAAGGCCAGGGGGGTGCTTACTCGCCCTGAAGAAATTCAAACTTATGAGATATCCCCTTAATTGGCATAAGACATCACTTCTACTATTTTCAATATTAATACATCACGATTAACTACCTAAGCTAAGGAAGATAAACTAGTTCTACGATATTAAATCGGCCAATCATATTTATTATTAGAGGCATATCGCAAAGTCTTTTCTTCTTATGCTAAGTAGTTAAGGGGATAGGTAACCCCATACTCAACCCCTAGGACTTAGGTATAGGAGTTCGGCGAAAACACCCCGCAGGAGACTTTTCTGCACCTTGCACATGGAATGCAACGTAAATTGTCGTCTAGCTCATCCGAGAGACCAGGTCCGGCCCCGTCCCCATTTGGGGCTTGAAAAGACCGCACATGGATAAAAATTAGGTGGAATTTCCGTCCGGGGCATGCTCCGGTGTAACCCCCGACCAAATCTCGGCCGAGTTGACCAGGTATGCTTACTTATAGTCTTAGAGTCTTATAGACTTATACATTGAAGATTAACGATCTGTCGTAACCAACACCATACACTAGAGATGTGGCAACGCATCCGTGTTCCGAAAAGGTATATAGAAAGGATTCTCCGAGATTACGTTCCCTTAGGTGCGAGTTGAAGCCTTTGTTAGTCTTCGGTATAGCTAAACAAGGCTATCAGTTAAGGCAAGGTACTCGCACGAGAAACATATTTGGTAAACCTTGCCTTATACTTATCGACACGAGGTAGATCTGTAGATCCTATTAATTTTCCGGTAAAAAAATACTCTTAATATAGAAGCTTATATGTAGTTTAAGCAACGTACTTATTACTAAGTTGTCAATAGGCCTTTCAAAGCCGGGAATATGTCAGGACGCTAAAAGTACCTCTTCTAAGCCAATTACAGTAAAACAATCATCAAAAATACATCATCATATCGTCAGCATGTAGCATGGAAACTTTTGCTAGCCAACTGCGACGAGCGGCGACGAGACCGTGTTCAAAAGGGTAGTGCTAGTGGACGGAAGCCGCATTATTTCAATACTATCGCTTTAGTGATGCGACCCTAAACCCAGTACCAACTAGCTAGCATCCCGCAACGAACTCAGGACACAGATAGCTGTGGGAAAAGGGTTGCATCGCAAAGCTTGGCATGCAAGACAGACCATGGAAGCCGGCTGGCACATAAGATAGCAGCGAACAGTGTTAATCAAGACGCTCAAAGGCAGTTGACAAGGTAGTTTACTGAAATAATGGGATGATAATAAGTCAACTCAAACCCGATCAGGCGATCAAGTAAAGCGGCATCCCTTTTTCGAACGTTGTGATAGACTAGAGACTGCCAGCATGGGAACGCGGCCGAGCACACGCAGATGTCAAGGCTTAAGGTAACAACTTTGTCTACAGTAGACATACTGGTACTAAACACTCGAACAAAGCTTTCAGAGAAGTCTTACTACTGAATATAATATGCAGTCATGTCCAGATGCCCTTATATAAGTCATTGCATTGGTCCAGTATGCCGAGTCATAAGCCACGATATCCATCAGATGATATCGGAAGTATCTAATGGACCAGTCGGGGTATTTCTCTGACGCAATAAACGTAGCCTTGCTGCATAGAAATCATCAGATACTGCTGCAGTTCCAATTACTAGGCCTTTGCCGCCTGTTATTGGGGAAGCGCTTGTTTCATGTAGAGTAATGTTAATGCAATATGTTAATCTGGCCTATGCCACGTACGCGATAACCCAATTGTTTGGCCTTGTAGAGGCGTAGAATTGGTAGTACAGCATGCAGACCCCCCCTCGTTGAATGGTTGTAGCAGCATAGTCAACAGTAGTGTTTATGCGACGAAGCGGTGAAAGCGTGACAGCCAAACGCACTATGCCGGTTCCGAGCAGGCATGGCATCGGACTGGTAAGTTTTTGATGATGATAAAGCACGGTCAACTATGTGAAACAGCGGGGAGTTGCATTGTTTTCGACTTTTAAGATGGGGGATGTAGAATCATAGCTGTTAAGAATTTTACCATATAGTCGCACCATAATCCGAAGAAGAATTCCAAGAAATATTTCAGAGTTTATAAAGCGTTGATTTATTTCTCGACAAGCTAAACGACATCAAGGCACGGATACCTAAGTATTATATGATATTGAGTCTACATGAATAGAAGTAGAAGGATGAAAGGCTTAATTCACCTACCTCTCAACTAGCGTCTTCACGAAAAGATGTTGCCGGCCAATAATAAGCATGATCTAATATTTACCACAACAGGCGTCCCGAGGTTGGGTTAGTACTTTATAAATTAATGCGGCTGTTGACGGATTTAGGACCCGGATGCTACATGAGAACTTTTAGGTTGTATGTTGACATCGGCGAGAAAGATCGATTCTGTGAACGCTACGATAGATATAGTTAAATTAAAGTGAGATACTAATGCCACACTGAGTATAAGTTGTTCCCGAATAATTCTCTGTTCATCACGACGCCTCGTGCGTTTACCCGATGAAGGCGTATCAAGCCACCAAGTGACAACTAATAGTAACAGCTAATAAGACGCGTCGCGCATGAGCAATACCGGCACATACCCTTATAGCCACATATTTGATGTAGCACGAAATATAAGTCTTGATCGCTTTTAATCACCTTCAATCAACTATCATGTGCCATTTATCAATTCGATCTAGAACCGTAGATTGCCGGTCTGCCAGGTACAGATATATTTTTAATGAAAGTTTCCTAAAAAAAGATATATACTGTAATTTAACGCGGAATTATTTCAATCGGAACCCGGCGGCTACTTTTTAAACAGTGATTAAAAAAGCGCTTAAGATTAAAATCCTTCATGCACAAAAATTGATAAATATTGCCGTTACGCGCTTGCGTCCGAAAAGTACGATATGTCATATTTGTCATATTTATTATTGATTTATTATTGGCTAACAGACAGCCGGAAGTCTAGAGTTGAAGCCCAAACCCTATTGGTAGAGAATGAAATAACGCGGAATGTTTCTAAGTAAAGTTAGCTTGAAGTGGCATATGCGTCTCCTCAGTGTCACAAAGTCCCGTTTGGGGATTAGACCGCTACATGGCTGGTTTCTTATTTTTTTTATGCCGAGTACCTAGTATGTGGAACAGTCGGCGCGGCGTAGAAGGCCGAGCTTCTTCTTTTTTTTTTTTTTTTTTTTTTTTTTTTTTACCTCGAACTCTGTAGATATATAACCGACGCCGAGAATAGTACTCAGAGCCTCTTTTCGGACATTTACCCTGCTATATTAAGATATTAAGACCTTGTCAGCATTGGCGCGGGCAATTCTGCGATGCTAGACGTGGTATTTAATATTTGTTAGAGTAGGGCTATATTCGAACCGGATCTAACATTCGACTTCGGGTGAAGACCGTTTTCGAGCTTTGGGGAACTGGGGATAAGCAGATGTGATAGACGAGGGGTACGCTGACTGATAAGTCATGACGTCAGAATGTGGATTCCTGCAGACAAATTGAAATAAGCTCTGGGTCCTTTGCATGAATACATCCTCCACAAACTCCAATCTCTTTCGCGCGCGGTTTTGCTTGGGTGAGGGCCGGCTTTATGGTAAATCCTAGAATCCTAGAGTAGCGGCGGAGGAAGAGACCAAAAGAGGATTGAGTTGAAAAGGTAAAAACATTTCAAGGGTCGTAATAGGCTGTCGGTTACAAAACCGACTTGCGGAAATTTGAGCGGGCAATGGCGGGACCTCACTAATAATGGGCGGAGAGGGGAGGAAACAACGGGAAGGAGAAAAGGCAGTGGGAATTATAGAGACTAGCTCAGAAAGGATATAGTATCTTTGATGGTTTAGTAATATAGTTTATACTTGTACATACAACACCCTTACCTAACCGAATAGATCAAAGTTTAGGTAAGTAAAGCAGGTACGCATCTCATCTCCGTAGATTCCCGCCGAGTCGCAAGAGTTTAAAGACGGGTCTGGTACCGGAGTAGAAACATAGGTAGGTAAGTAATCTAGACATACGAAAGAATTGGGAACAAAATAACTACAGGTAAGTACCTAAGATAGGTAATCATCAAGCCACAAGAAGTGCGTCACTCCACGTGATGTTACAATGCCGCGGGAATCTCCATTACTGCCCTATCCTAATCAATTATTCAAGGGGTTAAAAATAAACACGGGGGCAGATCTATGCAAAGACCCCCCCCCCCCCCCCAGCTACCAATCTTCTTCTATCTCACTCGCTAGGGGATTTCTTACGTTGATCATGCTACGCAAACTCAACATCCGTAGCCAAAATAGTTTGTCGCCTCTTTACCGGATGATTATCACCCATCATGAAAAATTCCACCAGTATGTTCTTAGCTTTTTTATTTATTTATTCTCTTTAAACTACCCAAACACGGCATTTTCGTACATGCTATCTCATGTAGAGGCCAATTAATGTTCCTCTATCCATTTCCCTATCTACAAAGGCTAAGAGGCGGGGTGTGAGTATGTTGAGGCTTAGGACGCCACGAGAAGCCTGCAGTTTCTTTTTCACGTCATTCTAGGCTTGCCTATAAAGATATTTAATACAGAGACGCCATTTTTATTCAGTACTTGGCGGCACGCGCGAATTAGGGTTGACAGTCTGTAAATCGTGCCATGCGCTGATCGTGCCATGAGAAAATTAAAAGGGTCACAGTAGAAAACAGCGGCGTTAAACTAGTCGCTTGCGCTTGTACTAGCCCTTTAGGAGGATTGTTCGGCGGTAGGTAGGCTGGCAGATCGAAATTGCACCATCCAAGCGAGGCCTCCTTAGAAGGCGACTACTACTAATATACCACTATCTCGTGCACTATTTCGTGGGGAGTGACGACAGTTGTCTTGCTGTCCATACAGAAGTTTTTTAGTGCAATTGGCTGATAGCTCACGTGGAAGAGGCCATTGAGAATATATCCTCACTACTGGGAACGAGAGGCGGAACTTAACCACATAGCTTATATGCAGTTAATCCATCGACTCAAACATATTGCTTATAGCCCATATGATTTACTGTATATATCACGAACTTCGATGGACAAATATATCCGATCAAAGATTGGCGATGCCTTCATCAGCTTCCTCTACTATTCCTAAGTTTCTAGCGACAACGCTAATAACCCATTAGTCGTAGCTAAAAGGTACCAAGATCTTTCCAAGCGGAAATGATCGCACGCTTAACAGCTACTAAGACATAAGCGAAGTATTCACATGTTAGATCTCAGAGAAGTGTAACGTGGTCTCTCCTTTACTTATTTATTAACTACCTATTCTATAAAAGTACTATACCGTAAGTAATTAGGTTAGCAGCATGTTTATGAAATTACGTGTGGATTAGTTAAACTATATGGCACATTTGAAACCCGATGTAAATGCATACGGGCCATCTTGCTGCCCTAGTTATTATATCGACTCTTTCTAGTCTAACAGATAAAGTTGCCAATGGAGGTAATATTGATGAAATATCTCGACAAAACTAGAGAAGAAGTCGCTATGATAAAGAATGATTAACCAAGAATAATTCATACTTCATATTAGTATAATTGCTACTCTACATTTCACATACACATCATTAAGAAATGGCAACGAAGGAATGATGACATATAGTTAATAGCGGCCTAAAACTCTATTATAATGTTTCTTCTAGCCGTGCGGTGGGCATAAAGCGGCCACTATATCGTATAATATGCGCTCACTTGTATCGGCCATTCTTCAGCATTTGCCACCTAGAAACACCGCCCCCTTTCTGCAACTGCGGAATGGCTACAGCGGGACATGTCTGAAATGCCGCGGGTACACGTACGACACGATCAGGCCCATCCAAGCGCAGGTGCCAGCTGAATGCTGGAGCCGAAAATCATATGCTAGCCACGTCTCTTAATCTGGGTCAGCCGCAGGGGCTAATGCAGTAGTTAGGTCTAGATACAGAAGCTGATGTCCGTTTCTCTACCATGTTCGTCAATATTACAGCGCACAAAATAATAACATAAGAGATATTTAAACACACGTGCAAAAGACTAACGAGGCCAAATTTCCGTCCTTATCATGGTGAGAATTATATTAATTTGGTCGGAATAGCTTGGTGGTTTGATATAATAGCGTACGTAATATGATTTTTTTATTTCATTTTTAATGCTTATTCACTCTCTTTTATTAGAACATTACCCACAGTAAAACGGAGCAATAACTGTAAGGCATGGAGACGCCGGGAAGTCTTTTTTGGCTGGACCTTGCATGTCCATTGTATATCCTCAACTTCCGGCTAGACTCCGTCCCGGTACGTACCCACCCTCCCAGCACGGACAAGCCTCTATGGGGGGCAACTACCTAACCTAACGGGCAGGGGGATAAGAAACTTATGTACCGGTACGTACCGTACATTGTACGTAAGGTACATGGGACTCGAATTGGAGGTTCCTAGATCTATCAGTATCTGCAGTATCTGTTACATCTGCCCCGGACTATCATCCCTTCACTTTTAGAGAAGGTGTACCCAATGTTTAAGCTAGCTAAGGTGGGAACATTTGTACCTTGTATTGAAGCTTCCACTCATTTTCCATTCCCACAATTGCGCAAACTCCCAACTCCCAACTCCCAACTCCCATCTCTCCCACCTTCTCACCTCCCCCCATTATTTTTTACTATGAGATCGTACTAAGACTACCTAATAATTCTTGTTGGTGCGCGACTAAACAACGTCGGTTGGTTAAAAGACAACTTGGGCGAAAAGAATAGCACAAATCCAACTAACATTAGAGGTACCTACCTAATCTAACATAAGTGTCATTGTACAATCAATTTTGGGACTGGGACTGGGACTACAACTTGCGAAGAGACAAGTATACATAACCCCCCCCATGTATAAGTTTGCACAGCGGCGTCTACCATCTCGGTGCAATGGTGGAAATATTTTTGAAATACACCCCTCCTCCTCTTTTCGTTTAACAAAGCTACACGCCCCCCCTCATAATCGCTCTCGAGAGCCTACCTTACCTTACCTACATACCTTGCCCTACCTTAGCTACGGTACCTTAAGTCCCATCCGTTCTCTGCTATTCCCTGTACTCCCGTACTCCTTCTCTTTTCGTCCGAACTTATTAAAGTTTCTGAGTCCCGGCCCTCTAATGTCTTCGATCCGCACCTCACCGTCCCATGACTATACATACCATACATACCATACATAAAAGCCCACGACCTAACACAGCTATTACACCTATAATTCTTCTATGCTCGTACTAATTTATACCACCACCACCACTGGCAATCACCGCCACCACAAACCGACACCGCTGGACCCTGACAGCACCTTAGCCGTTACATACGTACAAGACCGTAGCTAGCTAGCTAGGCCGGCCCGGCCCAGCCCAGTAGTCCAGAGAACTCGACAAGTTGGGACTTAGTTAAAGATTGCGAATTTCTTACAAGTACTACCAATTCCACCTGGAACACGTTAAAGTCCAAGTACCCACTACGCACTCTTTTAGTGAGCCGTACTATAATACCACCAGGTCACCCTCCTAAGGAACCTATCAAATCAGCGTCTATTCATATTAATCCTTCCGCTCGCTACTTACCTCTCTGTTCTCTCTCTCTCTTTACCGCTTGTTAGACTCATTACTCTAACACAAGCCCCCCCCAAATCTATCTCTCCCCTCACGATCGTTCTAGACGTTGCGCCGCGCCGCGCCGCAGATCTCCACGATATTTCTATCGCTTAATATCAACAGCCGACGAAAAAATTCACGAAACAATATTCACACACGTACGCGCTACCGTCTTCTCAAATTCACTTATACGCAATTCGTCCTATCACTTTGCGCCGTCTCCGTAGCAGGGTTTAACATCGCGGACATCTCTCAAGTTCGCATGCCTCTGCTCGAGCATTAATTAAATTCCATAAAAGAATTCCATTTTAGGCTTATTTTGCAAACCCGTCGGCACGGCTGTCTTGCGACAGCGCCTGTTTGAGTCTTTTCCAAATGTTTCGCCAAAGGTAAGTTATGCTTAATATCATGCCTCAACCGCTGTTAGCCCTTGCATGTATCTGGTGGGTTGTTACGAAAACAACACCATCTCGTTGATGCCTTCTGCCATATTCCATGTCTATATGCGATAATTCCTGATCGTCGTTCCGCTTTGCTAACCGTACTGACACATAATCTAGGACAAGTTCACAAAAGCCTGGAGATGAATTGCTTGCCAATTTCCGACAACAGTTTCCTGAGATCACATCGGTAGCCTCGTCTTCGGTGGCAGGAGTGCCGGCGCCAAATACTGTAACTGCTGACAACTCGGTTCTTGTTCCGCCGGGCCAGGAACAGTATGTTGCGATTTCTTTCAGACTCACCCCTGACGCCTAAATTCCCCTTTTTATTCTTCGCGATGGCGTCTTGCGGTCTGATTGTGAGGCGGTGCAAGCGCATCTTAGAGCTTTTGACAAGTTTGAGCGCGGGGTATTCCGTAGCCCCCAGCTCGATTATAACTTCAGCATTAAAACGCATGATCCTACTACCGGGGGGTAGTAGAAGACGCCAGTAAAATAAATAAAATGACAAAGCTAACCCCGATAATATTTCTAGACATCAAAGCACAAGTCATGATGTGTTTCGAGATCAGGATCCTACACCGCGGGCTTCGGGTGCGGAATGGAGGTTTACCCCTTCGTTGCTAGATCCCAATTCTTTCTCCTTCAGCACATTTGCAAACCAACCGCCAGGTTATTACACACCTACACCCGGCGGTACCAATACGATTTACCACCCGCAAGCAGGCGACCTGCATACGCCATCATTGGGTTTAGGGATGGGACTCGGAACCCCATTGTCGCTTCCTACTACTGAAGGCGCCATACAGGCTGGACCAGCTCTAATGGATCTCACTCAGTTTCATCACGGCATACCGCCGCATCAATTCCCACAGCCTTACAACCCGTTTATCCAAGCGACTCCTCCCCAACCTTCGTTCGCACCTTCATCATTTGTACACCAGGATACCGGCTACGAGACGATGGACCACGACGGGTCGCCTCTCGATTCTGATAGTCACGAGGATCATATAGGTTCAATGGGTGCGACATTCCACTCACAGTCGCCACCTAACATGATTAGTTTCCAGCATAGACAATTTGGCGCCCCCATGACTCACTTGCTGCCACCTTCGGCCGACAAGTTCCGTTTCCACTCGACTCTGAACGCTCCGACGGCGATGATAAAACACACGGATGAGATTCCGGTGACGTACCTGAATAAGGGACAAGCTTACTCGCTGGCAGTAATCGATACCACGGCAAGTATGCCTATTATACCTGGCACAAAATATCGAACGTTCGTACGCATCTCATTCGAAGACGATCAACAACGACAAAAGCCTGGCGTCTGCTGGAGCTTATGGAAAGAAGGTCGAGGGACTAATGAGGCTCATCAGCGGGGCGGGAAGCTGCAGGCAGTCGAGTATGTTGAGGCCGGGCAACCAGCTGAGGGTGATGATAAGCGAACCCGTATCGAACTTGAGACGGCTTCCTTTGATGGGTTCTCAGTCGTCTGGACTCCAGGTGTTAATGGTGTCGCGGAGTGCAATATCGCGGTCCGCTTCAACTTCCTCTCGACGGACTTTAGTCATTCTAAGGGTGTCAAAGGCATTCCAGTAAGGCTATGTGCCAAGACGAGCATTTTATCAGCGGCCGACTCGCCCCCCTTGTCAGACCCGACGTCTGAAATCTGCTACTGCAAAGTAAAGCTATTTAGGGACCACGGAGCAGAAAGAAAACTTTCAAATGACGTTGCGCATGTTAAAAAGACGATTGACAAACTCAAGCAACAGATTTCTCAAGCAGAAAGCGGAGCGAAAGATTTCGGAAAACGCAAACGAGGTGGTGGCTCACACGTTAAGGGCCAAGATCACCAACGTCCAGGGAAAGCCCCGAAGCATAAAAGAACCTGGTCAATGTCATCAGCTAGCTCCGCGGGCGGAGGCGGTGGTAACGCACGACCCTCGCTTGAAGATGACTTACACTTCAAACTCCAAACACTACAGGATATGTTCACAAGCACGCGACCTGTGAGCATCTTGTACTTGCGCGGTGATGATTTAGACGATCCAGACTTACACCCGGTAAGCCTCCCCGGAGAACCAACCGACCTTACCAAAGTCGGCCCCAAAGACGCCGCTGCGTGGCAAATCAGAAGCGCGCGAAGTTCGATAGCCGGCTCTTCACTCGTCTCTCCTTCCCCTAGTTCTATGTCTTTACATTCACAATCGGCCAATACCACTCAATGGACCGATTTCCCAAGTAGTGGGGAGCCATCAGCTTCCAGAAGAGCGTCTGAGATGCCAGTAAAGGTACCTAAAACAGATGACGAAGGGAATTTGAGTGGTTGGATAGAAGCACTTGGAGTCGATCCAACATACAAGCCACCGACCGAGAGGCCTGTGAAGCCAATCGCCTGTTTCTACGTCGCCAGACGGCATCGACCCGAGCCCGAGAGACGTGAACTTCACCGAGCGATATACCTAACCCAGAGAACAGTATCGGAGTTTGTGTCGCGAATTTCAGCTAAGTGGACTCTCGATCCCTCATCTATTGTGCGGGTTGTCCGTGTCCTCGAGAGTGGGTTGGAAGTAGAAGTAGATGACGACATGATCCAGGCTGTTTCCGAAGGCCAGGATATGACGCTTGACGTTGCCGAGGTCGATCGAAGCGTACCTCAGCCCAAGCGAGAATGGGAGATGATGGCTGTCGATGCCCCTGATGGTGATAGAGCCTCTACACACAGCGCGTTTCGTACAACAACAGGCTATGAACTGCGACTTACTTTTTAATTTCTACGGGTATCGAAGGACTTTATGGTGTGGAGTTTATTATTACTTTCGATGGTTATACACTAGGGCAGGAAGACAATCCTGGAACCGGTCTACGCCATTTTATTTGTTGACGAACATGAATATTTATACCCAACGAACAACCGGCGGAATTTTGATTTATTATATATGGAGTTCGAACGGCACATCAAAAGATACCATGCCCTTGAAAGGCAGCTTTGTTTCTCCTCGGTCCCTCTGTTGTGACGGACCGACGTTCGGGTCTTTTAGACTGATGATGCCATATACATTAGAGAAGATACGGCCTGTATTATCTATTTGAGTTTAGGCGCTGCCAAAACGCTATCTTGAGCATAATTTCTTGGTCATGGAATATACCCAGTTGGATCATATATTATATATGCGGCTTTTTGAAGCCCAGAGTACCTCGGAAATATTGAAGGTTTAGCAGGTCAACTAAGACGGCTGGGAATTACATTGCATGCGGAGCAGACTTCTATAGCCTACTCCACAAATATTGCATTTTCACTGTTATACTATTTTCAACCTACCATAATAATTTTTTTGACTTTCTCTTTGCTGCGACAGATCCTGCGACGCTTATGGATAATGAGGAGGTATTTACCTAATATAGAGATGATGCTATAGGACTCTGTACGACGTTGCTGTTAAATATTTTATTAGTTATTATATAATTTGGGGGGGATATGTACAAAACAGGACTAAATATATTATTACTATTACTATTACTATTACTATTACTATTATTATTGTTATTGTTATTGTTATTGTTATTGTTATAATTATTATCATCATCTATATCTGACTTGTAACCTGTGTATTTTTCAGATCGTTTTTCTTCGCCCTGTCATAGGGCTAGTTTAGATACTAAAAGCCTTATTCGATGCTGTTTACCTAAATAAGTTTAGCCGGATGACGACGCTTTTAATCTCCCTCGAATCGCCAATCTGTCTACGACGGCGATCTCGATCGGTATTATGTTTAATTTCGCGGTATCATTTCCTTACGCAGAATCTCCTCACGTTAGGGCGATGCCCCTTAAAACAGTGTTTTCATCAAACCGATTATGCCGGCATTGAGGCATCATGGAAACTCTAATTGACGGGACCTTCAAGGTTACCCCCTTACCTATGGTCACATTGCATTTGGAAGGGCTGAGGTCTAGATCACTTTGGGCTCTTGGGGAGGCTTATTAAGACGTGCTGTATGTAACAATATCCATGTCAGGCTTAGGTACCTAAACACAACCTTTTGTTAGGGCCATATCCGTCCAGTCAAGTTATTCGTGTAAGTGATAAGTTAGTAGCCGGAGATGTTTACCTATTAGATTGTCAACATCATGCGGTAATAAAGAACGGTATGAATATCGAATTGATAGAAGTACCTGATCAACTAGAATTTAGCGTACCTAGGTAGACTTAGGCTATTTCATGTTTGATATGTTAACGTTGAATGTAAGGGTAGACGATACCTCTATCTTCTAGTTACCTTACGTGCCAATCATAATGCACCTAAGGTTGTTTACACAGATTGTTGTAAGGTTAGGTACCTAATCTAGGTACCTTGAACAATATGCCCGCCTAATCAGCCCAACGAGGTTTTACCTAGTCGCGACCCTATCAGTTACCTGCAAGCACCCCCCCGAATATCATGGTTCCAGTGGGCTGATAGGTAGTATTACGCTTTTAAGGTACCTGGAGCCTTTAGTCCGCACCCCACAAGGCGCGCGGAACTCCGGCTCCAAGACGCCGGGTCTTATCCTCTGCAGGTGATTTGGATCCTTTCATCTCTCTAATCTGTAATCTTCTGCAATCACTACCGTCTAACCCCTCCTATTAAAACAACGAACCGGGATTACTTCCCCAAATCGAAACATCCTCCCCAGAAACAAAACACTGACAACCACTCCTCAATTACAGGATCGTTCATTTTAAACTTAAAGCGTATCCCCGCTCCGTCGTAGTAGCTTAGCAACTGAATATTTCTTTGGCGCAATCTTATGTTTTTAATGCATTCTTCACTCGGAAACATTATCTGTCTTCTCTTTAATATTTCTGCTTTCGGGTGGGGTTAATAATCTCGGAGGAGGGAAACAAAGAAAAAGGGGATGATAGCGACGATGATGGTGGTAGTGGTGGTAGTGGTGGTGGTGATGATGATAATGATGATGATGATACCGGGCGACGCGACAAGCGTCATTTCTCGTCAGACATGAGCAACTGATCAACTATCTGCAGGACCGTCGGTTTTCCAATCAAAGGGCTCTAAGGCTATATCCTCATTATTCATGCCCGCTTATTTCCTTACCGCCTCATTATCCAAATACACGCCATTTCTCCGACGTGGATCGCGGGTTTAGTACTCATCCCTGACAGCCTTCCGACGATAATGAACTGACGTTGGAATAAATTCCAATGCATCGAAAGCCACAAATAATGATCGACGTCTGGGTTGAACTGGGGCAGTGCAGATTCGCCCTGCTGTGGCGAGTGGTTTGCGCGTTCTGTAGACTTGTCCAGTCAGTCTATTGTGTGCGACTCGATATGCGGCTGTATAGATGGATGTCTTTATGCTACTGGTGCCCAAGCAGATGGAGTTCCTCTAAATGCCCTATGGTACAAGGCTTCGAAGTTATTAGAACAAGTGATACCTAACCGTCAGGTATGTGGTACTTTGCTAGGATGAAGACAGTCGTCCACTCCCCGCGCTTCTAAGATATTAGGTTGTGAAAGTACCTAACTTATCTCAACCCAGCCGAAATGACTACCTATGTACTTGGGTTCACAGCTGATAGAATTCTAAGACACACGCAGGGACGAGACTCAGCTCACTTCTAGATCTCTCCCCCCCTTTTCCCCTAAGAACTCCGCATCAATATTTACGAAGCTATAGTGTTGACATATACTAGGAGCTTTTTGAAAGACTGGTAGTCTTAGACGGGGAGAATTCAACCATACCTCCTTATTAGTCTCCCTATGGCATCTACTAACAGACTAACATTAGCATTTACCCTACAATCAACTCTACACTCATATTCTCCAACTTCAAGCCTGTCCAGCGGGTTCGCCTTGATCGAATGGTTGGTAAGCAATTAGAAATACCAACGACGCCAATGGCGCTGGATCTTAGACACGGCGCCTTTAATGTGTTACTCTTGGGAACCGAAACAATAAATTCAACATCGTGCCCTATCGTCCGTGCGACTGACCATACAGACGAAATAACTGGTTCAAAGTGAGATTCGTGGTCACATCGCAAAATCCTAGACGCCAATCAGCTTATTGATATCAACATCAATCAAAGTTATGAAGGCAATATATTTATTCGCTACCTGACTTGATGTCTTCAAATACCGCCTACCAGAATTGGTTCAGACGATAGCTACATGTAGGCCCTAGTAAGAGGGACTTTTAGCGCCATCCTCAGTAATTTCAGTGTATCGCATTGCATTACAGCGGGTTTAATTATCGGAAGTATCAGCTAGCGTTTACTTCAATAGGTACATCCGGTGCCGACGCATAACCCCTGGAGCTGCAGCTAAAAGCATTTATTATAGCGCGTGGGAAGAGAATACAGTACCGTTACAGCCTGTGATTTGGGGTTCATTGGGTCCTGCATATGCAACTGTGACGCGCTGCGAACTAGACCCCCGTCTATTGAGAAAATGGCCTGTTTAGTGGTTCAAGTATAGGTACTTACAGCGACAACAGCGGTCAGGGGGCTCACTCGCCACAGTCCTTCTAGACCTACGGGAGGCTTGACTCCCGATAACCACTCCCGGACTCCCCGCGAATCCGGATCGAGCATACCGGAGCCGACCGGTGGCGGAAACTATGCAAGCAAGGGAGGATTTTCAATTGTATTATTCCCAGAGGTTGACAGTAAGTGCATTGGCAAATTGGAAGCATATCGTGCTAGCTATAACGCAAACCTCGGGTTGTCTTCCATCTAGTATTGGAGTTATCGACTAGTGGTTCCACGCCCATGCGACTTCCCGGGAACATAAGATGTCTACACAAAACTATCATGAACAGCCCGATCTAGACAACATACGGAGGCCTCCTTATACCACGTGGTGTCGCAATCTATGGTATATGTATGTCTCATCGGGCCTGGATCCAATGAGAACCCGGAGAGATATTCATTTCAGCTGACCAGGGAGGTCGAAGTACGGAAGCGAAGGCATTCCCAGCACTAGTAGATTGTCTATCTGGCGCAACTTTATATGATGCCTAATGATCGCCACCGATGGCTCGCTACAATATCTGCAGGAACTATGGCCGCCTTTAGACAACCGGCAGAAGCTCCGGAACCAATCATGATCCTAAAGAGGCTTGACAACAGCCCAGGGAAATTGTAAGAGAACATCTACACTAGAGCTTACTATCGCCACAAGGATATATGATCCTAGTATAAGACGACGAGCCACATATTATTGTATCACGCCCCGGGGTGGTTCCCTTTTTGGGTGATATTGGTGCGACGAGGTCAGGCATCGCTGTGATCACTAGCCACATCATTTCAACGCAACAGGGTAGTGTTAGGGTAGGTATTGATGGATTATCATTGTTTGAGACACATAAAGTTGCCACTTCTGAGCCACAAGTCTGAGAGACTTTCCGACCGATACAGGGTGTTACAATAGCCAATGACAGGGCTTTATCAGGCAGAAAACTTTCCTCATCCGGCAGTCATCCGCATTTGCCACAGACCTCCTAAGTAGATTAGTTGAGGGGGGGAAGATCTTCCAGTGTACCGACAACGGTTTTGCATCCAGTATTATTCCTTAATGAGCGCTCACCGACGACGAATCACTTCTACGCATGGTCCCTAAGTTGACAGCGGTGCCACAACTTGCCACAACGACTACGTCGGTACGTACGTAAATAGAGTCGGGACGTGGCCCAACGAGCAGAATTGGGGTCAAGCCTCACCTATATGTCAAGCCGGGGCGGGGCGTCGACTTTACTGGGTAATATCGCTCGAGGATCTTCAGCTTCTGACGACAGTGGCTAGTAAGGTAGCGTTGACGGCGGTGAGCTAACGCCGCAGAGATCGGCGATCCGGTTACTGTTTCCGGATAGTCTCATGGCCGAGAGAACTCCGGCACTTACCTATCAGTCCGAAGCTGGTCCTCAGCTAAGTTTAGCGAGCATGAGTTTGCAATACACTAAATGTCATATCGGAGAGCTAATACATAGATCTACCTACGTCTTCAGCCCTCGTGGCATCATACTCGGAGCTTATTACGATATGATAGGATGGCTGTTAATGATGTTGCTAGCCGGTAACTATGATGGAAATCTAGCTAATTTGATACAACTATGTGTTGTTAATACGCGCGGGGGTCTACTTGTACGGGTGTGAAGCCCGCCTACTGGTGCCTTATGCATGCCACGAAAGCAAAGAGTACGTAACGACGCTCTATTTTATATTCGCTTTAGTCAAATAAGGATATCCCCTTAATTATATCCGGTACGTAAGTTAGAATCAGTCTTCGGGTAAGTCGGGATATATTTGTAAATTCAACGTGTGACGTCATACATGGTTTATTATATACCTCTAGACAGCTCTGGAGGGGCTATCAGCAACTCCATCAATGATGACGGAGGCTTTAGACGTACGAAATATGCTGCAAGTTGGTTTTAACTTAATTAGTTAATATTTATGTAGATACAGCACCGGAATTCGATAGTTAAGTGGATTATGAGTTTAATGTGTATCCGAGCTGAATCGCGCTTTGTTATTCTAAGGTCTTGGCGGTTCGCTAGGCTGTTCGTTAGGCTCGCTGTTATATGAAGCTGGTAGTGATTAGGAGAGGTATCAAATCATTGCCGTATCTAGAGGTAATCTGCCTTCAATTAAGGTATGACCTTCGTTAAAATATATGTTCTGGTAATGAGTTCTTAGATCAAATGGAATATATAATAGCAAAATAAGTTTTCCTACGCCTATCATAATAGTATTTAGAGTTGTAGAATAACAGGTATCAGATATACCACAAGATGTAGTGTACCAACTAGGCGATGTCTATGTACTTCTCCTTTTTTACCTTTAAAATATTTTGCCAACTTTGATAATCTATAACTTTAATTTACGAAAATGATATAATTGCAAAAAGATTAAGCTGCATGTGAGTCAGCTCACCAGATATAAGGATTGTTATTATGAAACCAAGCCCCTGTGCCGTTAACTTAGAAAGACGGTTGAGTAGGTACTTACGGGATAATAACCTAGATAGATGAATCTATATATATTATATAATAAGCTTCTATTTATTTTCGAGTACCCTCTATATGATTGTGTATATGATGATTAAGTTAGTGAATCAATTTAAACGAACAAAATTCGACCATGCTTCGTTAGGAGCAGAGTCAACTGACCACCGATAGGAATCACCAGGGTGGCCGACATACCCGTTGGATATTCCAAACGCTTTCACGGAGCTCGTATAAACCCAGGGCGAGACCAAAACGTCTAAACAGATGAGTCGTCTATAAACTGTGTCTAAGGATCTAAAGTAATAACAAGAGACCAACTATAAATCTTGTCCCAAGGATCATAGTTGTACTAGTGACTGAATTGCAACCGTTATCGGTGGTATGGACGTAAAGAGAACAGTGATGGTGCCAAATAGGCTCATGGCAAGAATTGACAGCGCGGCAGCTCGAGGGTCGGTGCGTAGGAGCAGCGCTGCTGCAATGGCAGACGAATTGGCGCCCATCGTCACACCGCGGGTAACGTAGTCGTCTGTATGAAGTGGTCAGTCTTAACTCATAAATACGTGTATTCCCCGATTATAAACGTAAAAAATAAAACGAGGCGTAAAATCTAGGACGTGTGTTCTTACCTTGAGGTATCTTAAGCAATGCCAACATACGCTCACCAACCAGCACTCCAACGATCCCACTCATAATAGCCAATGCCGCTACGGTATTCAAGTCACCTCCCAAGTTAGCCGTCGCCGGCACAGCAAGCGCCAGCGTGAGACTGCGGGCCGCAAAAGCAAGACTCCGCCGAGCGCTGATGCCAACGGCGTAGCAGATATACGGGTACGCGAACAGCGAGCCGATGGAGATGGCAACGTTGGGAATAATGATCGAGGCGAAGTGCTGCTTCAGCTCACGCCGATATCGATATACGGGCAGCGCAAAGGAAATAATACTCGCGTCTAGCACGCTGGCGAATAAATTGCCAGCCCCCGGGAGCCCGTGGATGCCGCTCCAGAGCTCCGTGTATCCGATCTGTGTCTTATACGCTGCAAGCGTGGACGGGAGGCTATCACCTTTGATAAGACCAAGGACCCAGAGGCCTAGTACCGTGAGCAGAGACGATACGAGCACGGGGTGGAGGTACCGTCGCCAGTTTTCTGGTAGGGACATTGCTAGGAAGTACGCTAGGATGTTGAAGCTTAGGTGCATCGGCATCGCGTACCCGGCGGCATAATAGACGGGGAGTCCTACGAATAGGAAAATTGAGCTCCATATTAGAAGATCCAGTCTAGTAGTGATGATTGCAGCCCAGCGATCTGATCTAGATGGAGGTATAGGGGCTTGTGGCGGTAGGCTGGGACGGTCGGTGTCGCTGTCTACGAGGGTGCGGCTTGACTGCGAGTCGTCTGCCTGATGCCCCTGAATGTTGTCCCGTGATGGAAGGGGACGTTGTAAGTCTACCTCGTCAGACTGGGGGGTTGAATGACCTCCGTGTACTGGGGTTGTTGTCATAGGTATTTCTTCGCTATCGGGGCTAAGCTCCTCTGCTCGCTCCGTCATAGCCCGCTTTGAAGACCCGAGCATAAGCTGTAAGGCCCGGGTCATATAGGCGGCGAGAGCCATCATCACGAGGAACCCGATAACTAAGTAGAGTTAGTAGATTGGATCTTGGTAAGCCCCGAGGTTTATTTGTGGCCACCCACCAAAGATTGCAATTATCTTGAGGACCTCAATCCCCCCTATCGCCGGGCTCAGGGGTAGTAAAACGAAAGAAGGCGTAAACAAGACGTTTATCCATCGCAGTGCCCAGCCGCCCTAGGTGAAATGTCAGCATATGAGGTTATCCACAAAAAAAGAGTAGCGCGTCAGAGTTACCGGAACCTCGATGGTAGCAACGATGCGCTTTGTCCGGTGCTCACCGAGAAGCTGCTCGGACAGCAGCAGGGCCGCAAAAAGGATAATGAGACACGCCACCGACGACGGGAAAGGCACAGACCCAAGGCCGAATAGCTTATTAACCCCAAAACAGGCCAACAGCATCAATATTATGCCAGAGGGCACGTAAAGCCATGATTGTATGATGTTGCTCCGGGAATGCCGGAATGCCTGTGCGGGAAGTCGTTCGATTGTTAGTTAGCAATGTACTCACATTAGTTAAGTAATTAGAGGAAGATTTACGAAGATCATACAAGCTGTAGGGCGGGTAGTAAATCATTTACAATCCGTTCACGTTGGACTGACATGATGAAGATATTATTAAATTATAATATAAAAAGAAGGTTGAGAAGGAAAAGGTTAGGTATTTTGGAATTAGTTATTCTAAGACTCATTCGTTGTTATATGTTATGTTATGTTATGTTAGGTACCTAAAGTAAACTCGGATGACCGAGGCATTTTTATTGTTCTTTTGGGGATGATCTATCTATCAAATAACTAGCTAAGCCACATTTATTTCCTTTTCTCACCGCCGATCTCGGCCTCCCCTGGATGATGGCCTATCATGGCTTTGCTTTGATTTGTTTTGGACTACCGGTTCGGAAATGTTATATGCCAGATGCCAACGAGGCTCATCCATACGTCCCTATCTATGGTCACAATTTATCGTGAAAGATTTGCCTAGAGTTCTGTTTCCTACAGACCCTTATACTTAAACAACAGCTATCTCTTCTTCAATTCGGTGTAGACCAGGACTTTAAGTTCGGGTTCTCTGACTGGGTAAGGAGGCGGTAATTTCGTCTTGGCAAGTTTCCAAAGACCCTTCAACTCGCTGAAGACTTTCCATATTTCCTCGTGCATGAGAAGACACGACGTGTCAGCTTCTCGCGCCTCGCAGTAAGTATACACCCTATCCTCGAAAGTGTCGAGTTTGTTCCGTTCTGCAATATCTGCACATTACACAGGTATATTAGCACATTTTCTATACGTAAGATAATAAGACTCTAGCTTTGTTCTTCAACGTAAGGTACCTATGAAGAGACCTAAGCACCTACCTCGGAACTTGGTGAAGGTCTCTGAAGTCACTTGAGCAACCTTTCCTCGTGTTGGTGATTCTGCCGGTGCGGGCTCGGGTTGCTGGTCATCTTCCTTAATGACTCCCTGTCGACTTCGCTTCTTTCCTTTTGGGACAGGAGGGGGAGGAATGATGGTTTGGCTAGTCAGTTTGACCATGAAGTAGAAGACGTCGATATCCGGAAAGTAGGGGATGAAGTCTTCGAAAGCTTTAGGACAGACTGCTGTAATGTCGTGGGTTGTGTTATGACATAGACACTGGAAAATCGGTTGGGGCCAATTGTACATGATGGAAGGCCTCCAATTCTTCCTGTACTCGACCGCGACGCGTCTGATGCCCGCCAGCTTGTCGAAGTCACCGAAGTTTCCAATATACGGGTTGGAAATGAGACCATGAAATCGGACGCAGACAAGATCACGATCACAGTCAATTACAGCGCCGGAATAATTTCCGCGCTGGGGACGCCAGATTTCCTTGGTTGACGCCCCTTTTAGAAGTTTCTTCACGACATCCCATGAGTATTTATCGGCCTTAGCAATTCTAATACGAGCTCTCCATACCGAGGGATCAGAGTCTGCCTGACCGGCCGGAGTGATATCAACCCTTTGAACGTTAAGATCGGCTCCCCGCGTACCTATCCAGGGCCTGACTTTGAAGTGATGGACACCGGGAGAAAGCGAGGCCTGGCGCCAGATCTCAAGCTTCAGCTCAGGAACAAGTTCTTCGTACTTCTGGAACGCCGGGAGCGACATTGTTGCTGACTCCGGAGTGTCACTGTCTTGAAGACGGGGTTTAGTGCGGTACCTAGGGTTGGTGGTTAGATTGACATCCCTCTGCCACAGGTTATAATAAATAGTAAATATGGGCAGATATAAAGTACGAACCTTTACGGGACACGAAGTGCAACGTATACTAGGAGATACGTATGAAAAGACGCGAGTAATGATTTGCCGAAAGGCAAAGTGTCTTGTTGTTGTGAGGTAAAAACAGAGTACCTAAGGAACGTGAAATAAAAAAACTTCACAACGCGCAAATGAAGGTGTGCCCTAGAAAATGGAAAGGGGTAGATATCAATGTGAATTGATGTCTAGGTACTTTTGATATAGGTGACGTGGGAAAAGTCGATGAGGCTGGCAATGACTGGTAAAAAGAGTGGAAGGGCAACTGCGAAATATCTCACAGAGGAAGAAGGTGTGAAATCCAGTTGCAAGTACCAGGAATTACCTCCACTACATCGTTGGATTGAATGTGTACCTAACTTTAGGTAGGTAAATACGCAATTTTGGAATAAGACAATGAAAGATGCCATGAAGCATTGGCAGCCGGCAGCAACTTCACACCTTCTCTGTCAGTAGGGACAGTACAACATAGGTCAAGTAGGTACCTTAGATACCTAACGTAAGTGGCCAATGCATAATGTGATATTAGAATGATAAATTAGACATCAACTGGGGAAGGTTGCTGGGTAGAAGCAAACCAGTGGGTCCGTATGATCATAGGAAAGGAAAAGATGATTTAAGTACTTAAGGTGAAGGTATATCAAGTACAAGAACATTCAACCCCTATTTAATACCAACTCACCAATTTAGTAGTTCGTTAAATATCACATTAACTCGTGATTTCAAATAAGAACATATAGCTTATCTCTCCTCGGAAAAATACCTACCTACGTAGATACCTCCATGTGGTTTCTTAGCTTGCTATACTATAACCCGGAAAAAGGAGGTCGTGATGTCAAACCCTAGGTAGGTACTCACAATGATACGTATCACTTGAAAAATAAAATTGCAATAACTACGAGTAACTAATTCGTAGCATAAATACTGCAGCTTACATCCTAAACCACAAGAAATAGGACGCAAAAATCTATTCCATCGCCTATTAAATAACGCGACTGTTGTATTTAGTCCTACAAGATAGTCATACATGTGACGTCCATTAAAATCCGGCGATACCCCTGATGGATTAAGCACCGGCAACCACGGCTAAGCTCTCGTAGATAGTCTTCTTTACGGCGTAGAAAGTGCCACCAAGCTGGGTAGCGGGGCCACCATCTGTCGGGAGACCGATACTTTCCACGTCAATCCGACCTGCCGTAGTCTTCCGCACGACTACCGATCCATCGACCAACAACGTGCCTTCGCCCCTGAACTCTGCCGTATGACCCGACTGCTGCATAGCCTTTCTCAGATCCGCCAGTCGCAAGTCTCCTACGTGTAAAGGCTGGGCAACGGACCGTGTCGCCGACGCCATGTTGGTGGGAAGAACGTCAAGTGTAGGCTCGACAACTTCTTCCTCCACTACTTCGACTGGAGGTTCCGTCGAGTCCTCAGTTTTCAGGCGCTTGTTCGCGGCTTCCTCGTCGTGGCGTATAGCCAATTCCTTATGTATTGCAAGTAGTCGTCCTGTGACTGTCGCAATGCTTAATCCACGAACGTTCTGCCACTTAAGTTGTTTTACAAGTGAGGGGGCCAATTTCACCACCCAAGCATTCGTGTCAACGCTCGCATCGATGGCCGTGCCCACGTTTGGCGTATAGATACTAACGGAACCTTCGGCTAATAGCTTCTTACAATCTGAAGCCAATGTCAAGGTTTCTCCTTCATTTCCACCAATGAGAATAAGTTTACGAGGTTGGATTAGAGGAATCAGCATGTGCAAGCTTCGCTTGTCATGAATACCACTAAGGTCAATGAACTCGACTTCTAACTTGATAGCAACGGTCTCCGTTGTCAATACCAGTTTCGACGGGCCCAAGTTTGTTTCGTCTGGATCGTCGGGAATCCCATCAAGTTCGTCTTCGACAAGACCATCGGATAATGCTGGTTCGAACTCATCGGTAATGTTACGAGTAAAGTGTGGTCTTTTAGATGGACCGGAACCCTGGTTTTTGCCAGAAGTCGTAGCGTTGTCCCACTTCCGCTTCTTTCCAAGTCTCTCCTCTTCTTCATCTCTTCCCATATGTGCCTGGTCCTGGCCATCGTTATCGTCCCTTTCTTCTGCCCTTAGGAAATCTTCCGGTCGAATAAGCTCCCCATAGTCGTCAGCACGCTTTCGACGGACTGGGTGTGGAAACATTCTATCTCGACCCTTTTTATTTCTTATGTCAAAATCATAGACGCCCTTCTTTTTTAGTAATATGTTGATACCCAGATCTTCGTCTGTTAGAGCAGCTTTTTTCCTACTAGCCTGGCCCATCGTAGTTGCGGCATTCAAAGCCCTGCCCTGTTGCTCATTATCGGAATCTTCCGACTCTGACTCTGATTCGGAAGCCTCATCGCCTACATCCCCTGTCGCTTCAAGCACGTTGGCCCCTCCACTCTGAAGAGTAGTTTGAAGCTGGCGCTGCTGTGCAAGCCATTGCTGATAGATGACGAGATCGTTGCCTTCTAAGGGTTGCCTTTTTGCGTCCGTAAATTCGAGCTTGCGCGTATCTATACCATTCGAGACCTCACTTGCACGTTCCTGACTTTCTTTCCACCACGCCCAGAGACTTCTCGCCAAGGACGGACGTGTCTCCGAGGCTAAGGACGGGTACTCTGTTAAGATGACCATGTTTTTCGAGTCCTGCGCGATCCGTTTCAGTACGTCTTTCGAGAACCCCCATTCGAGTGTAGAGTCGCTTGCGAGGATGACCCTGCCGGCCGTAGAACTGTCGTCGGTTTCGCCACCGAAGACCTTCTCGATTTGACCACTTCTGTCCAGTAGTTTCAGGAATCTAAAGTCGAATGGGCCAGCTTCTTTACCAGATTTGGCGCCATCCGTTGTGCCGTTAACTCGCCTAGAGCCATCGACTACGGCTTCGAATTCTCGAACGATGCCATCATCCATCCATTCGAGCATACTACGGGCATATCTCATAGTACTGTGAATATTGCGTCCTGCAAGGTAGAGTTTGGCGGATTTTAGCTGGCCATCGCCCGTCGTCGCGTCCGCTCGCCATGCATGGTCCATCAGGTAGGCCAGCTCTAGGACGCGGGCGCTCGAGTCGATAGGTATTAGAACGGTACCTCCCCTTGTAGTACAGGCCTTAACCTTGTTTAACAATTGTTCATCTCGCTTACTCCGGCCTCCAGCAATAGATGATTTCTCGCCTCCTCTGCTGCTACATACCAGAGCAGTCGGCTTTCGCAGCTGTTCGATAATCTCAGCACCTCCACCCCCTGCACCACCCAGCCAGGCCGCTCCCGCGAACACATTTTCGCGTCCTTGATTCCAGTCTACGGCGTACACAATAGATTCCAACCCATGCTGTATATGCCATATAGTGCCTCCAAGGGTTCGACCTGAGTTGTACGCCGTAATCGTCAGGCCGTTCAAGGGAGGGGAAAATGGGGAACCAAGCGGTTGGTGTGGTTGGGAGTACTTTAAAGGATGTATTAGGGAGAAATATGTCGCAATCTCTTCGGGCGTGGGAGCTTGTAGAAGTATGTCGGAGGAAGACTGTTGAGCTGCATACGAGACCTCTTCGAGAGAAGCAGAAGATATCGTGGTGGCAGCAACGGGGGTAGAGGCATAAAGATCTTGGAGTAGGGTGCGACCTAGAGCGATTACAGGCGATGTCGCATATACTGGGATGGATGTAAAACGGGGGAAGTGTTTACAACAATGCGCATAAGCGGCAATATGGTTTGTTGTAGCATGCGTCAGAAGAATTAGGGATAACGTGGGCACCTGTCTATAAGCAGCAAAATGTTAGTTATCCAGTCAATAATTTTATCATAATATTAAGGCTACTGGGTTAGAATACTTTTCTAGTTCCTTAAGCTTAGCGACATCAAAGGACTCATCCCAGCCGACATCAACCAAGACTTTAATACCTCCATCTAGCTCAAGAATAGATTGCGACGCGGCTGATTCTGATAGCGCTCCCTGTAATGAGCTAAAGGTAAACATGACTGCGTCATCGTATTAGGAGACTTAATAGATGGTTCTTTAGTACTCCTAGCACTCCTAGTACTCCTAGTGCTTGGGATGGTTGATGATTTATTGGCGATGTAAGTTTGCGCCAATCCGGGGAAAATAAAAGGTGTTGTAGGTACAAAGGAAGATTGGAATGCTTCAAATTGAATTCGCGGTAACTACCAAAGTTAATTATTCGTATTATCTAAGCAGCCGCTAAGGTTCAGCTCATTGCCCATTTTGTGCAGGTACGCGTCGAATTAGTCACGCCTGTCACGTCCAAGTACCTATGTACCTAATGTATAGCAGGCATTAGGTAGTTTAAGTACCTAGGTACCTAAGGCAAGTAAATGGTATAAAGGTACCTACCTCACCTAATCTCGATACTATAACAACCTTTAAAAATGAGATGAGATATATTAATTACTAAAGTGATAATATTTAAAAGTACACATTCCACAATCAGATTTCTCCTTAGATTTGCACAATTTCGTGGCCGATAACAAAGTGACCTATAGTCATGTTATATCGTAACTCTGCCTCTTTTTCGAGCTCAATCCACAGAGGATCCTTATACAAGTCAAGCATATCATTAATACTACGCAACCAAACTGACATGACAATATCATAGTCAGGAACAGTCCATTTTATACGGCCCATGTCTTTTAGAGTTTGGCGAAAAGGTTCACGGAAAGCAGGTGGGTTTACAGTCTAGCTCGGGGAGTGAATACTTCGTATTAGCAATAAGTTGTCATATCTAAAAGCAAGTCTAGATATCCAATTATAGATGTTCTTACCTGAGCCCACTTGACGATGCCGTGCCTTTTTATTATGGGAATTGCTTTCGGAGGATACACTTCGGTAGTCCATTTCACAAAGTCTTCATATGAGATATTATCTTTCTTATAAAGACAGACTTCAAACTTAGTCAGCAGGGTTTCGCTAGGGGATGTCATGATTGGTATAAGATGAATAAGTTTAACTAGTAGTTTAAAAAGTTAACTTTCGAGTTTTATTGGTTTGTTTGATGAGAGAATGATTTCAGAAATTGCTATTAGACAAGAGCACTTATATATTTGGTCAATTTCGAATCTAACCTGACTGCTTCATCATACACACTAAAGCTCGTATCGTAGTCCATAATTTTTAAGGAGGATTACTTAAGTAAAGCGTGATATATGATAATTGAATCAGATAGGTGAGTCAAAGACTACTTAGCTATGATCAAATATGCCTCTCTACCTAAGTTTGTTGTATTATGTGAGCAAAATTATTGAAAATGTCTAACAATTACATAAAAGTTAAACATGTCAAAATTGCTTCGTTAGTACCTATAATGTTTAATAATATGTAGGTATTAAAAACAGTACAACTTAAATTTATTAACCTTCAACTCGTGTGATACAAACATTATACAGTTGTACTAAAGACGATTTGATTAAGTGCATAGACCACTAACATCTATGTGTATCATACCTAAATATAGTAAAGCCTCTTTTAGGTAGGTGGGGTATGGGATCTGTGGGGCAGATGATAGAGGATGACAGAAGCTAAAGCAGCTAAAAACAGCCAAAGCGAGAAAAATGATCGGAAAATCACCGGAATGTTATCGTGTCAATTCCATAATTCCATAATTCAATAATTCAATCCATCCATCCATCCATCCATCCATATATGGCCCCTGGCTCCGTTCCATATTCCATGCGCCATCCTATCTTGGCTTCGATTTCATATGTCAATTCCAACTGTGATCATAAGAATAAAAAGAGACGGGACAGAAGGTTGCAAACGGATTCCTAACTAACTAACTAACAGCTTGCTTTTCCTGTTTACTTGGCCTTATATTGTCAATCGCCTCACCAGATTTATAACTACAACTAAAGGCTAAAAGCTAAAAGCTAAAAGCTACGCGTTATCTCCTATATACAAGATACCATGGAACATTTCCGATCTTCATGATTTGCCGAACCCCGAACTGAACCATACTACATCTCGAAATACCCGTATGCGACGAGGTATACCGAATTAAATTACCTACATAATAATCTGGTCTACGAAGAAATACCCGGTTAGACATCTAGCTGTTCTCCTCCATCATGGCTGATTACTCCATGTATCACGCATTGGGGCAGGGTGAGCAGCTTGATCCCAATGACCCCAATAGAACGAGTCAACCCGCCCCTCCTCAATTTCAGCCGCCCATTGCTCAGAATCCCTACCAACAAGGCGCCGCCTACGGCTCTCCCGCACCCCAAAGTCAGCAGTATTATGGAAATCCCCCACCGCCTGTTCCTGGTACACCTGGTACGCCTGGGTTCGCGCCTCCGCAAGATGCAGGCCTCGCCTCGCAAATGGCTGGCATGTCTTTGGGAGACGGTCAGCATACGGCAAGGAGAAAGAAGAAGGACCGGCACGCCTTCCACTCTGTCGAGGCGCCGGTTGGCTCTTCTCAGGCATATAATGGTATACCACCAGCAGGGACACAAGCTACAGCTTTCTTGAACGCAGATCCATCTATACAAGCTGGTAACCAGTTTATTGGCCAACCCCTTTCGCCAAACCAATTCCCAGCGCCCGTCAACGCTCCTTTCCACCCCGCAGTCCCAGCGACTCCTGCCGAATATGCTGCGAGAAATAGTCAGATAGATCCGGGCCATGCGCCTACATTCGTACCAGCATCGGGTGGAGGACAAGTCTCGGCAGACGACATTCCCAGTGTACCAGCTTCCAGGGACGTGGCACAACAACACTACCTAAGCAATGTGTATCCAACGTTTGAGCGTCATGTGCCTCCTCCAGCTACTGTCTCCTTCGTTGCCTATGACCAAGGCAATTCCTCGCCCAAATTTACTCGATTGACGATGAATAATATCCCAGCCAACACGGAAGGCCTAAAAAGTACTGGGTTGCCTCTAGGTCTCGTCTTGCAACCACTAGCTCGCCTTCAGCCTGGTGAAATGGAAGTCCCTGTACTCGATTTTGGTGATGTGGGACCACCAAGGTGTCATAGATGCCGTGCCTATATCAACCCTTTCATGATGTTTCGCTCAGGGGGCAGTAAATTCGTGTGCAATCTATGCACATACCCAAATGATACACCTTCGGAATATTTTTGCGCGACTACACCTCAGGGCGTGAGAGTGGATCGGGATCAGCGACCCGAGTTGACAAAGGGAACAGTCGAATTTTTGGTACCTAAGGAGTACTGGACGAAAGAGCCGACAGGTCTCCACTGGCTATTTGCGATTGACGTTACCCAGGAATCTTATAATAAGGGCTTTTTAGAGGCTTTTTGTGAAGGCATTCTTGCCGCGCTCTATACTTCAGAAGAGAATGATGAGACAGATGAGAGCGGTGAGCCGAAACGGCGGATCCCAGCTGGTGCAAAGGTCGGATTTGTCACATATGACAAGGACATACATTTCTACAATTGCAATGTGAGTGCCTAATCCAACTAACTTGTTCATAAGAAGTATCCCTGACAATCAATTAGCCCGCTCTAGAACAGGCACAGATGATAATCATGCCCGATATCGAGGATCCATTTGTTCCGCTTAGTGACGGGCTCTTCGTTGACCCATATGAATCTAGAGCTGTTATCACGTCGTTGCTTACGCGATTACCGACTCTGTTTGCAGATATTAAAAATCCAGAACCCGCCTTACTGCCAACATTAACATCATGCTTAGCTGCGCTGGAAAAGACCGGAGGCAAGATTGTATGTTCGTTGTCGGCTTTACCTACATGGGGCCCCGGACGACTTTTTATGAGAGACGACGGGAAGTATCCTGGTGGTGAAATAGATAAGAAACTTTTCTCTACCGAGCATCCCGCGTGGAAGAAAGCTGCAGAGAAGATGGTTGCTGCTGGAGTTGGTGTTGACTTCTTTTTGGCTGCTCCATCGGGTGGATATTTGGACGTAGCTACCATTGGTAAGTCTACACACAAGACATGATTCCATCATCATTGTAGCTAACGACGCACCCAAGGCCATGTCTCATCTACGACAGGCGGAGAGACGTTTTACTATCCCAACTTCGTGGCCGGTCGCGATAATACCAAGCTCTCCCTTGAAATCAAGCACACCGTCACAAGGGAAACAGGTTATCAAGCGTTGATGAAAGTCCGGTGCTCCAATGGTCTTCAAATCTCCGCGTACCATGGCAACTTCATACAGCATACCTTCGGAGCTGATCTCGAAATAGGCGTAATAGATGCCGACAAAGCTGTAGGTGTAACGTTTGGCTACGATGGAAAGCTTGATTCGAAGCTTGATGCCCATTTCCAATCTGCCTTGTTGTATACAACCGCATCAGGCCAACGACGAGTAAGGTGCTCCAACGTGATCGCTAGCGTTAGCGACAACCCGCGAGAGTGCATGAAGTTTGTAGACCAAGATGCTGTCTACACGATTCTTGCTAAGGACGCTGCTTCTAAACTCGCCTCGACTTCTAGCACCCTCAAAGATATAAGACTAGGATTAACAGAGAAAACCATTGATATATTAGCAGGGTATCGCAAGAATTTTTCATCCCAATCGCATCCTCCCGGTCAACTTGTTATGCCGGAGAAGCTTAAGGAGTTCTCAATGTACATGCTTGGGCTTCTTAAATGCCGAGCATTCAAGGGGGGCAACGAAACATCTGACCGAAGGGTACATGAAATGCGCATGATTAGGTCAATAGGTGCTCCGGAGCTCAGTCTCTACCTATATCCTAGAATGATACCCATTCATAACCTGAACCCGGAGGATGGATTTCCCGACGAACAAACAGGCTATTTAAAGGTTCCGCCAGCCGTTCGTACATCTTTCAGCCGAGTCGAGCCGGGCGGCGTATACTTGGTGGATAATGGGCAGCAATGTTTATTATGGTTCCATTCTCAGACATCACCCAATCTACTAGTAGACCTCTTCGGAGAGGGCAAGGATAGCCTCAGTCAACTCGACCCGTATAGCTCTTCAATACCAGTCCTACAGACACACCTGAACGCCCAGGTCCGGAACATAATCGAATTCCTCAAAGTCATGCGCGGTTCCAAGGCGCTGACGATTCAGCTAGCCAGACAAGGAATTGATGGAGCCGAGTATGAGTTTGCAAGAATGTTAATTGAAGATCGGAACAACGAAGCGCAGAGTTATGTAGACTGGTTAGTACATATACATAAGGGCGTACAACTTGAGGTAAGTTAATTTATTATTCCCTTCGCAATACGATAGGCTGAAGGTTCTGGTGGAATTAGCTGGTGCTTTAGAAGTGGATGGAGGACATTCACTAACATTGCTCGATGTAGTTGGCTGGGCAAAGACGAAAGGAGGGCGATGATCATACTTCTCTAGCGTCGACGTTTCAAGGGTTGAGGCCGCAGTATTGGTAGAATACCCCTATTTCAGCAGTTACGTGTACAGATAGGTTTGAACCCAAGGGCCCAACATTGAAATGTATTCCTAACCTTAGACCGAGACCTTGAAAAGGAATCGACTCTAATACCTAGAGTGCATACGAGTATTTCGGCTTTTAGGTTACACCGCATCGGCATCAGGTCATGCTTTTCACAATATGGGGACGGCATCAAGCCTCTACCATACGACGAGCTTATTCTCCAAGTTGACTTTGTTGTGATTTCGATGTAAATCCGTGTCACCTAACCTCCCCGAGCAAGACATGCCAATCTCTAGGTCACCGCTTTTTTATTTTCCTCAAAACCATTTCATGAAAAACACATGTGCGTCTTTCCTAGTGAGGATGAGAAGAATCTTACTTCGGCCGAAACTCCCTGCATCTCGCCTGTGACCACAGCCAAGCAAACAACCCAGCGGATGTACAATCCGAGACATCTGAAAATAGCCGACTTACCTCAGCCCGTCCCAATGGCTTGTAACGGCCGTGAGCCCCGTTTGTACGTCCAGGATGTTACTCCACGGATATTATTGAATTACACTTCCATTGCATACGATTTTTAAGACAATGCATTCTCGCGATTATCCCCTAAGAGTTGGAAATTGACAAGTTAAAATCACCCAAGTTAGTACGGGGCAGTTTTGCAGTAGTCATAGTCATTTAATGTGCAGCCAGCCACAATATCAGTATGCGTCGAGATATGCATAATCGCAAAGGAGTGGGCTTCACATAGACCGCATCACGCCTCGTACTAGGTGATTAAAAGAGAACTTTGGACTGCAGATGACTTGGCACACTTCAGCCAGCTTCACACATCTACTAATCACATCTATAGTAGCATATGTTTCTTCTTATTAGCACTAGTGATCTTATTAAATCGGATACTATCTAGCTCTATAGACCTACTATGCTTAATGGTATCGAATCTCTTGATAATATGAGACGTGACTTATTATAAGCCGCATTAATTGTTCTAGACCCCTATTATGTACATGATCTTCAAGACCATTCCGTCGATAGGCAATAACCTAGCCGCATTATCATTTGTGTGTTGCCGTTCTATTATATAAATCGTATAAGTCAAAACGCCGTATATACCGAGTCAGCTGCTCGTAATGTTCCTTCGCCTTCTAGAACTTGAGAAAAGTCTCAAGTTTACTTCCCATCGCAAGTAACTACCCAATTTTCTTTATGGCGTAACCAGAAACCAGATGTTTCGGTGCCTTGCGCTTGGATCCGAACTATAGCTCTGGGACTCGGGAACGCACAGGATTTATCAGACATACATTCGGAGAAGTCTAAGTTGTAGTAACCAATATCGCGCGTGCTGATTAAACCGCTATGCATGCTAGGCTCCAATCAAAAACCGCCTTCGAAATTCTCCAGTATGTAAATAAATGCGAGCATCCGGAAATGCGCGTGCCTGTTTGCAACTCCAACTCTCAAAGCCTGCTATGATTACTTGACCCCTTGCCGCCTTACAACTAACGTATAGGTAGGTATCTTTAGGATTCTATAATGCTTATTAATCTCTTAAATGGCTAGAACATGCTTACAACCCGGAGGAGTAAAGATTGTATGGGCGAGGCTCAACCTACATAGGTAGAATACAATAGGATCGGCCTCGCCTATCTCAGACCGGGAAACGTCTGGGCGCATTGTCCTAGACCTAATATAGGAAGGAAAGACATTCGAGCGAGGGCTAGGATGCTAGGTAGGCTGCATATGAAATTAACGCTGTGCTCTTTAGGGTCGACGCCCGATGCTCCCCGTAAATGGCGTAAATGTAACAGTACCGGATATGCATATTCCATGGCCGGACGTCCAGTGGCTGCGTATACATCATATTACGATATCATCAAGGTAGATCCCGAGCTATACCTTTAGTCACTTATGTTTTATTCTCATACCTAGATACTTATTTAGGTAATTTTCCTTTTCCTTCATTCTCATATACATACCTTATGCATGCATGGTCTGATATTATCTTGAGAGGCCGGTCAGAATTTAAGTATTCCGGGCCCTTGAGGCAGTTCTAGCCGCACGCCATATAAGCCTCATGATTCTGTTTTGACGGCTCCATGACGAGAGCCCAGACCCGGCCAACGTCGAAAAAGAAAAAAGAAAACGTTCTCTCAGTACCCCCACACCTACACCGGTCTTACTCCCATGCGAGTTTGGCGTTTGCTTACATGATAGTTAAAAATGATATATGATCAGGGTTTACAGGGTAGTATATGTGGCGTCAGTTACTCCGAGCTTCACCTACAGAATCAAGTTCCGGTATTGTAAATAGCTACCACATTTTGAACTGGTGTAATATCCGTGTGACTCGAGCTTCACAGTAGATAATTATTGCGTGCTGCATGTCTATGATTGTTAAGTGGCTTAGATCGCGATTCAATCGGAGTTAGCCGATCCTGTTATCACATGAAGATATTCACGGCTGAAAACGTAAGAAGATCGACTTGCTCCTAATAACGGAAGCGAGTCTTTTCCTTTCTAGAGCTATATGCGTATGCATCTAGTACAGTATCTGATATATTACAAAATGTTAACTGACGTTCCAAGTTATCGAAATAAAATAAAATTGCAGCCCTGATGACACTAGTACTAGAAAATATCAGTACCTAACTGCAATACATGATATCTCGTAATAGATAATAAGAGATTGTTCAAGATGATATTATGATATATCATTATGTGATAGAATCAGAGAACATGGCGTAAGTGACTAGAATACACAAAAAATTAACATGACGACCGGCCCTTTACTCTTTATATCCAAAGAATCGCGAATCGCGAATCACACCCAACTACTCAATTCCAAAGATACCTAAATAATCAAAATTTCCCAGCCCTTGAATTGATGAACTGACTTAAAAAGTCCCGGTATACCGACCGGATCGTCGGGTTGAATCCATCCACACGGGTTCGTATAACACTCGACGCTGTGTAATGACGTACGAGGACTCAACGTCCCGCACATGTTAGAACTTCTTCCTTCATCTTCACGATGTAAGCATAGAAATCCCGTATCGGGGATCCGGTCGGCTCATGACACTCTGGATCTCGCTGGGGTCGAAGACGCGCGAGAATATCTCGAAGTCGCTTGGCGCCGACGTAGAGCTGCTACTAGAGCTGGAGCTAGAGGATGCTTTCGACTTGCTCTTGGAGCTACTAGAATGGTGACTGTGACTGTGACTGTGACTATGGCTGTGCCCGTGACTACTGCTGCCCCTGCTTTTCTTGGCAATATCATCAAGGATCAGTTTCGCGGTGCTTTGGTACTGGTCCTCAAACACGAAGGCGACGTAGTCAAACCGGCCACGAATATCTGGGTCGTAGAGAAACACTTCGCGCCAAAGCTCGGCAAGCTCCTGTGGTGGGTTGCGGTGACCGTTACCTAGACCGAAGTCGCCTATCACGACGGTCCGGTGTTCATAATAGACGCAGATACGCAGGGCGGCGCGGATCTTGTTCCTGACCATTTCGCGCTCCAGAGGAAATGCATATTTAGAACCTCCGTGGCTCAGCTTGGGCCAGCGCGCCGCTGGCATCGAGACTACCGGAAGGTCGTACCATTGGTCTAGCTTCTTGTATTGGTCGTGTGGTCCACGGAATACCACGACAAACTCAGAATAGATACCACCTTCGGACGGGATTGGGTAGTTACTTTCGACGTCAGATCCGGGACCAGGAGTGCTAAGCGTTGCTGAGAGGTTACTGCGTCTACAGAGGCGCTCTTCGTATCCCACCTACATAAGAGGTGAGCCTATAAGTAAATCGTAGCCGCTGTAGTTATATAAAAGTGGAAAAACTCACTACGCCGGTCTCCCAGTCACCACCAGCTCTCTTGTCATTTGCCGCGCATATAAATGGTATTCGAATGTTTACCTTTTCTTTCCAGTCAATGGCAAAGTCGACGGGATCCCCTGAGCAAACATCTAGATAGTATGTTAGAGTAGGGTGTGTAAATAGTATTCACGGCAAGGTTATATGTACAAAATTCCGGAGGGGATGGAGAAAAGCCGCTGATTGAGCTCTGGAGCGGAATCTGCGCCAGCGGCTGTTGGAACAGATACGAACGGGTTGGCCATTGGCGGGCGTATTCCGCTCTTATGACCGGGATGTAATGTCGCTTCGTTTCCGCCGCAACTTCGGAAGGCTTAGGTTTTGAAGAAGGCATTATATGAAGAGACTTTGACTGTCGGATAGAATAACAGAAAGTCGGTATGAACAAGTGACTAATCGACGACGAAGACTTAATTCAAGTAGCCGGGCTTCGATATCGTTTTATATGAAAGTACACATGAAATATGAGACGGGATGCAGCTGCTCCATCTACCTACATTGATAGCCTCGAATAGGATGGGAGTCATATTCACGCTGAGGTATCTGAGGTATCTGAGGTATCAGGCACGTCCCAGTCAGGTCAACGGCGGGCAGAGGACGGGAGAAACTCTTGTGTTACCAATACAAGATGATTGCTCTTATCGAGTCCACTATGTTCTAGACATTGAGATGAAGTGAATTCAGACAATAGGTTAAGAGGCTCGCTATTCATAATATAAACCTTACCGTAGCGCTTCCGCGCCGTCTTTTACCAGCTTGGTATTCCGGTAGGTTGGGAGAATTAGACATCTGTCTTTGTGATACAGCTCGGCTCCCAGGTAGATGGAATCGCTGTTCCAGTCGAAGATCAGGGTGCACTGCAGATAACCGAAGTCGGACAGATCTGGTACTCCTAAACCCGCAGCATCGTAGAACCCCTGCGGACGAAACGATTTTTAACGGGTGATGAATCCATTAGCCGTCTTACTGCAGTTGAGCGTTCGCGAGCAGATGTTACAATAAGCAAGATGACCGCGTCTTGTTTGTATCGACAATTGTGAACGGGTTTAGTACAAAGTAGCTAATAATAAGGGGCTTAACAACGCCCCTTTGGCGAGGATTCATCGGAGAAGCAAAAATAACGGGCATAATAGAGACGGGAACTCCGTCTCGACGGCATCACCGGATATAGATAAGAGTGATCATAGATAAATAGTGACACTAAGTCTTCGTTATTCGTCAGAGATTGACGTGCATTACCTTGTGACGGGAACTTGGCAATCACGATCTATGACGGGGTTGTTCACACGACTATATCGAGTACTTATTTAATCCTCTGTAAGATGATGTCGTCGATGAGCTGAACATTAAGTGACTCCCAACATTGTTATATTTCAGCCATGTTTTCAGCTAGTTTACTTATAACAAAAAATAGATGATAGGCAACTCTACAGTATATCTAGCGACAGCCCTTCTGTGAGAAAAATAAAATAAAATAATAAAATGAATATTTCGGAGCATGAGACGGGGTCGCGTAAATTAGGCTTGGTGGAACTCGAGACGGCTTCATTAAGACAAAGTTCCGCTTCAAGAGAAATATGAAAATTATCGATGACTAATGGAAAAAGAAGAATGAATATTCATGTGGTCTGTGCTTTAAATTCGGTTTAGGATAAACTTGGCTTTCCGAAAAATTGACGACTGATTTTAATACCTAAGGCATTCCATAATCTAATTTTTATAAGAGAAGACATCCATTGTCATGCGATGAAGCACATAACACACAAACTTTTAATTACTATGTGTGTCCATAATGTTCACGAATGAATCGGAATCATCTGAATTTTCCGAACATCTCATAATAAATTGTGTGAGATGAATTCTATCCTCCCGCTTCTGAGAGGAGCGTCACCTAGACCTAGAGCCCCCCTGAAGCTCTCATCACGGACAATACCGCGCGCATTCATCTCAACCGTCCCTACTTCAATCGCCGGTTTTCTTAATTTTAAGCCGCAAGAACCTGTCTCAGATGTGAATATTCATGGTTTCGTTCGGTCTGTCCGTGCACAGAAACGATATCACTTTGTCTCTCTCGGCGATGGATCCTCTCTCGAACCACTCCAAGCTGTAGTACCTGCTGACCAGGCTGAAGGGTACGAGATCCAAGTTTGAATCAAACCTCTGCAATATCTACCATTGCTAATGATGATGCATTCAATAGTCTGAATATTGGAGCAGCAGTCCGACTACATGGGTCTTGGATTCCATCTCAAGGCCGTGGACAGAGCCATGAGTTGCAAGTTGAACGAGCCGTAGTCTTGGGACCGTCCGACGGCAAGGTTCGTTCAAGCTTAGAATCCCTGGCTGTCGTGCCTCGCGTTTCTACATGATATGGCTTACCATTTTATAGACGTTTCCATTACAGAAGAAATACCAGACTCCAGAATACCTCAGGACCTTGCCCCATCTTCGTCCGAGGATACCGTTCAATTCAGCCGTCTTGCGGCTTCGCTCTGAAATCATCGCATCCCTGATCAAATTCTTTAGCAGCCGTGATTTCGTGCAGACTCACACGCCCATTCTCACTTCGTCAGATTGCGAGGGCGCTGGTGAAGTCTTCCATGTGTCGTCTGGTGAACCTGCTCAGTCATCTACGGAGTCTGAGACACCAAAGTCTTTCTTCCGTCGCCCCGTATATACGACCGTGTCAGCTCAGTTGCATTTGGAAGCTCTAGCTCAAGCCCTTGGTAATGTCTGGACTCTGTCTCCAACATTTCGTGCAGAGAAAAGTGATACACCACGTCATCTTAGCGAGTTCTACATGTTAGAGGCAGAAATAAGCTTTACTGACAAGTTGGATTCTGTAATGGACCTTATTGAAGATATGCTAAGACATGTCTGCACCGATCTGACCGGATCGAGAGTTAAGAATGAGATCTTAGCACGTGTAAGTGAAAGTTCGTCAGATCTAGTCGCAGCGGAACAAGTTTCCCAGCGTTGGGATGGTCTTATACGAGAAGCTTGGCCGCGCATTACATACACAGAAGCCATCGAGTTTCTGAAGCAGTCAGAGACGCCATTTATTCACAATCCTATTTGGGGCGAAGATCTTCACACTGAGCATGAGAAATATATTGCTATGAAAGTAGGCAACGGCAATAGCCCCGTATTCGTCACGAACTATCCACGAAACATTAAAGCCTTCTACATGAAGGCAGACGCAGAGAACCACAATACAGCAGTACCTGGTACAACTGTCGAATGCTTTGACCTCCTTGTGCCAGACTTCTGCGAGATTGCCGGCGGGTCCATGCGCGAGCACCGATTAGAAAACCTAGTGGAGTCTATGCGCAATCATGGGATGACCCCGAACATGATCCCAGATAATGCCAGCGAGCTATCACAAACGGTCGAAAATAACCTTAACTGGTATGTTGACCTACGGCGCTGGGGTTGTCCTCCTCATGGCGGCTTCGGCTTGGGCTTCGATCGACTGATATGCTATCTCTCCGGGGTCCAAACAATACACGACACTTCCGCGTTTCCCCGCTGGTACGGCCGATGTGATTGTTGAACACAATATTATACTAGTGGGCATGCCGTGTTCGTTAACGCTTACTTCTCTGGGATGTGGAGAGTGTCTTGTGCCACGTTCGCACAAAGAAATATTGGTTTTTTGACTTGACTGCCGAACAAGCTTTGTGGCGTTCTGTTGTGCGTTGATTCGGATTTCACGAAGGCAGAATCAAAGTCTAAGGCTAGTTTTGACAGGTCCTAAACACGACGTATGGGTCTTGTGTTGCCATATCCCCATATCCACTCTCCGCTTATATTAGGAAGAGCTCGAGGGATACCTTAAAGAGAATACCGGCCGATCGTTTACGAGCCTCAGCTTACCATACAGCGAGAGCAAAGAGTCACTTGAATGATGATCCTAGCCTACGACGGAGAGGTAAGGGACTTCGGAGTAACATGCTCCTAGCTGCTGCTTTATGCTTAATCGTAATCATGTAGTGTACTCTAAGATAGACAGCATAGACAGCATAGACAGCATCATACAATACAGAAAGCATCCCATCTAGTAACTAACCCAATTCCTAATTTCTAATTCCTATTGCATGCATATGTCTTCGAGCCTCCCTAGCGCTCGAGTTCGGGTGGCGATAGATCGACAGAACTTGTTCTTGATATTCGGCAGTTGGAGCACTAGCCTGCCGCGTCACAAGCACTTCACCCTCATCCCCGATCGGTGAATACATACTGGAAAGCGTTCCGGGGATGTACAACAGATGAGAGAATTTTTTTTTCTTCTTGTGGAAGATCCACAAGTGTGTGAATCTACCTACCTGTCAAGTCAAACACTTTCTACTGGAGATCCTTATCCTTGGAGAACTCCAGTACGATCCCCATCATCCCTTGAGTAAGATCTATTTTGGAGCTTGTGATATATCGAGCCCTTTCCAATCTTGGTGGGCACTTGTTGTAATTTCATCAGGCCATCATTGGTACGGCCGAAAGGGAGCAGCGTTCAGTGTCAGGGGCAAAAGTGATGGGCCATTCCGTACCTTGGGTAGCTGGAGCACTTTGTACGACGGCGGCTTTGATATGAGACAAGCCTAAGCTGGAAATATCTGCGAACACCCAGATCACCGACCAGTCACTGGCCTTCCCGCAACCTGACCGGTCTGACAGCGAATTTGCCCGCCTGCTCGGCCGTTTCTACGGCGTAGCCTTCGGTTTATTACTACGCGTTACCTTTCCTTCGGCTTTGTCAACTGTGCCCACACTATGCCGGCAAAGGACGGATTTGGGGCCATATGACCGCACCCTCAATCTTTAGGTCCTACTGACGTTTCATCTAATGCAAGGAATATCGAAAGGCAGCTATCCATTGGGGTCGCGGCCGCAAAACTGTCATCGATGCAGTTGGCCTTCAACGACGACGCGATGTTTCCCCCCCCCCCTCCCCTCCCTCAATTAATCCTCAGAGAGAAATGTTGGTTTCATCGCGATAGGGTGCAGATGCAAGCAGGCAGCCTTAGCCGCTTGCCAAGAATAAATTCTATTTGGACAAGCTTAGACGGTAGCATCGAGCTGCGGTGTAATTCCCGGCGCAAAGAGCAGCCGGCAGATTCTTCCCGTTTTCCTTTCGTCACATTCATTATCACCATCTCTTCTTAGCTGGTGGGCGGACATCGTCAATTTACTACTAATACTACTACTAATACTAATACTGCTACTGCTACTGCTACTACTACTACGTATATTTTGGCTCGTAACCAGTGGGGGGGGGGTTAATGTTGGGGCTTCGAATATCATAATATAGAGCGCCAAGCTGCTCTATTAGGTAACAAA